TAGCAAATAATTTACAATCTTAATGTACTTGAATTATTTGACCTAATTCTGGAATAAAGATCTCTCTTCTATGATCTAAAATTGAATTTAAACCTTCTAAAACATTCTATGGAGCAAGATTAAGATTTTTTAAAATAACCCAGTAACCTTTTTTTAATCCTTCAAGAAGTGGGCCAGGTACAAATCTAAATTGTCCATTAGATTATTCAGATGAAACTTAATAACCTACTAATTTAGAAATTTAATCTAAACTACTATTAGGTTGATCTGTACCTAATAATTCTTATAGATCAGATTATTCATCAAATATAATTTTGACACATTTAATTCCTCTTAATTTAGCAAAATATTATATGATATGAGTTTTTCCACATTGTGGTGGACCTTGTATCATAATAGGTTTATTGTGAATATTAACAGCCCTTAATAATTTGTATGCATTTATTTCAGGAATAAGTTGGGTTTGTTCAAGTTCCATATTTGAATAGAGGTTATTTCTAATTTAAGTAACTTAATCAAGTGCAAAGTCAATTGATTCTTATATAATTATTGCTTCATCAGAATATCCTGTTTATCTTAATTTTTTTATATGTTCTACTATTTAGAGTAGATCTCTAAATGTCATATCTTCATGAGATAGAAGTGTATCACAGATTGTATTACAATGTAATTATTCAAATTATTAAACAATAGAATGCATTTCATTTTTAGATAATGGATTAAATACAAAAATTTCAGTAAACCTTGATCTTAATGCTGGAGTCAATTCTTTTTTTCCCCAATCTCCTGAAGGATTCATAGCAGCAATAATAACAAAAGTTTTATGTGCTTAATAAAATTAATCATTAACTGTAAGTGTTGCTGGTTATTCTAAACATGAATTTAATCCTTCTAAGACACTTTCTGGACACATATTAACTTCGTCAATAAGAAAGACTCCACCTTCTTTAAAACATTTTAATAATGGACCATCTTAAAATTAAAAAGGACTAGTAGAATTAGAATCTCTAGTTGGTCTTAATGCACCTACAAAATCAGATAATTCTAGATATTAATGACAAACTATATGCTAATTTTATAAGTTCAATTTATCAGCAATTATTGTTGTTAAAGTTGTTTTACCAATTCCTGGAGGACCTACTAATAAAGCAGGTTCATTATTTTAAATAGATTTTAAAGTTAAAGCTGTCATTCTAATAAAGGATTGATTCCATTAGATATTATATTTAGTACTAAATTCTATTAATCCACTATTTTTAAGTACATCCATATAATATTCTTCAGGATGTAACTTAACTTTAAAAATATTTTCAATAATCGTTTATAATTATTTTCTCAATTATATATCTCTTACTCTTTCAACAATTAAACAATAACCTTCCATTGCTGTAGATTCTTTACCACTTGATGCAGTTTTCATTCTATTACCCCATTTGATAAGATCTCTTAATGTGACCATTCCCATAAATAATGATTCACTTGCTCTTAAAAGATTAATCTAAACTTAAGTTTGTCTGACTAAGGGAATATGAGTTTCTGGAAGATATTAACATCTAGTTTTAAGTATATTTGTTAAATCTTCAGTAGAGATTTCTTCTACTTATATTTCAATAAATCTATTTCTAAATGCTTTTGATAATTATTTTCTACCACTATATGTTACTGGATTCTAAGTTCCAAATATTCTGAATCCAGGATGTGGTTTTAATGTAGTTTATGTTTCTGGAAGAAACAATTCTTAATTATCATCTAATAATCTATTTAAATTTTCTAATATTTCACTTCTAGCTAAATTTAATTCATCTAATATAATCCAATCTCCTCTTCTCATTGCAGTTACCAATAAACCATCAACAAATTGAATACTATTACCTACTTAACTATAAGTTCCAAAATATTCCTCTAATTATGTATTTTAATGATTATTGATTCTATGACATCTTTAACCGCAGATTTTAGCAATAAAATATATTAATGAGGTTTTACCACCACTTGTTGGACCTTCCAATAATATAGGAATACCTGTTCCTGATATACATCTTAAACAGGATAATAAATAACCAAAATTACTTGGAGTTATTAAATATTCACATTTATCAGGTGATATTGGTTATTCATAACCTCTTGGTAATTGAAATCCATAAATTTCAACATATTAATCAAATATTCTATAATTTTATTAATTTATTGATGGAGTAAATTATTTATAATCTAAACCATTAATTTATAATTATTAATGAAATAATTCTTAAGAATCTTTTCCTAATCCACTTCCAAATGCCAAAGATAAACCATTAAACATAGATAAATTTTAATTTTTTTATTTTGAACTTCTAAAATAATGTAATGCTCTTGCTAGATTTCTTAATGAGAATGTTTATAAATTAAATTAATGTTTCTTACAAATATCTTTTAAATTTAAATATAAATCTGCTAATTTTACAACATCAAAAGAATGACCTATAAGTCCTTTAATAAAGTCAATAATATCTTATTTATCTAACAATTCATGACAAAATATGGTACTAAATTTATTTTTAATATTGGGAGGCAATTCCTTCTTACCAACATCAGTACCAGGATTCATACAACCAAATATTCTAAAATTAGGATGAATTTTAATAGGATTTTCATCTCCTCTCTCATAAAACAATAATTATGTTTTTTCAATAGCTGGTAATATCTTTTATAATAATTCATTATTTGCCAAATTTATTTCATCAATCAATACCCAATCTCCTTTTTACATTGCCTTTATAAAATTACCAGTCAAAAAATAGAAACTCATTTCTTATACTGAACTTTTCAAATTTTTCATTAATTTATTCATTTTTTCTTTTAATTTATTATCATTAACTTTAGTCAAACATTATTATGTAGTTTCAATCATACATTTAACAAGCATATTAAACTTTTTAGTTGCATATAATTTTTAAAGAGAATTAATAAATTGTTAATTCTTTTAAGAATCAACAGTTCTTGTAAAATATTTAAGAAATTTAGTGTAATTAATTTTAATTAATGTTTCTTAATTTAATGGTCTGAATCCTCCAATAAGATCCTGACAATCTGATCCTTCTGATAAATTATAAATATGTAATTTCTTTCCTAATAACTATGCACAATGTTAAGTCAATGTAGTTTTACCACAACCTGTATCACCAACTAAGAGACATGCTTCATCATTCAATATACATGTCATAATTTATTCCATAATTCTACTTGAATATTGATTATATACAATCAATTATTATTGATAATCTTGATTTATTTCTATTTAACCTAATTTACTGAATTCTAAATAATGATCATATCTTTATAAATAAGTTGTTTATCTTAATTGATCCAATTAAAATACTTAAGATAAATCTACTTTTAAAACTTCCCAACATTCCAAACATAATTTATTTCTCACTTATTCAGGAATATATATTTAATCTTAATAATCTTTTAGATGATACTAAAATCTATTTTTTAACTTATATAAATCTTTTAATTCAGGTTTTTATTATGTATTTTAATACCATTCAAGAATCTCTTTAAAATATCTACAATTTATTTATTTAAGAATTTCAAAGTTAATTGGTTCCATAATTATTACATATTAATCTTCAATTACATCTTTTTATAATGCAATTACTTTTAAATTTGATATATCTTTTTTTTATCCATTTACTTCAACATACTTTAATTATAAAGCTCTTCTTAATTATTATTTAAAATCTTCACTAGTTTCAGAGTAATTCTTCATAACTAAATAAGCTCCTATATTCTCACAAAACAATAAAGGTCCTGCCTTATGAGTAAATACTCCAATTTGTTCAGTGCATACAAATTATCCTACTAAAGATTAGAAATCTATTGTTTCATCCATATATAATGTTAATTCTTTTTGTTTATGTAATTCAAAATAATATTTAAGTAAAGTAGTTTTACCACAACCAAATGGACCACAAATTATAACAAAATTAGTTTGATCAAGCATATAAGTTAATTCATTTAACTTTATTTTATCTACTTAAATTTCATTTCCTGTATTAATCCTTTTATTTTGTTATGTAATTGCAAAAATATGTTTAATCTGTCTATTTTTTAGTCTTTGGTCATAGAATTCTTTTTCAAGGAACAATCTCTTTTCTGGCTCTGCTATCAGGATTCCTTATAATGCTTTCAAATTAAGAGCAAATGCACTATCACCTATTGGAGTACATTTGTCTAAAACATAGCAAACCAAATAGGAATTTGGTAAAGTGTTTAATATTTTACTCTTAAGTAGGTTTCGAAGACTTGGGAATCTTTAGAATAAATAAGCAATAACAGATTCTGATTGATCTTTGCATTCTTATCTAATCAAATTCCAATTCTCCATAAATTAAAATATAAAATATATATGAGAATTGAAAAATGTTATTTTTGCTCAGGTCCTATCTACCCAGGCCATGGAATAGTGTTTGTAAGAAATGATAGCAAAGTATAATTCATCCAAATAATATATAGATGTTTCGATTTTGCAGATCTAAATGTCATAGACACTTTAAAGCTTAACACAACCCAAGAAAAACAAGATGGACTAAAGCTTTTAGAAAAGCAGCTGGAAAAGAGATGACTAATGATAGTATCTTTGAATTTGAACAAAAGAGAAATGAACCCTTAAAATATAATAGAGATTTATATATCAACACTGTTTAAGCCATGAAAAAAATAGATAAAATCAGATTAAAAAGAGAAAACAATTTTTGGAAAAATAGGTATATATTATAATAATTTTGGCAGATTAAGAGCATAAAGGAAGTAGAATCTCGATAATGTAGAGACAGAATTGGCAAAGAATATTAATTTAGTGTCAGATAAGTCAGTTAAAGAAATTATTAAATAAAAAGCCATAGAAAAAGCTTAACAAAAGGCATAAAAGTAAAAGAAACATTAAAAGAAAGACATGGTAGAAGAGGAAGCTTGAAACTTAATTATGTGTTTTAAATAAATATAATTTCATAATTTATTCATAGTTTATGGATTTGCAGTTTGAGGCTTTTTAGTTATTTTATATTACTTTTGTAATTCAATAAATTCTGTTTCTGGAACAAGTTCTTTCAGTTATCTATTTAATTATAAGATAGATTTTTACTCTAATAATTAATTAGATGATTATTAATGTATAAATTTTAATTTTTATTACTTATTATTAATTTCTGAATTTATCTTCTTTTTTGAAGTCAATAAATAAAATAAAACCTTTTCTTAATCATTTTTTTATTATTCCAATTTCTTTTATATATTTAAAGATCTCTCCAACAATAAATTTTATTAACTAAACTTATAATAATTAATCAAATATACTTAATTTCTTTTTCTCAATTCTAATTTCTACAATTATTATCTTTAATTTTAAGCATTTTATTCTCTTAATTATTTCATTTCTTCTAGTTTATTTATTTTCAATTTCATTGAAATTTCATCTTTATTTTACAATTTTTCTTATAAATTTAATTACCATTGTCTAATCTAAAATAATTGTTAAATGTACTTTTCTTCTTCTTATACTAATTCTAAATTTTATTTATGTTTCTTCAATTTATCTTTTCTGTCCTTAAACATTTTACTAGCTTCCTTCTTTATAAGATCCTCATTCTTTTTTTTTTATTCTTCTATTGATATCATTTTTTATCCATAATTATTACACAATTCAGATTCCCAAATAGCTTTAGATAATGCACTTTTTTCATGAATTCTAATTAATTATTATTCATATCTCAATTATTTATTTTATCTATCTTTTGCTTGTCTTTCAACTGATTTTATTCTATTTTCATCGGTTTGAGTTTCTTTTCTAATATTTTAAATTTAAGTTTCAGATTATTGATGTTTTAATAATGTTTTTCTAAATAATATTTTCTCTTCTAATTTTTTATTCTTTTCAATCTTTTCCATTATTATAGTTGATTTTTTAGTTGATATTTCATTATCTCTAGTATAAATTAATAAAAGTACTTTTAATTCAATTTATCTTAAATTTATTTTGTCTTAGCTAAATCTACTTCTATTTATTCTTCTTTAATTTTTTTCTATTTTTCACATTTATTTTTAGCTCTCTTATTTTATTCCTAAGCTTTAATTTTGATTTCCATAATTTTTGCTGATCTTATTTATGCATTTTTTTATCTTCTTTCTAAGGATGCTTATTCCCACTGTCTTCTATCTAATTCAAATAGCAATTCATCTTTCACTTCAGCATTATTTAAACTTAATTATCTCTATCTTTCTTAATTTATTTTGCCAATTTTATCTTCGATTGTTATGGTTTAATATGGAAATGTATTTGTTGATTAAACACTATTAAATGGTATATGTTCATAACCACGTAATTCATCTTCTTCTTATTATTTATTTAAAAACCATTCTTTTATTTATTTTCTTTACTCTTTCAGTTCAATATAATCATCTAATTTTCATTTATGCGAATACTTAATAATTATTCTAAATAAGTTTCATATTCGAAATCAAGAGACTATTAATCCAAAGATTTATTGTTCCTTTTATTTCTATATTCTAATTCATTATGTTTTTCAAACTTATTCCTTTAATATGAATACTATCTTATACTTCCTTCTAAAGTCATATTTAGTCTTATTCATTTTTAATAATGCTTTTTAAGTTCTTGGAGAATCAAAATTGGTGTTGATTTCAAACTCTTATATCTTAATCAATAAGTCTTTTTAAGAACTGAGTTTATGAAATTTAGTTTATGTAAAGAACATAAAATTTAATATTAATTTTCATAATACAATATTAACTCTCCTTTAATAACTCAATTTAACTTTTTCTAAATACTCCCAAGATTACTATTTCTTCTGAAGTGGTAAATTTGTACTCTATAAAATATCATTTTATTGGAAATCCATTTATGTTAATGATGGTAAGTATTTTATTAATGTAATTAATGCATCATAAGCATGATGATCTAATAAATTATTACTAAGATCAATCTCCTAAATATTAGTTTAGACTAACACTTCACAAAGATCCAAAAAATACTTAGTTGATATCATCATGTCTGACATTTTTAAGATTTTGAGATTCTATAAATCTAATAATAATATCTTAATAGTTTGATTTCTAGGATATGTATTACTAGATATATTTAAATACTCTAATCTTTTGCATTCACTTAATAAAGTAGTTACTAATTTAAATGCTGTTTCATTTAGTTAAGTTTTTATCAATTCTACTCTTAATAAATTTATCAAAGGAGGCTAAACCATAGATAAATAGATTATATGTTCACTAGTTATTTATTTATTCTTTATTGTCAGTGATGATGAATTCTTGATATTTACTGAGATTTCATTATCATTCTTTTAATATTTGGTAGCTTTCTCTCCACCATAATTGATAGTTACTAAATCTGATGCAAGATGAGGTTTTTTATGTTATTATTAAAATTCTTAAAATGTTTTAAAATCAGAACAATTCACATTACTCCAATATTCTTTCCATGATTTCTAAGTGTCTAAATTATGTGAATTTAATTTTAATATTCTTTCTAATCTACTTTATAACCAAATATGAGAATCAATTGCATCTACTTCATTACTTGAATTAAAAAATTATTTATTTGAGTTTGAGTTCTATTTAATTTTTTAAGAATTAGGTCTACTGAAAGTATTATCATCTTTTTAAGAATTATTTCCAACATTTTTTTATTAAGGCATACGAATTTCTTATATTTTTAACTTTAAATCTGATTTAACATTTAATAACTCCTATTCAAATTATTCTTATCTTTTAGTTAAAGGTATTTTCATTCTTAAATATTTCCTTTTTTCAGGATCAATTTCTTAAAATTTATATTCTTTATTTAGTTTTTCAGGTGAATTCATTTACTCAAATTCACTAATATCCATTTTAAATACATCTTTAATAATATTTGATATTATTTCTGATGCTTTAACTGTTTCTTTTTCTTCTTTTGCTTATTCAAACTTCTTAGGAATTTGATCTTATCTTTTTTATGCTTTACGATCTAATCTTCTATTAGGTAAACGAGGATTAGGATCAGTAGATCTCAAATCAAGAAAATCATTTAAAGAACCAACATCTAAATCTAAATTTTTAGCAATTTTCTCATCTTTTAATGATTCTTAGACTGTAAATATTTCACCTATTTCGAATATCATTATATAAATATTTTATTTATATTATATTTTCATAAATTTATGATTTTTAACTATAATGAAATTTCATCCAAACTCATTTGATTTGATTATCCTTTATCAAAGAATTTTCTCATTATTATTTCTCTTTCATAATCATGATTTGAATCAAAATCTTAGAAATTTAATTAATCTATATTTTCTTAATTTTCTTTAATTAATTATTTCTTTCGTTTTTATTCTTCTTCAAATTAAGATTTTACTTTCTATTTAATAGCATTTCTTTAATATTCATCTATAATTGAACTATTAATATTCAATTTAAATTCATATCTAGGTTCAAAAGTTTCCAAGATCTATTTTGCTCTTTAATATTCACAAAAGGCCTCATATATATGTAAATTATTTTGTTTTAATATTAGTAATTCTAATTCTTATTTCAAAAATGATTAAAAATAAAAGAGATCCTAATAAATCAATAATTAATAAGGTCTATATAATTTTTATGGACATTATAATAATTTTAATCCCATTTACATTACATTCTATATCTTATAAATCCATATGAAATCTTATTCATCTTCTGGATATTATAATTTTCTACTACTTTAATATATCTATTAATTAATTGATAACTTTTAAAGAAATGAATAATAAATAATACAAAACATTTTAGGTTTTAAATTATGAGAATCTGCATTATTAACAGTTTCAGTATTTATTATTGGATTTTATAATTTTTGATTCATTTCAATTCTTGCTTTTCTTTTATCTTCTAATTTCTCTCCTTTTGTTTAATTTTATTGTTATTAATTAGACTATTATTATAATTATTAAGGTATATAACTATTTGTACTCTATTCAGTAATCATTCTCTCAATTTAAATGAAACTCTCTCTATTTTCAGTCATCAATCTATCTAACCAATAAATTGGAACCTATCTTAATTAGTCACAAATATCATCATTTGAAATGTTTGAATGAATTACTAACAATAAATTTAATAAGTGTTCTGGTTTTGGATCCATACTTACAAGTGCTTCCCGCTATCTCAACATTGTAAAAATTATGATTGGTTGATTACATAGTATTTAATTGAAACCTTTTATTGCTACTTGTAGTTCATTGGTAGTTGCAGGTTTCAAGAGTTTTTAAAGTGTATATTAAACATCATCTTTTGATTTAAACAGACTTGTAAATTTTTAGAGTAACGACATTTATTATTAATAAATTAATACTTTGCAATTATTTATAATATATTGAGCGAAAACCTAAAATATTATATAATGTTAATTAATAAATTAAATAATACATAAGATTCAGATAATTATGAAACCACTTTTTTTGTATTTTAAATATTTCTTTAAAATTAATATATTTTCTTATAACTTAATTAGTATCGTATACTTAATTATTTAGACAATAAAAAACTTTAGGTGAATGAAAATACTAAACAAATACAGTGGATGTATCATTAAATAAAGTAGAAAATCTAAAAGACTAATTCTAGAGAGGTACAAATACTAAATTAATTAAATTATGCATATTATTTTATTTGATGATTTCTCTATTGAAATAATTAAAAATAATTACATTAATTTAATCATATACTTAATCTTATGAAGTCATTAACTTTAATTTGATAAATCTCAAACATTTTTCTTTGTATAAGTATAATGTAATATAATTGGATTAAGCTAGATTATTAGTTTAATAATCTAATAGCATTCAAAGAATTTATAAATCCTATTTATTTTAGGCTAGGTTGTGAATAATGAGGAAATTTATATGAATATATTGGATAATTAATTATATTTATTAAAAAAAATAGAATAATTAAATTATGTCTTACGGAAATAAAATAATACCAAGTGTTCCTAAATTTACAGAATTTAAAGATTACACTTCTAGTCAAGTTTTGCAAATGCATACTCCACATTTATTATAGAAATAGCATAAATAAGATCTAGTCTTATCATCTGACTATTCAATGGAAGTAGAACCCTCCAAAAAGTATACATTATAATCAGCTCATTTACAATTAACAGGTAAATTAAATGTATATTAAAGGACATTAGAGTGAGGTGTATTGTGTGAAATACTCTCCAAATGGTGAATATCTCATAACAGCTGGATTTGATAAGAAAATATTAATTTGGGATATTTATAATAATTGCACTAATATCGGGGTTTTGGGAAGTCATAAAAATGCAATTCTTGATATTGCATGGTAATATGATGGAGTTAGATTATTCACAGCATCAGCTGACAAGACTGTATAAATTTGGGATATGGAAACATATTTACCCTTAAAAAAATTGAAAGGACATTAGAGTTATGTTAATTGTTGTTATCCTTCAAAAAGAGGATAGGATTTATTAGCAACTGGAGGTGATGAAGGTTATACTAAAGTATGGGATTTAAGAACAAGAAAATTAGCATTTGAAATTCAAGGCAAGGTAAATTTCTTATTTAAATAATCTTCAGTATCCAATAACAAGTGTTTGTTTCACTGAAAATGGAGAGAGACTCTATACTGGTTGTTTAGACAATATAATTAGATGTTATGATGTTAGAAAATAGGAGATAGAATACACTTTAGATAATCATACAGATACTGTTACAGGATTAGCAATTAGTAATGATGGTTCATATTTATTGAGTAATTCAATGGATATGACAGTTAGAACATTTGACATTAGGTAAAATATTAAAATTAAATTAAGACCATATGTTTAAGGAAAAAATAGATAAGTAAGAGTTTTCACTGGAGCAACAGCAAATACAGCAGAAAAGAATTTACTAAGATGTGCATGGAGTCATGATGATTCTTATGTATCTGCTGGATCTGCAGATAAGAATGTGTATATTTGGGATTTTAATTCAAAGAAAGTAATCCATAAATTAGGAGGTCATTAAGGAACTGTAATTATTTATTTAATTTAATTTAGGTTAATGAAACTGCATTTAGTCCAAAAGATAAATTGATAGCCTCAGCTAGTAATGATAAAACAGTAATTATTGGTGAAATCCCAGAAGTAACTTTGTGATCAATTATTAAGAAATAATATTATAAAATATTTAAATCTATATTATATATGTGATCTAATATCATTAAATTATTATCATAAGATTGGAGATGTGAATTATTAAAATTTACTTTAAATTAATTTATATAAATAAAATAATAATATTAATATCAATAGATCAAATATTATTAATCAAAAGTATTATAATTATCTTAACAACTTATGATAATTATGAATTCATAATTATATATATATAATTAATCTCTAAAAAATTAAACTTATAAACATGTTAATTCGATAAACTCTATTCATTAATTAAACATACATAATTCTAGTCTCAGTGTATTTAATATTTGAATTTATCTAAGCAATTTTTAAATTAAAAAATATAAAAAGAAATTTGATTTAATATTTTTGTAAAATTTTGAATGTTCTCTAGATTTAAGTGAATGGGTTAGTTCATTTAATTAGAATTGTTTGCTTAATGTACATTTATATAAATTGATTTTATTTTAAGTCATCTATAACTCTTTTATCTTCTGGCACGAGCACCCTTACCACCAAATTTACGTGGTTCACATCTTCTTGGATCAGCAACTAAAAGAGTTCTGTCATATTATAAAAGAAGATCCTTGATTTCTCTCTTTTATGTTTCATCAATGTATTTTTGATAGTATGCTACAATACCCTTGCTGATTGCCTTTTTTATTAATTAAATTTTTCTACCTATCTAATGGCATAGATTTAAGCAGTTGTACCACCACCTCTAACAGTGACTCTGATATCAAGTCTACCTGTTCTGACTTATCCTAATAATAAAAGTGGTTCAAGGGCTTTTTATCTTAAAGGAGCAGGGTTGACTAATTCAATTGGAGCACCATTAACTTTGACAATTCCTTGACATTTATAGTTTAATTTTACCTTTTCCTTCTCTCACACTAGCACTAGCAACAGCATTCTTCTTTCTTCCAAAAGTTTATACAAGTTTTGGTTTTACACTTGGTGTTGACATATCCAATTAAATACTTAAAAAAATATTTAATCAAATTTTCAATTGGTTTATATATATAATATAAATTTGTAATAAATACTTCATTAAATTCTTCAATTTAGAAAAAGTTTATTGTGATAATCATGAATATTGTATAGTTTATATTGATTGCTTGGTTTAATTGTATAGAATTAATATAAATGAATAATTGTTAATGAAATCAAATTAAGAATATCATTTAATATGAATTGATTTAATATAATAATTTGTTCTGAAAATATTATAGTTAATATTATTTGACAATTTATTTTAGATAAATGTAATCAATTATTTATATAAGATTGTTAAATTGATTAATTTATCTTAATATTAATAATAAGTTAATATAAATTGATTAAGATATAATCTAATGTATGTTAAAGATTATTTAAATGAATTAAGATTTTTGATTATTAAATTTCATATAAATCTAATATTCAGACATGAATTACTAATATTATTTTTTAAATGATAGTAAATTAATTATAAAAAAACAAAGTTCATATGATTATTTTGTTGTTTCTATTTTAGATTTCTTTAAGTAAGTTAATAGCCCCACGTAGGGTTGCTCATGCAATTGATTGTGGAAATGTATTAGATACGCGAACATCTGCAGGTATTAAGTATAAAAGGGTAATCCAATACATAACACCTTTAGGATCATCATTATATAGGATAATCAGAATTAGTGGACTATTATGAAAGAGCTTAGAGAAGAAAAATAAAATTCACAGATGATTAATCACTTTATCTTACCTAGAGATAAGGTTAAAGTTTTGCTTATACTATTCCTATAGGCAATTAAATTCCAGAAAACCAAACATATGTTCTAGTATTAAAATTTGCAGAAGTATTGAGATCTATATATCTAGTTATATTTTGAAGAAAGCAATTCCAGAATCTTTAATGTATTATTAGGCAATAAGATGATTCTATAAAATATAGACATATTTCAATTAGTGGGATCATTTACAGCTCATACAGAATATATAGAATTTATTATTGATGGGGGGACAGTTTATTATTAAGGTGAGATTTGTCTTGGAGCATTAAATAACAGAAATGAATTAATTGTTGGATTTAGTGCAAGTTAAGATTCAGCAACTATTGCAGCTTTGTTTTTATTCAAAGGTCCATTATAAGATACAGATTTTGAAGATAAGGAAAAGTTTTAAGAAAGGTGGATTTAGAGGAATACTCCTAGAACTAATGAGGAAATGAAAAAATAAAATTAAGAAAGAGTAAAAAATATTGAATAAGAAATTAAAGAGAAATAAAGTATTCTCAAAATAAGAGAAGGATTTGGTCATGAATTAGAAATAGAAGAAATTAAATAACCTAAAAAATAAATGGAATGGCCTTAATTCTCATTTCAATTATTATTCATTTTGCTCAAAACTCCATTAGGTGCTGTTCTTTTAGTTGGATTTTTGACAGTAAGTTTTGTAACAATAAGTTTTGTATTCTTTGATCCTTATGGATAAAATAAAATTAAGCAATAATATTAAGAATTGAAGAAATTATAGGAAGTCAAAAAGACTATAATCCCTAAAAAGTCAGTTATATAAAAAACAGATTGAATATCATATAAGAACTTTATTATACTATTCTTTTATTTTCAATCATATAAGCTATTATTTTTGTTGTCTTTATTCTTAATTTTATCCAACTTTAAATCACATCAACATTATAAATTAGAATATTCTCTTTTAATTATCTATGTAGGTTTAGATTGTAATAATTAATCTATAATGTATTGATAGGATTTTTATAGGCAAACTTCTCTAGTTAAAATTACATTAAAATTAGAGCTAGATATAAACATTATTCTCATCCTAAAATTTGATAATCAGTTATCATAGCATATGAACTTTTGTTCTTTAATAGTTGAATTTATTCTACTATATTTATTAATAATTTTTTGATTGTATAATTCTATAATTAATAAAGTGTTTTATAAAAAACTCAAGATTATACTTTATATTAAGTAATTGAAACATCTTAAGTGATTATTTTTTGTTAGATATTAATTAGTCTTTTAATTATATTACTCATTTAATTCTATAATTAAATATTTATTATATATTTGAATTGCTATAATAATAATATAATTTTCTTAATCTTCTTTAAAACTATTGATATTTATTAGAATTAATTTCTATCACTAATTTTGATCTATTATAAATGCTGTATCGTATTCTAATTGTTTAATTAATATCTACATTCCAATTAAATCATTGATATGATAAGTATATAAAATCTATTTAAATTCTACTCAATTGTTTAGAAAGAATATAAAATTTGAATGAAGATTTAGATAACATATTATGAATTCATATTAATTTTATACTATTTAAAATTAATTTAAAAAGGAATCAATAGAAAAAGATATACATATGAAGATTATTAGGTTTCATTATTAGTAAAAATTAACAAGTAGAGTATTAAATATTCTATGATTTTATTATATTAATCTAAGAGAGAATAATTTGTAAAACAGTAATATTTATATTATTACAAAGAACAGAATAGCGTTTTTAATTTGTTTATTAAATTAATGAAGACTAGTCGTTTTTGTTGTTTAACTATGTGTTTTTTGTATTGAATATTTACAATAATTTTCTTATGAAATCAATATTGCTGATAGCCTTGATTGCAATAGCTTTCACAGCTAGAGTGCAAGAGAGAAATCTTGCAAAAATCACAACAGACCTTAAGAAGAGCACATATGGAAGTGCATTACTTCACTTAGTCGAACTCCACTCTATGGCTGGAGGACCCGTCTAAGAGTTGATTGATGCTATTGAAGAGCTTATCAACGATCTTGAAGATGAATTAGAAGAATTAGAATTCAATTTCTAAGTTAGAACCAACGAACACAATGCATTAGTGGTTAGCCTTGAATAAGACATCTAAGACGCTGTTATTGGTAATAATTTTAAATTATTTAACTAGATGTCAATAATACATAAGACACATTAGATAATTTACTTTTCCCAAGAAGAGAATAACTCTAAGTCAGAATTGAACAAATCTAAGAAAACTAAGAGGCCAATAGAAAGAATTATGATGAAGCAGTTCTTGTAAGAGAATAAGAACATGAAGATTTTGAACTCTAAGTTGCTGAATTAAATGATGCAACTGCTGCAGTCGATGATGCTCTTGCTCTTCTTGAAACACTCACCAATCCATCATTATTATAAGTCAAGAGATTCTAAAACTCATTGAAGAACATTGAATAAAAGATTAAATCAAGATCCAAGATGGCTCCAATGATTAAGGCTCTTATTTCATTAGCTTCAAACTAGAACTTCTCTGATTAAGGAATCATTGGTTAAATCGTTGATGCTCTTAATGAATTCAGAAATGCTATTGTTGATTCAATTAATGCTTAAACAGCTGCTGAAGCTTAAGCTTAAGAAGACCATGAAGAATATCTTGAATAATTAGATGATGAATATGCTGAATTCTAAAGATAAATCAATAGAGTTAATGTTGATTTGACTGCAACCAATGGTATAAGTTTTTAATTGATAATTTATAGAAAAGATTGATTAAATGACTGAATTCAGAGATTAAAGAGATGCTGATAGAAAATAATACACTGCTGAACTTGAATTAGAGAATAACACCTATGCTGAAGAAACCGATACATACACCAATTTAAAGAATGAATTCACAAGAGAACTTGGAATCAGTGAATAAGCTTTATCTGTTGTCTAAAGTGCTGATTTCTCAAACATTTAAGTTTGAAAGGAATGAATTATTTAGGTTTCTTCTTAATCAAGCACAAATATTTTTCAATTTTTTTCTTTTATTAATCCTATCATAAATTATCGTTTTTAATAATATTAAAAATATATGAAGTTTATAGTCTTAGTATGCCTTGCTTTGTTAGTCACAGCAAATGACTATGAATTACTTTCTGAATTATCCCAATATGAATTTGGAAAAACAATCATAGCAACAATGCAAATCTCCCTTTCAAGTGAAGAGTAAATTCTATGTAATAATAATTGATTAGCTCAAATATTGATGGAATAGTTCATCAATTGAAATCCATGTAAACTAATGCATAAAGTGACTTAGAAGAAAATACTTAGAATTTGAGACATTAATAAGAACTCTGCAATCTTCGTTTTGATGAAATTTAAGGTGTTATTGATTCAGCTTCAGCCAAAAAGGCATCAGATGAACAAACATTCCCACTTAGATAAGAAGAATTGATTGCCAAGAATTAATAACTTAAAGATAAAGTAGGATAAGATTAAAGAATATAAGATAGATTATCTAGTTTAGAAAAGTCAAGAGAAGAAGATAAAGTAACTATATTTAAATATATCTCTATAGAAAGCATTTGAAGCTAAATAAACAGAATCTGTTGAATTTATATAAGGATTAAAAAAAGCTAAATCCATTGTTTCATAACTTAATAGTTCTTTCACATAAGTTGCTGATGTTAAAACTAAATTACATAAACATTTAGAATCTTTACATAATAAACAAACACCTTATAATGGACTTGTCAAAATGTTAGTGGCAGCTTCAGGAGATGAAAATGTTTCTAAAGTTGTTTAGATTATTGATGAATTAATTGAAGTAAATATTCTAATTATAATGTAAAGTCTTTGGAACATTTATAAAAGGTTGGACATCAAGGAGAAAAAGCTAAATAAGAACTTTATCTCTTATAAAAAGCAAGATATGAATTAGAAAGTAAGACACTTGAAACAAGTTTGGCTGATTTAGCTGCAGATGCTGAAAAATTGAGATAAAATTTATTAGAATTAAAGAATGATATTGAATCTAAAGGATAATTATTAGATGTTAAGAGTTAAGAAATGACAGATTGGTAAAAGACTTGTGCTGATGAATTGAAAGCTCACTAAAATGTTAGATAATAAAAGTATATCATTCATTTATTATTATTAGAAATACTGAGCTTGGAATTATCAATGAATGTATTGAAATTTTCACAAGTAGATTCAATGATGGAATTAAGAGTTACATTCAAAAACTAGAAATATGATTCAAATATATAAAAAATCAAAAACATTATTATATTTTACAAATGATACTCTTTTATATCTTACTTAAGTTGTTCAATATCAACTGATTTTATAAATACTTTATTTGATTAATAAAAATTATTTGTGATTTTTATTTTTTGAATATTATTTATAAATAATTCAATTTTTATTATTCAACTTTAATAAATTCAACTTATCTGATAAATAGTGTTATTTTATTTATAAAATCATTATTATAGAATATAAAAATTATTAACTTTGCTAATTTTATTGAAAAACTATTTATAAAAAGGATTTTGTGAAGGTATTTAATTATAATTTAATTATTATTTAGTGTATTATAAAATATTAAAAATAAAGAAAATATATTTAATTTCAGCTTCATTTCCACATCTGTTCAACTTTATTTCAAATGTAGAAATTCATTTTTAAATACATTTCCTTTTTATATAATATCAATATATAAAGTTATGAAGCCATTCTTCTAATTCTTTTGAATGGCTTTCTTTTCTTGTTCCATCTAAATTAATAATACCCCTATAAATTAATTTACCATCTTTAAAAACACATAAATTATCTGGCCAAATACCAAATGATTCATCAAATAGGTTTTAAGGATAGATATCTTGATAAATAGGAAATTCATCTGGAATATTATATTTAGTTTTGAGAATTTATGCCATTTAAAGTCGTTATTCTTGGCTCTTATGCTAAGGATACTCAAAGCCGAAATATCCTCTAGGCCATCCATCTATGAATTTGCCTTACTCATCTGTTTCAAGAAAATGTGCCTCTTTAATATAAATAAATTGGCATTTGCATGTATCTTTATATTTTAAGGCAAATTCTATGTAATCTGGCATAGAATCCCTATATGGAGGTCATGTATAGCTGCCAGCAAAGACCACACACAGCTTTTTTTCTTCTTGGGCAGATTACAATAATTATTCTAATTGAAGTTCTTTATTGTCAAGTGTCAATAATGGTATGGGAGGAGGTGTTTCATTTAATTTCACTCTGCTTCCATGCATGACATTGTTCCTCCAGAAAAATATTTAAGGTTTTAGTTCAGGATCATTTGAATATTTTCTGGTTAAGGCAAAATATAATCTATGATTAAGAGGGCAATCATCATATCCAAATGTTTTAAGTAACTCAGAATGTATAGCATGTTCAACTGCACTAGAATGATTCATATCTTTATATAATTATTAGACTTTTGGATTCAATCTTACTTACTAGAAATATATATGTATATTTTTTACTTGTTCTTTAAGAATAAACTCAAAAAACTTCTCTCTATTGTTTGGTAATAACTTTAATTGATTATCAGTGGATGCTGCCATCAATTCTTCATAAGTTGGAGGTTGATAACAATTTCCTAACCTCGGTCCTTGTCCTTCTTGATAGGTGTTTGGATCAAACAAATTCAAACATTCCTAAAAATAATATTTAACTTCCTACCTATTCTGTATCAGAAATTTGCATAAATTTATTAATAGAAATATTTTCTTCATTATATTAGTTTATATATTAATATTTTTAAATAAAATTATCTCAGAATTTATTATATTTTATTAATATTCTACTATATAAAAATACTATAAAAACTCATTTGGTATAAATCAAATTTAAGGTTTTATGTTCCTTTTAATTTATAAAATGTAAGTGAAAATACTTTGTATTTTTGCTTTATCTTTAATATAATTTTTTAATCTATTTTAATTTAATCCATTAAAATTATCTAATTATCTATAATATTCTAGATAAGGAGTAATTTAGATTTATTGAGTTGGATATTTTATATTTTCTATTGCTTCACATTACTCTGTTTTATGAAATGAATTCATCTCTAATGTTCTATACATAAATAAACATGCCTTTTCAAGCATTTATATTTCATTGCTTACAAATAATTAAGTCATTTTTGGTATGTTTATTTAAACATGTTATTATTTTTTATGAAGCCATAATTATGTTGTTTAAACAATTATTTCAATAGGCTAAAATAAAATAGATGTAATCATTATAATTATTAAACATAAAACTAAAAATAAAATTACTAAAGAAATTATTTAGACAATTGTTTCATTAATTAAATTTTACTCTAAAGTTTTATGAAATGAATTTGTAAATGTAACATATTCCTCACTACTTAATAACCTATTTATTGTCTTCAATAATTTATTACATTATTAAATACATTTTATACTCAATTAGATTTTCAATGCTGACAATCATTTCTTATTGAGTAACTGAATTATATCTACATTTTAAAGTAGTTCTAAGATTAAATGTTTAACATGAAGATAATCCATCACTCTTTTTAATTTCATCCCAATCTGTTAAATTAAATCCAGTATAAGATTCATTAAAAATATAAAGTGGTAATTATTCAACTTTAACTGTAAAAGGATGCATAATTAATGTACCATCCTCTGAAACCAAATATATTAATTGAAATCCTGTTTCATTATTTGATAGATATTACACTAATTTTGAACCTAAAAATGTTGATGAAACTCCTCCTACAAATTTAACATTTTCATCCACTATTGGTAATGTCATTGATAATCCTATTGTTTAATATGTAAACACTTTCTAATAATAAATGAATAATCACATAAATATGGAGCAGTAAATTTAAATGTATAAGAATCATACTTCGTGGTATTGAAATATGTTTATTTTAATGTTTTGTACCAATCTCTTTTCTCAGGAGCATAAGTATAAATACCTTTGCCTCTATTGACACATGGATATAAATTATTTATTTTTTATAGATCAATATAAGAGTATATATTTGATTGCATTATTAATGATCCTTAATATAATATTTATCCATAGGCCTATATTTATTCTTATAATTTTATTCCTATTCTTTGTTCTTCAGTTAATGGATTATTGTAGGCTGAAGTGTTGGAGTAACACATAAATGAGTTTGAGATATTAGAACCATATTCATTTAGAATTCTTAAAGGATCTGGAATTTATATCATTCCTTCATATTCCATTTGAAACCTTTCATCAATTTCAAGTGAGCTTTTCATTATTTCTTTTTTGGTTCTTAAATACAATCTATGAAATGAAATGAGAGCATTTCCATCTAGATTTAGAAATAATTGATTACTTAAAGCAAATATTTAATAGAAATAAGATTTATAGTTATTCAACATAAATGATATTCTTATTTTTGATTAAGTATCATGTAATATATCAGATTCTGCTAAAAATAGGTTATTCAAAATAGACTAATGAGCTAAATTCCATAAAGCAAATATTGCAACAATCAACATAACAAATACTGCTACTATTATAATAAATTAATTTCTTAGTCTTAAATTAGGTAAGCAATATTAGACTAATCGGAAACACAAATTCAATTAATCCTTGTTTTTCATATTTTTATAATAATAAAATTATTCAGTATATATATTTATTGTAGTTTAATGTAATAAATTACTTAAGTCAAAGATTGATTAGATTTATTATAATTGCAATCATTCAATTAGATTAAGATAAAAACTATTACAAACTATCATATATAATTATAATTGATATAAAAGATAAATTATTATGTAATAATAATTATAAAGACACGGAAGTATGGAACCATTAAATGATCAAAATGCATAAGTTGGTGGAAGTGTAGTAGATTAAAATCTAATAAGATAAAAAAATTGTATTTTGTGGTTATTATGCTTTTGCTTTTTGTTTTGCACAATATATTTATAAGCATTATGGTAAATTTGAATTTTAAATTAATAAGTATGATACCAGGACTTTAAGTATGTTCAATGAGTGGAATAGAAGCTCCTGTGCCCTTTTAATAAAGTATTATAGCATATTACTTTTTTACTTTATTGTTTCTATACACAATATATTATGCTTTGGAAAATGTGAAACATTCAATTGTAGTTTTTATTAGATGGCCATTATTACTTTATTCCTTAGCTGCTATAATAATAGGAGTAGTTTCAATTATTTAATCATACAGTCTTACTACAGATGATATCTAAGAAGGTTGGAATAAAATGACTTAATGGAGAAAGTAATAATATTATGACAGTTCATCAACTAATTTATTAGATGAAAATAAAAGGAATTTAATATTAATAAGCATTTATCATTTTATTTATGGATTTGTTTTTATAATACTTTTTGGATTACTATTTAATTACTAAACAATAATGCCTTAAAATTGGAGACCTCCTTTTTCATCTAGACCACTTTAAAAATAATCTTTAATTTATAAAGAAGGTATGAATGATTAAGTAATGTAACCAAAATAAGATGATGAAGAAAACTAAGAAAAATAATAAGATAAACCATTTTAGAATTATAATTAGAGTGAAATTAGATAATAATAATAATAATAATAATAATAATAACCAATAGATTAATAACCTTCCACAATATTCTAAAAGAAGAATACAGGTCGTAGAGCTTTTGGAAAACAAGTTCAAAATTCATAAGTTTAATTATAATCATAATAATAATCATAATTATAATAATCATAAATACCCCCATAACCAAATACAAAATAAGATTAACCAGAAGAAGAAGCAAACTAATAACCATTTTGATAATCATATATATATATATATATAATAAATAAAATTTAATCTGTTATAAAATTTATTATATTATCTGTTAATTTAATGTCGTCTGCCAATCTTTTAAATCATAGAAGTGTATTAAGAGAGAAATCTCTTAACTTTTTAAATGTTCCCATAGCTGATTACCTTGTATAAATAAATAATTATTTAACCTAGACTCAATAGAAACCAATAACAGAGGATTCATAATATAAAGCATTTTAAAGAAATCTTTAACTTTAAAAACAAATTCTTAATGAATAAGATGATGTTCATTAATATTAAACTGAATTATTTACTAAATCAGTTAAATAAGAAAGAGTACCTATAATTGTAAATCGTCCATCAGTGTAACATTTTAAACCAACTTTACCTAATGATTTTGCTATTCCTAATAGAAAATCAGAAACTATTATTAAATAAATAACTAGAATAGATGATGATTTAGATCAATTAGCTCAAATCTTCTATTAACGTAAACTTTTAATGAAAGCATACAATGGTTTAGAATAACATGCTGAAAGAAAGAATATATAAATTGCTGATGAACATAGATAACTTTAGATGTTTAAAGCATTTTTCAAATAATTATAAAAAAAGTAAATGATCTAGAATTTTAAGAAAAGTCTTAAATAAAAATGAATTACTCTATATTATGATTTTATTAATGTATATACACTTTTTTATTAAATTTAGAAATTATATTAAATTTAATATAATTTTACACAATGTTTTTTGTCCATGAAACACCAGAGATTATTGATAATGTTCAATTTATCAATTTAAAAAATAAAGTAGGTCTTGCATAAGAAGATCAATAGTTTTTATAAAATTTGGAAAAGTAATTATTCAAATATATAAATTTTAGATCAAGAAGTGAAGTTAAATACATATTAAGTCATTCAAATATTAAGACTTTAGTTGAAAATAGAGTATCATTATTGACAAAGAAAGATTCTCTTGATAATTATCTCAAAACTAATGTTGATATGGTATTATTATTAAATATTTTATAGATGAGATTATACTTAATAAAAATAAAGGAACATCCAAAATTCAGTTATAAGCTTACTATAAATAAGAAATAATAACAATACAAAACTGAATAAATAAATAGTACAAATAGAATATATTATTATTATAGCTGCTGAAGAAGCATGTGGATGTGAAATTGTTATGGTCAGATATATGTATTTATTGGGATTCAATAATTCAGCAACACCATATGTCTTAAGACTTAGATATTCAATGTTATCTACTCCAAATAATATAGATTTAAATGATATTTAAGAAGCATTAAAAATTATATCAGCTGGTTGGATGCCTTTTTAAAGATTATGTAATGTTATGGATGATTTATTACATTTCCTTGTGACAAAACAATAATAATTAATTCCTGAATTAAAAATGACAACCATTTTTTCTTTTAAATTATTAATAGAATGCAATATGAATTTCTTTTATTTAGAAACTTTCAGACCTCAAAAATAATATGATAACATGATCAAAGTTTGTAAATCCAGTTATACTAAACTAATTGATGCTTATAATCGATTATCTTAAATTAAAGATGAAATACATCCAGAAATACTTGAATATTGTTTGAGTGGATAAAAATATTTTAAAGTTTATGGAATTTGGAGTATCTTATTAAAAAATGAAAGTGATATCTTATTTGATAGAACTAAAAACAAAAGCTATACTATATTAACAGCTGAATGTCATAAAATTGCTAATCAAATTGTATAAACAGCATAAGAACTCTCTTCTATCAAAAATATTAATGAATATGATAAATTCACTTTAGGATTTATATAAAATGTTGTGAATCCAACTTTATAAAAATCTTTATCAGTCTATAGTTAGAGTGCTAAATAACCATGTTAGTTACCAGATTAATTGCTTGTCTTAGCTGAATCTTTAGATTACACAGATTAACTCAAATGATAATCAAATTTATAAACAATTATATGATTCAATAGAATATAAAAAATTAAATGTTATATTGTTTCTATATTATTTTAAATAAAAGTAATTAAGTGAAAATATTCATAGTATTATTATCATTTCTTTTATTAAAGGATTTTTTAAACATTAATTATAGCATCTTGTCTAAATTGAAAATTGACTTTCATTAATTCTTTAGGTAAACTTTCTTCTTCATCTTAACTATATGTATCATCATCTAATCTAAATGATTTAATCTTTCTTATTGATGCAAGTTTTGCCTTATAAGTTACAGAATTGCTAGGTTAATTCAAACTTTAAAATTTTGCAGGTATTGAATTCTTGGTTGTAAAAAGAGAATAACTCTCAAAGAATTATTATCTCTAATATTGAGAGTTATCAACACTTTGATCACTTTCTAAATTTTCTGATTCAGATGAAAATTTCATTACTAATCTTTTCTTCTTTTGAATCTAAATTGATTTAATTGGTTATATATTTGGCTCTGCTTCAACATAGTAATTTAAATATTCAGGGTCTTACATTTTTACTTATATATAAATTTATATTAAAATCTGATATTAAATTGCTTTATTTATTTGAAGTTTCAAAATTAAAATTACAATGGAGTATAGTTAATCTCAAATATGTTAATTCAATTAATAACTTTTAATGAATAATTGGTCTTTATTAAATTAATTTTGTAAAGAAAAACATAAAGAAATCATTTATTTTTACTAAATTATTTAACTAATTGCTTAATCTTTACTTCTCTCTTCCAAATTCTTAATACATCATTCATCCTTGATTTAAGTATCATCTCTTTCATCAAAGTAGTAATCTTACTTAAATCAATCATTTATCCAGGAGGTGACCAAGGAGATGCTAATGAATCAAGTAATAACTTTAATTTAAATTAATCAATACTTTGAGACATATAGTAGAATTAGACAATATTGCATATGACAATGGAGTTAATTCATAACAATCTAAACTATTTAGATAACTTCTGTTTTAAATAAATAATTTGGTCAAAGCAAAATTACTTTAAATGCACGCTAAATGCAAAGGGGTTTATCCATACTCTTGTTTACTTAATTTAAAATACTTAGTTTCGAATATGTACTAATTAAGGATCTTAATGTAACTCATTTTTTATCTATTCAAATTATTTGTCTATTACTTTCTATAAAAATGTTCTATTATATGTAATTGGATAACAGAACCATAATTTATATTTCAACATATATTTTACAACCTATATTATTTCTTTAATAATTCTCTAAAACCTTTTTATTATTCTATTATTTCTTTTTCTTCCAGATGTTAATTATAGTTATTAAGCTGTATTAGCATATGAGATTAAGATCTTTCTATCAGTAGAACTTATAACATTCTAAATTTTCTATTTTATTGTTTTTAATTAATTTCTTTAATCAGAGACACTATTATTGAGATCTTATTTAAATCTTGAAGTATTAATTTTGATTAATGTTTTCTTAATATTACTTTAGCTTTAATTCTCTTGTTTTATTTAGGATAAATTTAAATTAAAGCCTTGTTTGGTTTTATCAATCTATCCATTCGAATTCACTTTGTGAAAGGATAGAAATTTAACCAATCTTATTCTTGCTGATTCACCAACTTATTCTTCAACAAATTTCTCTTCAACTACAGGAAATACTTCTGATTTATCTTTCTCTTTACTTTATTCTTGACTTCTCTTGTTTGAACTTTTTATGTTAAAAAAACGAGTTGATGATATTGCTGATGATTACTTGTCAACTATATTTAATAATTATTTCAAAGTCCATTTCTTTGGTTGTTTTACTATTTTTGGTTCTTTGTGTTATAAGAAATTAGTATAAAGCTGTTAATTTTAGTACAAATAAATACATCTTGAGATTTAGCTTAGTGTCTCAGAAATCTAATTGTTAAAGGTTCCTTATTTAAAGTCCCTGCACTTAATTAAGGTTTCAAAATTAATGTCTCTTTTTTTGTTTGCATAAAAATTGAAAATAAAACTTGATAAATTAAATAAATTATATAAACTATTAATTAATCTATAATAAATTATAAACTAAAATAAACAGAGAATATCAATTAATAATTCTTAATCTAATTGATTAATTAGAATAATAAATAAGCATAATAAATATTTGATAATTTTAGTTCTATACTTTAAATGAAATTTAGAAATAAGGATAATAAAATTCTTAGAATTATTTTATTTAGATTTTGATGATTAATTATTAATTTTTTCAGTTATGAATTAAGTTGATAATTTACTCAAACTATCCTTGAGTACTAAGAAATCTTAACTTTTAGATAATAACTTAAATCAAGACTTTTTTAATTAATGGGAATAGAAATTATTGTAAAAAGAAACACAAGTACCTTATATCATAATACTATAGTATAGTTAATATAAAAAGAAAAGTAATTGAAAGAAAAAGAGAATTAATTATCATAAAAGGAAAACTTATTAGTTAAAAAGGAATTAGATTTAAACAAGAGAATGATGAAATATTCAACTATTTTAGAGTAGATTATTGAATAGAAATAAACAAAATCAGATACTTAATTATTACCATTAAATTCTAATAATACATCTCATAGAAATAAAAACATTAATGAATACTAAAACAGAGTGATTAATTTATTAAATACTATAAGAAGTAATAGTTAATAGTAATAATAATTGATTAATTAACAATCTTATATGGGAAGTACTTTAGAAATAACTGAAGATAGATTTAATAAGAGTTCAAGAGGATTATAATTACATTGAAGGTTTTTACATAATTTCAATTTATATAATATATAAACAAAAACACTAAAAAGAATGATAAGTTTTTTCTTCATTTTCTTTTTTATTTATACTATGATTTTCCAATCTATAGCTATTACAAAATGTCCAATTTTATTGAAAATTCTATAATTTATATTATTAGATTACTTGTTTCATTTTCTAACTTAGGTATAGGTTAAGGAGTTTTATTTGAAAGGAATGAACTTCTAGGTTAATAATTCAAAAAGGATTTATCTGGAGATTTTTTTGGAGTTCTTCCTTCAATTTTAGGAGAGTAATTTAATGCAAAATTTTATCTATCTATTCTGGAACTTTCAATTAAGAATGACTTTTATAATCCATTATTATTTAATTAATTAAGAGGAACTTATTTAATTAAATGATTTAATGTTGTTCTAGCTGATTTAATTGGTTATAATTGAATAGGTAGACCATCCTAAAGTTTTAACATTTTTTCATTGACTCTTTCACAACTATTATTAGTAGATGCATTCATAAATTTGAATTTTTATTTTGAAGATATACCAATAGGTATTTATTATTTTTTTTTGTTATAAATCATTTGATCAAGCATATTAGCTTAAGTTTTAATATTATCACTTATATTTCTATTATTATTTTTAAATGAGGATTATTGATCTTGAAATGAATACACTAATCTTTCAGTAGGAGAAGAATCTTTTAGTTATTTTTAGGTTATATTCTATAATAATAATTAATTTTCTCTTTAAGTTTGAATTTGAATTTATTTCAATTTTTACAATTTTAATTCTTTATAATTAAATTCAGATACCATTGAAGTGATTGATTCTTCTTAAATAGTATCTAAATTAGAATTATAATGTTTATGATAAGTAGTAATAAGATGATTTATATATTGAGATGAACAAGCTATATGTTTACATGCTATTTCAATAGCTTTAAGATGATATAATTCACTTAATTTAAATTCTTCAGTATTAATATCTTTAATTCCTTATAATTTTGCTTTTTCTAATTCTATAAATCTTAATTCAGTTGCAATAGTAAAATATGAGATTGATAATTAAATGATTTTTTCCAATAATAATCTTTTTGAAATTTCATATAACATTTCTCCTTATTATATAAATTCACTATATATTAATGGAGTCATATGCATAATAACACTAATATTAAATGATTAAATCCATTCTTCAACATTTTAAACTCCTAAGATTGAACGATAATCATCTTCTTTATTATTTAATTTTAATTCTTTACGAATATGTTTTTCATTATTTGTAGGATTATTCTTCCAGTAATATAATTACTTTTTAGCTTCTCTCAATATTAATTGTTCATCATTAGATATATTATCTAAATCTTAGTAATTCAACATATCTAATAATATATCCTTTCCTGAATTTATTACTAATCTACTAAATTCAACTTCATCTTTCATTTAAAATTTATTATATTTTTATTTTGATTTATTATTCAAACATGTATTATTGGTTGTAACTGATTCTAAAGATTCATTTTAATTAAACCAATCTTTACAAAATTTGGATGCTAATAAAAATACTTATCTCATAGTTTATGCTGCTTTTCTTGCTGATTATAAAGCTTATTAATGTCTAATTATTTAATTTTGTATTACTTTCCTAATTAACTTAATATAGCAGTATGTTATAATGAAGCTCTTGCAAGGAATGATTTTATTTTAACTTAAGTTGCATCATTATATTAATTTACGTTTTGATCATTCATACTTTCATCCAAATTGTATATAACTCCAGTCAAATAATTTGAGCATTTATGTAAAACCCATTAACTTTATTAATAAATTCTAATCCTTACCAGTGATAACTGCATGCCTAATTATAAAGTATTACAATAATCAGATTCTTATCCATTTATTTACCACAATTTGTAGCATACTATTATATTTTATATACTGATATTACTTCTAACATCTTTTCTGATTAATATAGTAATTATATGGCTTCCTAATATCTTTATTATTTAATTTTGAGAACACTTTATTCATTGTATTAATTGATTTGATGTATATATTATTCTAATTTTTATAGTAGATTTTAAAGATACCTTCATTTTATAATAATTCTCTTAATCCATTTTATTCTATAATTTCTGATGGTTCATCTTCTTAATACTCTTCTTTTTGTTCGAATTCTTATAAATTTTTAATTGACATTTATTCAAAAATATAACAATAATTGAAATAAATTATAAATGTTTTGTCTAATACCAAAATAATTTAATTTATATAGATTTCAAAAGTGCTCAACATTTTTCTATTATTTAATTGATTAATAACAATCTTGTAAATCAATTTAAAAATTTTTTTATACATCATTCAAACACCAACTTTGTTGTTATCTAAATATTTTAATATCATCAATAAAATTAATATTTAATTATTCTACCTTTTGTTTATTATTATTAATTTCTGATTTCAATTCATCTATTTATGATCTATAATTTGGATTATTTATTAATTGAGTATCTTAATTAATTTAATCTTTTAATTCTTTATATAGATTTATCAATTTAATTGCTTCATCATAATCTTTTAAACTTGTTTCCATTCTATAAATATACTTTTATCTTAATCTAATCTCATAACTTTCATATATCTTTATGATAATTTGAAGTATATTAAATTCTTCACTTCCCTAACATTCATTCACTAATATCACTTATATAATTTACTAAATATTTCACTACTATTAGATAATGCTCTTGTTTATATCTATAATTTTTAAACTATTTTCTAAAGATCTGAAGTTATTATTTCAGTATTAAGTTTATTTTATTCTAATTCTTTCTTATCTTTAACAATATCATTACTAATTTACATTCATCAAATTATTTATCAAATTCATCAGGTATTCTAGGTATTATTTGAACATTCTTATAATTATAGACTTTTGAAAACATACTCATAATTGATAATCCTGCATTAATAAATTTATTGATAATATTCTACTAATCCTTCATATTCTCAATATATTATTAAAATGCATCATATTCCTAAAAATCATTTAAATTTATTTAATACTTTTAATTCTTCACCAAAAAACTTTTCTGAACAATCAACTGATTATAATTTCTTATGACTTAATATTTTTTACATAAAGAAGACAAATTCTAATTTTCTTTGTTTTTATTATATAGAATATTATTACCTTTTATCTTTATCATAAACAGTCTATCTTTCAGGAAGACTAGGAATAATCCTGCCTATTTATTTATTTTGTAATTCATTTTATAACCATAAGAAATGTGTATATCTATTTTCTTAAGATTTTAATATACCTTCTAACAATATCATGAGACTTTTTATTTTATGTTAATAAATCTATTTTAGTGATTGTAAACTTATATTTAACTGTTTCTTTTCCTCTATAAAAATTCAATATGAAATTTTACATTTATGATGTTTCAATTTCATTTCCAATACATTTGATTTCATATTGAATACGAGTTTCTTCTACTTAATTTCCTCTTTTGACTACATCGAAAATGGCCTAAGAAGTTGTGATTAAATCATAATTGTCTTTCATTTATTATTATAGAATTAATTATCAAGTAAAAAATTTCTTCTTCAAATGAGATTAGGCAAACACTTATTTAAAATTAAACTTTTGATGTTGACATGTGACATTGTTGTTGTTGAAAAAATTATTAGCAAAAGTGAAATTACAATCATCATCTTTTGGAATAGGATCATCAATTCTAGGTAATTTAGTTCGTTTATTATAATTTTAAGAGATGGATTACTTTACTTCAATTAACTTTGGTTTATTGGCATCCTATTAACTTTGAGGTTAAATATGAGATCTTGAATTCTTTTTCAAATCATTGAAATCTAATCTAATTTTTGTTTTTTGAGATCGAGTCAAATTATCAATAATCTTCTATTTTTGGTTCAATGATTTTTTCAAGTTCTCGTTTTCTCTTATAATTAATTATATCTAATCTATCGGAGATTCATTTAACATTTCAGTGGAGACTCTGTAGGATTTAAAAGCCCTTAATTATGGAGAGGGTGAGTGACTAAGTTATGAAAATTAATACTTTGAATCATTATCATTTGTAGATGGAGTAACTAAAGCTTATTTTAGGATTTGTGGTATTTCATTAGGCAATGAACCTTAGAACTTAAAGAGATTAATTACCAATTTAAAGTCTGAAAGAATGAGGTTTTGGTTTAAAAAGTTGACAGTTCAATTAATTGAAAACTCCAAAAGATTTAGAATGATGTTAATCCATTATTATTATATAAATAATTATTTTTTGATCATTATTTTATATTGTTATATCTCTATTTAAATTATTTCAATAATGTTTTCTGTTTCATATTGTTACACATGTTTATTTTATAACTTCATTTTTGAAAGTATCAATTATTTTTAATTATTTTTAATCAATATTTAATTTCTATTGAATATCCTTCTTAAACTTATAGAAGAAAATGGAAGAATCTTTTAATACAACTAATTTGATTTATTTTAAGTACAATCCTTATTTTATAGAGCAATATATAAAGAATTTAATTTTTTCTAGAAAATCCTTTTTCTTTTTATGATTGAACAAATAGTATTTATTAATGATTCAAAAAAAAATAATAAAGTTTAAATTGCAAAATTTAATGTTGATAGATAATTATAATCTATTTTTAGAGAATATACTATTTGTATATATTCTAAATTTATATAAAGTTTAGTATAAAGGTGATAATTAATTAGATATTCTATATATCTATTAATTTTTAAATTAAAAGATTTTAGTTACATGTTTTATTCCATTTATTTTTATGTCTTTCTGATAATTATAAATTTAATTCCATAAATAAAAGATAACATTCAATCATTTTATAAATTTGATTCAATATTAAGATTATAAAATGATTAAAAATTTTAAAGTAATATTATACAATAGATAATAGTTCTTTTATATTTATTCCTATTTTATTAATACTATCTATATTTAAGTCAGAAATATAATTCCTTAATCTTATTCAAAATTACTTTCTTAATATTGGGAATTGATAGTTGAATATGATTGCAGTTGATGATAATTAATAACAATGTATGATAACTATATAGTTTTGAATGATTGTTTAATCATATATAATATATAAAATTTTAAATAAATAAAATATCCTTTTTAAAATTATGGCTGAATAAGAATCTGTAGCTACAGTCAAATTTGCAAATCAACCTAAATTATTCGGAAAATGGGATTATGATGAAGTTTAAGTAACAGATTAATGCTTCAAAGATTATATTGCAGTTCAAACATCAAAATCACGTGTGTTTGTACCTCATACTGCTGGAAGGTAAAGAGATTCAATTATAATGTTTATAGATATCAAAGAAAGAAGTTTAGAAAGGCTTAATGTCCAATTGTTGAGAGATTGGCTGGAGCACTTATGTTTCATGGCAGAAATACAGGTAAGAAAGTAAAGGCTGTGGCAATAATCAGACATGCATTTGAAATTGTTCATTTGTTGACAGGAAAAAATCCACTTGCAGTATTATCACTTGCTGTCTAAAGAGGTGGAGCAAGAGAAGATTTTACAAAAGTAGGAACTGGTGGTGTTGCCAAATAATAAGCTGTTGATGTTGCTCCAATTAGAAGAGTTAATGAAGTATAGAATTGAATGATAATGAAAGGCTGTTCACAATTTAGCCAAAGGTGTTAGAGAATCAGTATTTAAGAAGATGAAAACAATAGCTGAAGCCTTAGCTGATGAATTGATTGCAGCATCCAATGAAGATGGATAAAAGTCATATACAATTAAAAAGAGAGACGAATTAGAGAAAGTTGCCAAAACCAATCGTTGATTTAGATTCATTAATTATAGTACAATACAAATAAACATTAATTAATAAAAATGAGTTCATATATTATAGCAGGCAGTTCTGATAAAGTAGATACAGCTGAAGTATTCTCTATTCTTTTAAACTTAATAGTGTGAGAACATGGCCAATCTAATTAGACAATATTATCCAGAAATCTCATTCAAAATTGTATTGAAAGATCTAACTTAATGGGAATAATATGCTGATGAGATATGTAGAATATATGGATTTAAATAAAAAAGTAATCCCATCATATATACAATGGATGGATGTCTAATTGGAGACAGAAATGTATTATTATGCAAATCATTTAGGCATTTATTTCATTAGCAGAGAGTAGATTTGGTTTCTCTGATCCAAAATTAAGATAAGGACCTATTACTCCTGATGTCAATAAGAAAATAGCCAAATAAGAATTGGATCTAAAATTAAAATTATAGAGAAACAAGAAAACATTAGTTGAGAAAATAGAATAACAGATGCTTATCATTTATTCTAATAATATTGTATAACCAACAGATGGTGTATTCAAATAGTCATTTAAAAGTGGTGTCAAAGAAAAATTGAAGACTTGGTATGATTCACTAAATAATTTAATACGAACAGATGTCAAACGTAACTTATCAACTGATAGTATTTACTCATCTAGTTTTAGAAATGGAATGAAGGTGATTCCTCTATTTAATTTTAGTTCCTATATAAATTTGATGATAGATTGAGACCAATCAAAAAATTATAAGAATCTCATTATTTTGAAGAAAATAAAGAAACCATATAAGAATCTAATTATGTTGATGTTGAAGTCAAAGAAGATGGTAAATTAGTAATCAAACAAATATTATGGTTTAGTGAAACAGCCAGATTTCTTACTTTAGAATAAGAATAATTATAATAATAATTATAAGAATTGGCATAATAGAGAGAGAGGGAATAATCTCATAAGAATAGTAATAATATATTATCATTAAGGCATAATTTCATCTGATATTAGAAGAGACAATAATGAAATAAATGATATAAACTCATCTCCTAAGGCAACAATTTAAACTTAACCAATTGTTGAATAACCTAATGAAGATGGGGAATAAGATATCATAAAAAATGATTAGATTGAAGATCTTTAATAGATTGATCAATAAGTTACTGATTAATAATAAGAATAAATTAATCCAACTATTGAACAATAAGAATTAGATTAAGTTTAATCTATTGGAGATGGAGGAGCTATAATGGATTTATAAGAAGATATTGAAACTATCTTAAACAATAATTAAGAAAAACCAGACAAAATTGATGTGTCAGAATTATTTGTTCATAAGTTTAGAAATCAATATGCATTAATTTTACATCCATTTCCATTAATGGATGGTTAAATGTTGTTATGTAAACCTATAGATAATCATATTGATGATTATAGTTGTATTAAAAGAGGAAGAATAAATTCATACAAGAAAAGTAGTGCATAATCAAATTGTGAAGGATTATATGAGCACTAATTAGATATATTTAAATCAATTACTATTTAAGATTGTGAAGTTGTTACCAAAATTATTAATAAATGTGATGCTTTAGTTGTTTTGAATATTCTTCCATAAGATTTAGAATCATTTTTACCATTATCTAATGGACATTATTCTATTATTTTAAGATAACATGCAGAATTAAATAAAGCTAATAAGAAATTGTTTAAATTCTTAAATGAAAAGAAAGTATAAGTTAATTATAAACAATTAATGCCAATTGAAGAATTTATACTTGATCAAAGAAGTTAATGTTATGAAGTACAAAGAGAAGTATTTAAACGTAAAATTTAAATAATAATAATGTAGTTAAATCTTTGGATATTCAACATTACTTTGCATTCCCTCCATAGATTTTAACAGCTGAATCTGTTATGGATATTATATTGAAGATTATGTCAATAATTTTGGATTATGATCATAGTAATCTAATATATTAATATTTAGCTGCTGCCCTGAAAATGGGATTTAATTTATTAATAAGTAAACACATAATATTTTTATGTCCAACATTTTCCAATTATGATAATATAGATGGATTTAAATTACATCTTTAAGCATTTACAGCTATGGGCTTTCTCAATCTACCAACAGGAAGTTCTTCAATCAATTTCTTTGATCTATTGTAAAAAGCTCAAGAAAAGGTTTAATCATGATCATTAATAAACATTATATATATATATAATAAATCATCTGAATTAATATTCTCCACAGTAAATATAATCTATATCATCATCCCAAGTAGTATATTATTTATCTATTCTATATAAATCTAATATTCGAGAATCATAGATATATTAACAATTATATAATGCTTCAATTAAACCTCTTTAATCAATTATTTAATTTAAAAACTCTGGTTCAGTTTTATAATTCTAATTTTATTTTATAATATTTTAATTTTGGTCATATTTAGTTTATTATTTCTAAAATCTATTTTAACCTTACTAATTATTATCAATATTAAATTCCATAGCTTTACCTCTCTATCTTTTATTATCATTATCATCTATTCTCTAATAAGTAATTAAATCATTTTCAACTTGATTTAAAATCTCATCAATCTATTCTTAATTGGATAATAAATCTTCTCTATTTTCTAAACCATTTCTATTTGTCTCTTCAGATTATCTTCTATTATCACTTGATTTATCTTAATTAGACATTTAATCACTTACCATCTATCCATCACTATTAATTCTATAATTTTTCTTATCAATTTATTAACCATTAGCTCCAAAAATAGCATTTTTTCTACTTATCATTTTTGCATCTCTTCTTACTCTTCTTTTTGTATCAGTACCTTTATCATCAGTACCATTTTCACTAGGTTCATTTTAATCATCTAAAAAGTTTATATTATTATTCTTGTCTTTTGTATCCATAATATCTTCAATACTTAATTTAGTATATTTTCTAGGTATTTAAGTTTTAGAATCTTTTTAATCTTATTTAAAACTTTTAAGTTTCTATTTTTATGAATCAACTTGTGTTTGTTAAATTTATAATTACTCTATTGGATTAATTAACTTTGATTATTTTGATACTGAATTTTTTGAAGTTCTGTTCTATTAGGCATTTCTTTTTGATTGACTAATTACTCCAGAAACTTCTGATAAATTTTCACAAGATTATTGAGAAGTTGTATTATATTAATCTTAATCACTAAATTAATCAGATAATAATTGCATTATCTAACTTTGTTCAGCTGTATTGAATGAATCATCAAAATTAAATAATAGATTTATTCTATTGCTCTTTTGAATTTTATTAGTTTAGAATAAATTAATAAGAGTTTCCATTCTATTTTTAAATTCAAGATCAGGTTCTGCTTTTGGTAATGCATAATAATCATTATAATCTTAATTTAATAATATGAACTCTTTTCTTAATTTTACTAATGTAATTACTGCTTACTTTTTCTCTATTTATCTTACATAACCTTTATGATTTTTCAGTAATTTCTCTACTTAATTGTATATTTCCATTATTTTCTCTCTTATTTCAATTCTCTTTGTTTGAGTTTATTACTAAGGTTTTTTCAAGTAGTTTGGATACAAATCTAAATCAGGTGCACTTCTCCTAGGATCTCTAGATATCATAAAATGATTCTAAAAGTTCTCATTACTATTATTGCGAATACGCTTTAGAGGACTTTCTTTAATTTTAGTTGTCATTGTAGCAGCATCAAGTGGTTTATATAAACAATTAAACATTTCAACTTCATTAATAGGAGTTTAATCTATTTTCATAATGCTTGAATAATGATAATAAGAAGAGCTTTTATGATGAGTTGAATGTAATGGAGTTGTTGGCTATAATATTTTAGATATAGGAGATTGTGAAGGATTCAAAGATCTTGAATGATGAGTTGATCGTTCATGAATGTGACTCATTGCTAATTATGGTAACTTAATCTTAGTTACTGTAGCTTTAGACTTAATAATCATTATATAAATAAATTATATTCACCTTAAAAAAAAGATTATTATTTCTATTATTTTCCCTCAATTTCATATATTATTAACAAAAAAATCCATTAATTATCTTAGATAATAATAAAACCATCTTATTTTGATTTATTCATTTAATTAATATATAATTTTATAATGCAAGATTTCAAAAGAACTAAACTTGAGACTTCTTGTAATGAAATTTAAAGCCAATTTAATTAGATAATTCATAAAGAACAGAGGATTTCTCAATCATCAATGGGCCTACTGGTACAATCAAGTAAAGTGATCATAAATTTGATGAATAAGCTAGTGAAACATCAGAATACTAAGAAAAGTATAATATACACTTTCATTTAGTAAATCATCTTCTTTAAAATAACCCTTACCTATAATACAATAAGATATTGAAAAGTCAGAGTATGAATCACAAATAGTGGAATCCTTGGCAGATTCATATCCAGGATCTGAGATTAAAGCACTTATTGAATAAAAAAAATAAAGAGATCATAAACCTGTAAGATAATTAATCTTATATATTTAGATATATCTGAATATTATGGTAGTTGGCTAATCAGGATTGGGTAAATCCACTTTCATTGATGTCTTACTCAAAAAGAAACTTGGCACAGGTCAAATCATAAGAGATTCTACTCTATAAATTCAAGAAATATAAGGTATTTTTTATTCATTCAAAAACAAAGGTTTAATTACTTAAAATGATTTAACTTTGAATATCAAATTTATTGACACTCCTGGTTTTAAACATTAATACAGTCTCAGATCTTGGCTTAAATTATTATGTGGACACATAAAGAATTAATTTAAGTCTTATTAATAAAGATAAAATCTATAATATGAAAGTAAAGAGAAATTTTAGCAATTATCATAATAAGACTTGGATGAAAGAGTACATGTATGTTTTTACTTTTTCTCTGGTCCTAGAATTTAAACTGAAGATTTGTAAGCACTCAAAAAAATAAGTGGATTAGTTAATGTTATTCCCATTTTAGCAAAGGGAGATTCCTATACTAAAAATGAGATTATTTAGCTTAAATAACAATTTAATGATATGATAAATGAATATCATATTGATTTGTTTAAATGTTAATGTAACAATAATTTTCATGAGAAAAGTCAGTTTGGATCTACTACTCCTTATGTGATCATAAGTTCAGTAGAATAATTTTAAATAGGAAATCATTTAATTTATGGAAGGTAATAAAATAAATAATTATTAATAATAGAAAATTTCCATGGGGAATCTGTGATATCTTTAATCCTTAACATTCAGATTTAGCAATTTTATATAAATCATTAATTGGACATTATTGTTTAGAATTGATTAAATTAACAAATTTTCTGTATAACAATTATGTACAATAAGAGAAATAGAAATTGAAATTAAAGTAATAAAACTAAACTTGGTTGTCTAATTTAATAAGTTACTTATTTAATCGATGAACTATTTATATAATATATAAGATTATCAACTAAGAAATCAATATTTATATATATTATTAATATATAATAAATCAACAATTAGCTGATGGCTATTCCTCCTATTTTTATTCATGTGAATCTTTTTCCTTTTCTTGTTTCAAATAATTTAAATTTAATCTATGAGTATTTCCAGGAGTATATTTAGGACTAGTTTATTTCCCACTATTCTATTTTGGTTTTGGATTTGATAATCTCACTTGTCTATCAGGAGTCCAGTCTGGCACTGTTCTTGGAACATAACTATATTAGGCTAATTTTTATGATTAAAAGTCATCCAATTTATATCTATTATACTTTTCAATAATACCTAATAGTTTACACTCTCTTTGATACATTCTAGGAATCAGTATCCACAAATGATTATTTATTTGATGCATTCTGATATAATCTCTTAGATGTAACGAAACCAGCTAAACCTTGTGAATTTGGTTTATCAAATGTTCTTATTTACTATCTTTATTCTCTTTCATTTTAAAATAGATCTGATATGTAGGATTGAAGATCACCTTTCATTCTGTTAGCTTTTTAAGACTTTCTTTCTTCTATTATCTACCTTTCTTCATATGGTGATTTTAATTATTATTAAGGATTAGGAACATAATTTTTAAAGTTTTAAGCTGCCTTTTGAGGAGATATTTATATCTAAGATTCAATTATAAAAGAAGATTTAAGGGATATTTGACTATTTCCTAATTAACCTTTATTTTAAAGACTACTTTGAAGTAAATTACCACTACTTCCAAAAGCAGCCTTATTTCTAGAATATGCTGGAGTTGAATCAATATAACTTCGTTTAGCTTTAGATTGATTAGTACCTTCTTCTTCTTCATTATTTTTTTATTGTAATTTATTAACTTAAAGTTCTGATGATTTGATTTCAGATTTCTTAGCTAGAAATTGTGCAAACAAATCTTATTCATTTTGAACAACATCTTATTTTTCTTTTTACTTTTATCCTTCATTTACTAAATTATCTAATTTCTCTTATAATTTTTCTAATGTTTCACAATTATTTGCTATTGCCTATACTCTTTTATTTGGTGCTGCATCTAATCCTCTTAAACCTTCTTTTGGCATCTCTCCATTATCCAACATAGTCAACAATTAAAGTTTCTCATTAATGATTTATAATTTATGATCATTTTATTTTTATTTGTATTCCCATTATTCCCAAGCTTTAGAAAAGTTTTCTTCATTCAATGTAGTATCTTTAAATACTTAAGTTCTATTTAAATATAGTTCAATAATCTTACAAATCCAATCCTTTAGCATAATCTCCAAAATCTTCAATGGCTAAAACATCCTACCCTTCCTTGCATAATGATTTAAAAGCTTCTGCAGCATTTTTGAATTTAGATGATAAATTTTTCTTTAATTAAATCCATTAATTTAAAATAGCTTGATTTTTCTCAATCTCTTACTTCTATTAAGTTAACTGCTCAATTTCAGACATATTAAAATTTATTTTAATTATAAATAAAAATTTAATTCTCAAGTAATATTAAACATTTTATATATACATATCTAATAAAAATGATATAAGAATAATAAAATACTTAATTATAGTTATTGATAAATATAAAGATTTTTGTATATAAATATATTTAATAATTTTGAGTTCTATTTATAAAATTAATAAAATGATAATGATATCATTATTATTATTGAAATAAACAACAATATAGTTTATAAGGTATGATCTTTAATAATTCTATTATATATTAAATGTCATTTAAGATAATATAATAGAATTTATATATATATATATTTATTATTAATATTAAATATTAAATAATGTAAAGAAAAAAATTGGAGCGAAATTTCGTCAATGAACAATCGATATCAAAATATTTAAAGTGTATTATTTGTGCTGCTGTTTATGATGAACCAACTAGATTAAAATGTGGGTATTGATTTATTTAAATGAAGTCATACTTTTTGTAAAACATGCATTATTGAATGGTTAAATAATCATCCTAATTGTCCTGAATGTAGAGCTGATACATAATAAAAGCATTTTTAAAGTATTTATTATTATATTATATTTAAGCTGATCGTATTGCTGCAGGAATTATAAGTGAATTGGATGTTTATTGTTTAAATAGAAAGTATGGTTGTAAATGGAAAGATGTTTTAGATTAATTAGAAAATCATTAAAAGAAATGCACTGCTAAAAGTGTTGCAACATAACTTAATTTAAAAATTCAATCTTATTAAGACAATGATGAGGATAATGAACTTGCTTAATAAAATGATCCAGGAAATTTAGTTACAAGAATATATGCTAATTTAAAGGATAAAATAGAAGTAATTGATGCTTTAAAATCTTCAAATGAAAATACAAAAGATAATAATTTAGAAAATGATGATCCATTAGCATTTTTGGAAGAATTGCAAAAATTTTCAGATAAAAGTCCTTTAGAAGAGAAGAGAGAAATTACTTTTAGCGATGTTGATATACCTAAATAATGTCGTGAAAGAATAATATAATAATAAAATAAATGATAATCTCATTAATCTATAATACCTATATATGAATTTAATTTCTTAATCTTATGTTTATTTTTCTCATTCTATATTTCTATCTGAACAATCAAGGGATCTTTTAATACTTTCAACATATCAAAGTAAGTGAAATAAGGCTGAACTATTCTCTATAAAAATTCCTTATACTCTATTGTTTATTATATATCTTAGGGTATAAGTAAAGATAATAGTGTTTCAAAATCTTAAAATTTTAAGATATTTTATGTATGAGCAGTGAAAAGCATCTTAAATTTATCGGCAAAAGATCCTCTTAATAAAATGGTTAAACAGATTAGAAATTCTCTAAAATCTAAGAGTTCTGATTTATTTTCATCAAATAAGTTAAAAATTAACTACAATTTTTCTTAATCTAAAGAATAATGTTAGCACTCTTTTCGTAAAAATATCTCCTATTTATATATAGATAACTGATGATATTACCATAAAATAAAGAAATGTATCTATATTGATTCCATATTTTTAGAGTTTAAATGATTATATTATTAAAATCTCTCTATATTAATCATCTGCATCTTCATCAGATGAATCAGTTAATTATGCTAATTATTTCAAACTTTATCTTTATTATTAATCTATTGAAATAGTTCTTTTCTCTAAACAATACTTTTTGAACTGTGTTTATAATGTTGTAATCTCATCTATATCAAGATTTGAGATTTTTTTTAATTTATTTAAGATAATAGGATCATTTTACACCCATGATCTACTTGTTTTTGAGTAATATTATTCAATATATAAAGTTCTTTCAAATTTTGTAAAGTATATTTCATCCTTTTGAAATAGTTCAATTAAATTGGCATAATGAACAACTTGTATTTAATAGGAACATATAAATACATTTTCCTATATTATTCAAAATTTTAGGCTGCATGAAATCAATATCTCTTGTAGTTATATTTAATGTGTACAGTAGAACCTTGTCAATAGGAACAAAGGATTTAATTTTGAACATTTGAATCCAAGTGACTAATAATGAACTTATATTAAGCACTTATATCATTAAAGTTAATAATAATTATGGTCCTTAAAGTTCAATAAATTGGATTAAGATTTCTTTATTTTAAAAATCATTAACACTTATCATTTCTTTAAGAAAATTAATTTCAGCTTAATAACCAATTAAAGATGCTCCTGATGAATTTGAGAAGAATCTTGGAGGTATAATCACATTAAATAGATGATTCATTAGAAAAAAGGCTCCTTCTTCATCTGCTATACATAAACAAATAATTGCAATGTAATTCATTCCTTAACAATATCCAATAGTTGGATTATGAGCTACAAATAATTCTAAAACACGAATAATTGAATTTCTAATTTATTATTGTTCTAATCCTTATTAACATTGTGTTACAAATTCTCTTATGCTATAATTTAATAGATGAGAATCTGATCTTCCAGTAAGTATATCTTTTTCAATATTTTGTTTTTCATAAAACTCAAGAGGTTATTATATTTTAATTTTTCCTTTTTTATTACCCAATAATTTGTTCATGAGAAGTGATCTAGTATTCCATTATAATTTGTATTAGTTAATTAAATCCTGATAATATAGATAATCTCTGTAACAATTATCACAAACTCTTTATGGTTTATCTAACTCTTTCACCATTTCATTTGGTATAGAATATAACTTTGTAAATAATATTGAATTACCTTTATTCGATTGCTACTACAAGAGAGACAAACATCTTAATGACACCTTTTACATTTGCTAAAGAAACGCATAAGCCTAAAATTATGATTTTACTTAATTACAATATTTGAAGAACCTTTTAGCATACACAACATTTTGATTTTTCAAAAATATTCATTAATAGTTAATAAATATATTAAAAATACCCGGGAAGAATGTATATAGAAGAATTTTCTAATTAACTAAATTTGGATCAAGAAACTTTAGATAATGTTAAAACAGCTATGCAATAATTTTCAGAATAAGATGAAAAAGTATATATATTATTAGAAAGTATTAAGATTTACGTTCCAGCTGTTGTTTATTTGTGCAGTCAAAGCTGTCAAATATAATAAATAGATGGAAAAACAAAATAAGGAAATGGAATTACACTTACATAAGTATAATAATAATAGGATTGTAGATAATCCGCAATTTGGATCCATAAACTGATATTGAATAGTTCTTATTGATTTTGTAAGATCTTCCTGCTCTTCTGAAGTATCATTCAATTGAATTTGATAATATTGTCAGATAAGCAAATTTCAGTTTTAGATTATACAAAAAATTTGACAAATGTTTTAGCCTTATTCAGTATATACAATAAATTAAGTATTTATTAGACCAGTTTAAAATCCAAGTTAAACTCCATAATTCAAAAAAGAGGATGATAATGATCCTTATATATAGGAATTAAAGAAAGTAGCATGGATTCTGTGTATGATGGTTAGATAATAAATTGTACAATATGAAGAGTAGTTAGATAAAAATCAACATAAAATCTATGATCCAAATAGTAAAGTTATTTTGATTCTTGTTGGATCTTTATCTATTGTATTTTAAAATTTACCAAATACATTCACATAAAATGTAGTAGATCTTTCATAAAAAATGTTGTCATTTTTTTGTAATGAATTAAATGAATGTGATGAAGAATTATAATATTATTAGAATTTATGTTATACATGCATAAATCAAATTGTAAATGTAATGCAACATAAAGCCAAGATTATAGATTTATAATAAGAATTTCAAGAAAATTAAGTACCTATTTTATTTGAAGAAAAAACAATTATTTAGACTTATAAAAGATTACATAAATATTATGAAAAGACTAGAAAACATTCAGATTTAGATGAAGAATGTTTTTTAAGACAAAGAATTGTATTTACTCCTAAAAAGGATATTAACAAATAAACAGATTATTCAGAATTTGAAACTTTGTAAAAGAAAACTAAAATAAAAAGTGATCCTCCTTTTATGTAAACACCATTAAAAGATAATAAATTCTCTAATACTCAAGAAAAAACATATTTTGATATTAAGAAAAATGCAATTCCTCAAACTCCTATAAGTAAATGTATGGAATTACATTAATGGATGAAGAAAATTACTATATAAACATATAAATGTTTTGATGATGATGATGAATAAGAATTTTATACTTAAGCAACTATTAAATTAAGAAAATACTTTGAAATTACAGAAGATTCAAAATGTTCAAAACAAATTGAATAAGAATAAACTATATTAACATTATGTTTAGCTGTTATTGACTCATTAATTAAATAAAATGATGGTTAATTTGATTTAAAACTTCTTAAAAATGATAGATTTTAATATTCAATTCTAGGTTTGTCTTTATACACTTATTAAATTGTAATCTAAAAACCTAATTTATTGTAAAATATGAAATAATTATGCACAATCTTTGAAATAAGTCCCTTAGATTTATTTAGAGTAATAGCCAATTTTGCTCATTTCAATCGATAAATGCCTTCTACTATAACTTCGTAACTCTTTGAATTAGAAAAACATATCTTATTCAATTTAATGTGGTAAACAGATGCTGAGAAATTAGTTGAAATATTTAAAGATAGTATTTAATTTAGTTTTATGTTATGTAGATTCCCCAAAATACTTTGATTAAGAATTAGTGAGAAGATTTTAAAATCATTTAGCCTTGAGAGTTAAAGAACTTTGTAAAATACTTTAATTAGATATTCATGATTTTGCTTATTCAGCAATATGTGAGTTTATGAAGAATCCAAAATTAGAAGTACTTAAGGATGTGATTTTTGATACAGTGATAGTTTGCACATTTTATGTGATATAAAAACATCATAAACAAAGTCCTTCCTTTAATTCTTTTAATAAAGTAACTATATATAACACATTATAATAGCTATATACTTAATATTACTCTTAATAAAAGCAAGTCTTCACTAGAATCGTTGAGTATTATAATGAAAGATTTTTGAATGGATTCAGAGATATTGTAAAATCAATATCTAATGCTCAACCTTTACATATACCTAAGAATTTCGAATGTCAAAGTCCATTAATAATAAAACCTATTCCTGTATCTCCAAATTATAAATTATCGTATATTGCTACTCCAGAACCACCCTCCCCTCAAAAAAACTTTATGCGTTCATTGATGCAAAAGATAAAACCATAATAATAATAATAATAATAATAATAATAATAATAAGACATTCAACCTTTTTAAGATTGATTTTATATTTAATAAAGCAATCAAAGAACTTCTGCCAAGATATTTTGATTTCTCTCCATCTCCTATATAGCTGGTCTAAACAACTAAAATTATATTCCTTATAACATTATTCCCATATATGTTAATATAACTCTCTCTGTCTACACTTTCCATATATGTGTATATTATAACTTCATGGAATTGTTTTAGCATAGCACTCTAAATTATATAAATCATTACATGCAAGAGTGACACAAATATAAAAAATAAATGGTATATAATGCATCTATGCAGCCTTCTTCTTCTCTAAAAAACTATTTGCATATGCAAAATAAACCATATTTAGTAAAAATGATAAATCCACTAATGTTTCATGCTAAAATAATTAAGTTGGCATCGCCTAAAGAATTATTTCAATAAGTAATAGTAAATGAGCAACCTATCCTGCGAGACAGATGGTGGGATTAAAATTCATTTTATGTTGTTTCTTTGTCAAAAACGGCAAAGTTCCTATTTGTTTATTTGTAAATGATTTCTTTATAATTTCTGAAATTACTATACCCAATATACATAGACAACACATACAAACCTCTTACTTAAATTAATAACTTACAACTAACCCAACATTGTATGATAATGGATCATCATAAAAAAAATAAATCCTATCCTCTTCTGGCAAATTTGATAGAGCAATCAAAAAACTACATATACTCAGACAGCAATATATTGTTGGTTAATTACTCAAAATTAAAGTCTTTTAATTTTCATTCTTTGTTTCTCTCATTGAAGAAAATAAAGAAACTCTATCATCTGCCAAAATATCATAGTTATATGTCTCTTTCACTTCTCTTTTTCCATAAAATGCAATGATATCGTCCTTATTCATCGCAGATTCTTCTAAATAAGTTATTTAATAAATATAAACTATTTATATAAACTAATTTTCTTTAATTCTTATTTAGAAAAATCATAGTTAACATTATCATATTTATATATATACTCTAAAAAACTAATTACTAAGTATATTTAATACTAATTTTATATATACTAAATATAATTAAATTAATAGTTGTATTATCTCTAAAATTATAAAAATAATATGAATCCACTTAATTTTCACTTAATAATTTTATATCATCAATAAAATATAAAATAAGTTATTTGATATTAAAATAATACCCTTAAGAAATCTTTTAATGCTTCTTTATAGAATTCTAACATTTTCAAATTATGCAATTTTCTTAATTGCTTAATTTAAGATTCTTGTTTTTTGTTATTATATTTAATAGTAGAACAGTTCAAATATTCACTTAAAAATTCAATGAGATTTAATTAAAACTCCTTTAATCATTTTAAAATAAATAATGAATTCACTTATTTAATGTATTATCATTTTTTTATACTTATATGAAATTAATTTTAAGTTTGGTAGGTCTTTTGGTAGTATAAGAGTGGAACTCTTTTTTTTCTTCCTCATTCTTTTCTGCATTCAGACCATTTAATTCCACAGGAATATAAATCTAATTAAATACAGATCCACTTTCTTTTACTTCATCTGAAGATGATATTTAATTGTTATTTATAGTTGATTAGGGCATAGATATTTTCTTATGGGTGGATTTGGGTTATATATTTTCTACAATCTTATTTAAATCTAATTTCTGATGAAAATTTTAATATAAATTATTTATTTTACTTGATGTTTTGATTTATAATTGTTAGTCATCAACTTTAGATTCTTTTTGTGTCAATTATCCATAATTATTATGTGCTTATAATATATGTTTTTCTAATTTGTCTCCTTTAGAGAAAGACAATTTACATTTAATACAGATATAAATTTCTAGATCAGTTAAATGTTCATTTCTAATATGATTAAGACAATGTTATTAATCTTTTATGATTTGTTGACATTCCTTACATTTTAAATCTTATTAAAAATATAACTTAAAAAATCCTTTATGAAGCTTATCAAATAGATCATTTTAGTATTCTTTATCACACAATTATTTTAATGCTTCAATTTAATTGATAGAACTCTACTTCATCTTTTATTCGATATGATAATAAAATCGTGATATTAATTTGCGAGCAGTCTATTTAATATCAATAAGTTATTCTTATTTAGGATCTTCTTCATTAATAATCACTTCTACACTTGTTTCATCATTTATAATGACTACTGGATTCTCATTTGCCTTAGATTTGATCATGTCTGTATTTTTATCAATATTGAAATTATGTTTTTTAATAAGTGTATGAAGTATATACAATTTGTCATTAAGTTTAGATATGTTCTTATGACATTTCTTAACATTTGCTAGAATTTAGGTCTTATTAATTTGAGATTGCATAAAATAATATTAAATAATTATGAAATTCCCGATTTCATACTATTAAAGAAATATAATATAAATTTTTAATTAATTAAATAATTTATAATATTGTATAATAGTCTAAATCTTATAATATATAATATTAGAATATTAATATATCTATCTTTATTTATTAATTGTTTATAAAATTATTATCAATAATAATTATCAATGTCTTCATCACTTTATTATTTATTTATTTAATCCCATTCATCTTAAAAGTAACTCTAATTTGGTTAAGCATATATATCTGAAAATAAATTGTAACATCTCCAAATAAGCTATTCAATTTTAAGATGTAATCCAATAGATCTACTATCAATATCTTCTGCAATTCTAGCAAAAGCTTCTAAAAACTCTACAAAACTCATTTAAAATATTCTATCTGAATTAACTTCATCTATTTGAGTCATCATAGCCTTATTGAATGCGAATAATGATGTATTAGGTCCATATGTATCTAATTGATTCAATCCAATATGTGAACACATATCTTATAATTCTTATAAACTCATAAATGGTTTCTATCCTGGTTTTACCTTTTTCACACTATATCTTATATAAACACTATCCAATATAGTTTTATAATGTTTCATACATAAATCACATTGTTCATTCCAATATCTAGAATCTCTAAAAGTCTAACTATTATATTTATTGAATTCCTCTTTTAAATGATCTTCCCATAACCATTTTAAAGCTTCTTCAAAAGATTTTGCAATCCCATTTCGAATATATTTATCTTCAGCTATTCTTATCCACATTTCTAAAAATTAAAATCTTACCATTCCTCTCTCTGGTTTTCTAAAATTTCCTTTCTCTGTTCCAGATATGGTGGCTAAGTATTTTAATTCCATATCCTATTATTTTATTATTCCTTTCTCATTCATCTCTGTTAACTTAATCTAACTTAACAATTGTAAGTTTATTAATGAAGAAATGGCCCAAACATCTCCAATTGGTGATAAACATGCAAAATGTCTAATGTCAAATTATCTATTACTTATAAGTATCCTTTATTTATTGATAGTTTTATCTCAAAAATTCATAACATGCATTTCTATCATTTTCATCCTTAACTAATTTTGTAATTCTACTTAAATTCCAATCATTTGAAAAACATTTATCTAACATTTCTTCAGTATCTTTTTTCCAATCTTTAAACAAAGAAATTGGAAATGACCAAATGCTCTTATTTTCAATTACATCAGGTATGTATATCAAATCTTCTTATCTTGGTTAAACATTTATCATAGGCATATAATATTTATCAATTATTTATGTTCCTTAAACATTTATGTAATTTAATTGATTCAATTTTACATCCACTTTTTTATCTAAAATACGCACTTTATTTAATGGCAATGGCCATCTCTTATGAAGTTAATCCTAAGCTACACATTAAATATCATCATTTGTAAAAAAATAGTAGCATAAACCAGGAGGAACCATTCTCTAAACTCTTAAACCTTATTCAATCTTTCCCATATATAAATCATCATAATTCAAATAAGATAAATGCAAGAACATTGGATCATTTGCTGGACCAGAATCTTATGGATTCCATTAGAAATCTACTTATCTCCAACCTTCACAAATCCAACAACAATCTTTGATATTACTATCTCTATATGATCTTAATCTTTTCTATTTAATATATTAACATCCTTATATTCTTTAAGCAATTTAATGTTGAGACTATTCCATCTCTGCTGTTTCAATAGGTATTAAAAATCCTTTTGTATCTACATAACCAGAATTACCTGTGTAATGAAATCCTATAATTGTTTTATTTTTTTTCAATCCTTCAGCTATATTTAATGTTATTTTATATGAGATTCTATTGAAAGACAAATCAAAATGAATTAATTCTTTATTGGTGCTCACCATTTGATTAAAACTATTTGACCAATCCAAACCAATCCCTATTGAATTTTAGGATAAATCTAATACTTTTAAATTAGATTTTTGCAAACTATTAAAAATCATGATTGCTCCATTTCCATTTAATCTATTAAAATGCAAATATAATTCCTATATATCTTCATTATTGTATATCATATTACAAAGTGCTGTACAACAATTATTTGATATATTATTCTTACTCAAATTCAAAATCTTTAATGATCTATTATCAGCAATCCTTTCTAAAATTTCAATTATTAAACTTTCTTTTAGTTTATTATCTTCTAAATTTAATAATTATATTTTGCAATCTCTACTCACTAAGGAATTTCCAATCTCCAAACATCCACTGCCAATCTTATTTTTTGATAAACTCAACTTATATGCTCCTCTAGTACTTCTTATAATTTCAGATGAACTCATTTAAGTCATTCGATTATCATTTAAATGAAATTCTTTTATGTCATTTTACTTTTATAATCCCTTTGCTAAAATCACCATGTACTTATCTCCATACTTCATATGGCTATTAAGAGATAAATAATACTTTAATTGCAAAACATCATTCTTTTATCGATTAAATAATCCAAAACTCCCAGGAGGAATTTATGGAGATGACAAACTACTCATTAAGTTATCATTTCTATTATAAAATTGATTTTATTCTTAAATTCTTTCAATTGTTTTATGAAATCGATAAAACTCCTTTTTTGTACTTTTTGTAGTCTCAGGAGATAACTCAAAACTGAAATCAAGTTCTTCTTCTTCTTCATTCTTCTGAGTAATGAAATGACCTTTATTTTAAAATGGAAGTTTAGGTAGAGACCTTGTCATATTTGCCTTTTTTCTGATTTTCATATAATTTAAGAGATGGAATAAATAATAATAATAATAATTATTTTTCTGTAACTTATAATTAATTCAATCATTTGTATATATATAATCATAGATGACTTTAGATTTTCTTTTATTATAACATATCAATCGATTAATAACTCTTCAAATTCAACAAATTTATTATGTAAATTTATATTAAAAGTAAAAAATTCTATAAATTATATCCATGTATAGATATAATTAAGTTTAACTGTTAAATTCTTACCTTAGATGGTTTTTCTGGATATAAATTACATATATCTAATGAATTTATAAGCTAGTATGCATAAAAAATATACGGATATCATTATCAAATTAAGAACAAATGAATTTATTTTATATCATAAACTTTTAATGGCAATTAAATATTTTGAAATCAATATTATTTGATATATAATTATTATAATTCAATTATTATATTGACTTAATTAAGATACTTTATTATTAAAATAATCTATGTACTATTAAAAAAGAATTCTTAATTTATTGGATCAATGAATTTTATATTTTGAATATAATTAATTCACAATAAAAATGGAATATAAATTAGAATTTCTATTTACTAAAAAGACTACTTTGATTTAAAGAATTGAAATAGTAAAAAAATAAATGAAACTTAGTTCAAAGTTTATTTATTATTATCAAAAATTAAGTATTTTTAATATTAAATCAGAGTTAATTATAATATCGAAAATAAAAAGTAAAAAAATATTATTAAACTAAATAATTCAAATATATTTCTTTAAAATTACATTATATAAATAATAATAAAACAGTTTAACAATATATTATATTCTTAATTTAATATATAAAATTTGATTAAAATAATTACTAATATAATATGTTTCAAAATGTTCTTTTATGAATAAGTGACATTTTGCCTTCAGGATTTTCTTCATACTCTTATTTATTGATTGCCAAAGATTAAAATGTTTTGAGTGATCCAAGCATAGAACCACCTATCCAAGCACTATATTTTCTTTGGAAATCAGCCACAAAATTGAATTCTGATCTCATAGCTCCACCTGGATAGATTTAACAAATATCATCTTATAATCTGGATATTAGTCCTTAAAACATAGAAGTACCTCCACCAAGAACCATATTAGACAATAATTCTTATCTCAATTCCTTATCACATCTTTAGATAGAATTAACAATCATTTAAGGCAATGAAGAACTATTCTTATTTATAATAGCAGAATTGAATAAAGCTTCAGAACAATGATATCTAATTTTTGGAGTAATATGAATAACTTATTCATCTGGTAATTCATAGCTTTTCTCTTCTTCTGTAAAATTATCTTCAGAATTTATCTAAATTTATAAATAATAATTATTACTTGCATTTCATAATCATTAGCAATGTAACACATCTTTTCTTTAATATCTTTAATAATCCATTATTTCTCTTCCTCAGAAAACTTATCTAGTGATATTTCGTAGGTTTATAAATCATTTTCCAAACATTATGTGATTTCAGCACCAGAGATATGAGAATATTCTAAAGCATGCATAATTGGAAATCCTTAATATATTGGAACAATAGTATTAACAGCATGTCCTAATTCAATAGATAAACCACTTAAAATATTAATTANTACTATTAAAAAAGAATTCTTAATTTATTGGATCAATGAATTTTATATTTTGAATATAATTAATTCACAATAAAAATGGAATATAAATTAGAATTTCTATTTACTAAAAAGACTACTTTGATTTAAAGAATTGAAATAGTAAAAAAATAAATGAAACTTAGTTCAAAGTTTATTTATTATTATCAAAAATTAAGTATTTTTAATATTAAATCAGAGTTAATTATAATATCGAAAATAAAAAGTAAAAAAATATTATTAAACTAAATAATTCAAATATATTTCTTTAAAATTACATTATATAAATAATAATAAAACAGTTTAACAATATATTATATTCTTAATTTAATATATAAAATTTGATTAAAATAATTACTAATATAATATGTTTCAAAATGTTCTTTTATGAATAAGTGACATTTTGCCTTCAGGATTTTCTTCATACTCTTATTTATTGATTGCCAAAGATTAAAATGTTTTGAGTGATCCAAGCATAGAACCACCTATCCAAGCACTATATTTTCTTTGGAAATCAGCCACAAAATTGAATTCTGATCTCATAGCTCCACCTGGATAGATTTAACAAATATCATCTTATAATCTGGATATTAGTCCTTAAAACATAGAAGTACCTCCACCAAGAACCATATTAGACAATAATTCTTATCTCAATTCCTTATCACATCTTTAGATAGAATTAACAATCATTTAAGGCAATGAAGAACTATTCTTATTTATAATAGCAGAATTGAATAAAGCTTCAGAACAATGATATCTAATTTTTGGAGTAATATGAATAACTTATTCATCTGGTAATTCATAGCTTTTCTCTTCTTCTGTAAAATTATCTTCAGAATTTATCTAAATTTATAAATAATAATTATTACTTGCATTTCATAATCATTAGCAATGTAACACATCTTTTCTTTAATATCTTTAATAATCCATTATTTCTCTTCCTCAGAAAACTTATCTAGTGATATTTCGTAGGTTTATAAATCATTTTCCAAACATTATGTGATTTCAGCACCAGAGATATGAGAATATTCTAAAGCATGCATAATTGGAAATCCTTAATATATTGGAACAATAGTATTAACAGCATGTCCTAATTCAATAGATAAACCACTTAAAATATTAATTAAAATAATTACCTGACTAATCCAGTTGAAAACAATGATAAACTTGCTGAATTCATAAATAAAACTGATTAGACTTTGAGATAATCAAAAAATATTTCAGCAAGCTTTGATTTGTATTCTTTACTATTCTTTACTTGATCAATTATTAATAAATTAACTTATTGTAATTCAGATATTTGTAATCCATCTTCAAGAATATATTACCAAAATTCTTTCATTGTTTCTACATTATCAATTTTCTAATTAAATATAATAATTATAATTTATACTCCATCTTTGATTGGATTTGATAACTGTACATTCAACTTTTTTTCTTTAACGACTTTCTTTAAATCTTAACCAAATAAAAGTTATGGTTTATTGTTTGGGTTATCATTGTCATTTTAAACTGAGTGTGATCCACATTTATTGTCATAGATGAGCTATTAATATATAATAAATTCTTAATTACTCTAGGATAATCCTCACCAGAGATTCCCACTTTGATAGTATCAGTACCATTATCAATTACAACAATGTCTTTTTAATCGTATTCACTTTCCATAGTGGCTCTCTTATTAATTTTCATTTTATATAGTTAATATATATGATTATTTATAATTATTCAATGCTAATGTTATTGATGAGCAGCAGAACCAAAAGGATTTTAATCGTGTCTCTAAAATATAAATGAATAAATTTACAAGAGATGAATAACGTCTTGCTAAACCACCTGAGGAATGATCACCCTTTAATGCAATAATCTTATGTTCAGTTTCCATTGGGTTGATTTCTTTGCTTCCACACTCACAACACATATCTTCTTTTATAAATTTAAGGAAAAAACATCCAACTATTGAGATACATCCAAATCCAATACCAATCAACCTGAAATATATTAAAATATAAGAATTTACCATTATTGAATTTTAAGTCCAAAATTACCATAAAGACCAATAGCTTTAGAACCAAATGTAACCATGAGGATTTGTATGCAGAAAATTATAGGTACAATTATCATGAATGCAGAATGTTTAGTTATTCCTTCAAAAATGTTGATTTCATCATTGAATCTTCTACTATTGAGAAAATTGAACAATTGAAGCATGATGAAAACATTAAAGACATAAGTAAACTAATATGTAATGAATTAATAAATACATGACGAGAAGGTTCATGAGTATCTTCAAAGAATACAGCATAATCTCTACCTCCTTCAGGAGTATTCAATCTACCACTAGCTATCAAAGTACAACTAGTTTCAAAATCACATTCTTCACACATGATTTCATAACATTTGCCATCATGGCATACACATTCTGAAGATAAACAAGCTCCACTAGTTTTAACATCTTTCGACCTAGATACATCAGGAATCAAAGTCAATGGTCTACCACTTTCTTCTGAATATTTCTTGAGATCATCAAAAGTAGTCTTACACAAATGATCACTATATTTATATCGTTTTTTAATTCCTCTAAAAGCAGTAAGATCATATTCATCTGGATATTCTGGTAAAAAGGAGTCTCCAGCAAATACTACAATTAGAACAACAGCTATCTATATAATTGCAGTTCCAACAATGAATTTAAACATCTTTTTAGAGATAATGTATTCATTTCTATCATGTGGTTTACGATAAAGTAATTTCTCACTAGGTGGTTCAGTGGCTAAGGCAAGAGAACCTAAAGTATCCATAATCAAGTTGACCCACAACAATTAAATTGGTTTCAATATTTCTTGACTCAAAACAGCTGCACCAATTAATGTCAATCCCACACTAACCAAATTAGCTGTCAATTAAAATCTCAAAAATTTTTTAATGTTATCATAGACATTTCTACCCCACATCACAGCTTTAACAATTGAATTAAAGTTATCATCCAATAGAATAATAGCAGCAGCCTCTCTAGCAACTTCAGTTCCTGCTATACCCATAGCAAATCCAACATCAGCTTTTTTAAGAGCTGGAGCATCATTAGTACCATCTCCTGTGACAGCAACTACATGACCTCTTTCAATTAAACCTGTCACTAAGGCATACTTATCTTCAGGTCTACTACGAGCCAATACATCTAAATGAGGATAGATTTTATCAAACTCTTGAGGATTTGCAATAGTGTCAACTCTTACATCCTTATTTTCCTTCTTAGCTGTAGTACTATCTCTTGCACAAGGGCAAATAGCTGTTCTACATTTAGTGCATACAACTCCTCCAATCTTTGCTATGAAATCAGGTCCTTCCATAACAATAGATTAATCATCTCCTGGAGTTATGATACCACATTCCTTAGCAATAGCTCTTGCAGTCAATTTATTATCTCCAGTAACCATTCTAACTTTAATTCCTGCTCTTCTACATAATTAAATAGCTCTTGGAACTTCTTATCTTAGAATATCTTTGATTCCCAAAACTGCAACTAATGTTAAATCACTTTATTCAACAGCATAAACTCCTTTGTTATCTTTTGTTGTCAAATCTTCTCTTGCACTGATTTCTTTGTATGCTAAACAAATAGTTCTTAATGCTCTGCCAGCCATAGTTTCAATTGATTTTTCTACCTTTTATTTTAATTCTTAATTCATAGGAACAATAGATCCATTTCCTTTAGAATGATATTATGAACATGCAGCTAAAACCATTTCAGATGCTCCTTTACATACTAATCTACGTCTTCCTCCATCTAATTCTAATACCATAGACATTCTTTTTCTTTAACTGCTAAATGGGAATTTAGTACTAGCAGGATATTTCTCTCTTTATTCTTCATAATTCATAGAACATCTTTCAATGAATTCAAGTAATGCAATTTCTGTTTTAGATCCTTTTGGTTCAGGTCTAAGCATAGCTGATCCATTGACAACTGCACATTAAATAAAGAATTCTTAAAAGTTTTATGGGAAATATGATGTCAATTATTATTTTTCAGAATAGGTATCTATTTCAATGATATCATCATTCCACACATTAACAAGTGACATTTTATTTTGAGTCAATGTTCCTGTTTTATCTGAACAAATCATAGAGGCTCCTCCCATAGTTTCACATGCTGCCATTTTTCTAACCAGATTCTAATCTTAAAGCATTTATTTAGTAGAATAAGCTAATGATAGAGTAACTGCTAATGGCAATCCTTCTGGTATAGCAACGACTACGACTGTGATTCCAATAATAAAGTATCCAATGATAGTAACAACCATATAATTTTCCCAATCATCATTTAATCCTCTTTCAATACCAAATCTTAAACACATTACACAAACAATCAATATTGCTGAGATCAATCCAAACTTACCAATATCTTCAGCAATTGCTGTTAATTTCATTTATAAAGGAGTTGCTATTAAATTAATGATTATATTTACCTTCTGGTTCATCTTATCTTAATAAGGCTGCAATCTTACCAGCACAGGATGAGTCTCCTACAACGAGAATGAGCATTTTCCCTTCACCACTTAAAACTCTTGTTCCACTCATCATTATTGGAGAGGGAACATCATGATGACCTGCTGTATTCTAATAATTTATTAATATTATTATTTACTTATCCTCCTTCTTCTTTTAATTAGTTCCTCCTATTAATACATTCACCTAACACATTTTTCTTGATTGGATCTGTTTCACCTGTCATAGCACTTTCATCTGATGTCAAATCTGATGCCTCCAATACAAAACCATCTGCAGGTATTTCCATTCCTTCAAATATTTATACAACATCTCCAACCAACACTTCACTCATATGAATATCACATTTCTTTCCATTCCTAACTACTGTCACTCTCTTTCTCTCATCAGCAACTTCATTCAATTTTTAAAATTGTCGTTCTTTTTGATAATCATTCACAGCATTTGCATTTGTAGATATAAACACTGCCACCAATATTGCAAATCCTATTTTCTTTTAATTTTATCAAATACCTTCAATCCATGCTAATTTCCGGTAACTCTCATTAGCAGTTGAAACATCAACTATAATACTGACAATGGCTGCAACACATAAAACCTTCATTGTAAAATCATTCAATGCACCCAACCACAATTCACAATACCCTTTAGGTTCAATTTTTGGTTTTCTATTGTGTCCAAATGCTCTCTCTCTCTCAACTTGGTCTTGCATGGTCAAACCTTACTTGAAATCTGTACAAAGCCCTTCCTATCATATTTAAAACATCTAATACCTCTATCAACTTCTCTCCTAATTCTTCCAGTTTGTCTACTTCCTCAGCAAACACTCTTTCTTAGCACATATATGCAATCGAACACAAAGTTTGCTTAGCTATTCGAAATTTTCCATATGGTTCAGCCCCATCGTCTTTCAGTTATTCCTGTTGCGTCATCGGGTCTTCGTCAGCCATTGATTATTATTATTATTATTATTATAATCTTTTTTATTTGAAACCATAAGAATATGAAACAGTTATATATTAATTATCATCAATAATATAATTTGTATATTATGTATCTTTTGAATCCTTTATATTCTAAAATCAGATAATTTGAATCATTTTTTTATATGAATTTCACTACACATGTGAATAAAACATCTATAATTATTGATTACATCAATTCTGAATGCTCTATTTCCCAAACCTGTTATTTTCATTTAATCTAATTTGCTCAATTAGTATATACTAATTAAACACTGACTAAATTTAAATCCTCTTTTATTGAATGAAAAGTATTATAATACCATTTTATAGCCACAATTAGCTCTTACAAAAGTGATTGCAATGAATTAATTAACTAGTTGCAATCAATATTTTAAATCTTTAGTCTTAGTAATATTTGAGGTGAAGACCCAAAATTTAGTAAGGCACTCCCTAAATTTTATTTGTCCCTTTGTTAGAAAGGGGATTCATTATCATTTCATAGTTATATGAACTTAAGAAAAAATAAATTCTCATATATATATATATAATATAAGGAAATCATTATATTAAATTATGTTTAAACAATATCAATTTATAGTTGATTGTCTTTAAGAAGATAACAGAATCAAATTTAAATTAATTGACAATCAAGACATTAACAAATTGATTAGGAAATACTGCAAATATTACATAGCTAATCATAAAAGCTAGACAATATATTTTTTATAACATTTACATTGATTAATAATAATATACTCAATTATACTAATATTGAATAACTATGGGTATGTTTATATTCATGTGATTTTAATATAAAATTAACTATAAAACACATCCATCGATTATATTCATAAACTATTTGAAATTGAATGCAAAACTTTAGATAGTTTGATATAATAATTCAAACTAATACAAAGTATAAATCAAGCTATAAGGCTTTCAAAGATTATTATCATCTTAGTTAATTGAAATAATTAATGATGAAACTAAAACAATATACTCAGATGAGTTTGAATTCTAATTCAATTATATTGATAATATTTTACTATAAAATTTTTATTACTAAATCCATTGCTTAAGATAACTTATTTACTTTAACGATCAATAATTTTAATGATTATAGTAATAAACTCTTACATATTGTATTTTTGTATAAATATAACAATATTATCTAAAGATAAACATGTATAAAATATATATTCAATTAATTCATAAAAAATTACTATAGAATTAAAATATATTATATGAATTCAATATTATGATTCAGAAAAAAGAGATTGATTAATGATTATAAGATATAGATTAATTTGAATTTGTATTTGTCAGTTAAGATAATAAAATTAAAAATTGTAATATAATCATATACATAAATTATCAAATTTAAACTCATAAAGATACAAATATTCTGATAAAATTATTAGAACTTATTGTATATTCAATTTAAAATCTTTCTATTGCTGTAAACTCTGAAATATGATGTGACTTCTTTGAACATATGCTTGCAATTGATATAAAGTCTTTAGGCTAGTTATTTATCCCTTTTATTAGGCATTTTCAATTTTAAGCATCTTATTCTTGTTAATACTTAACTAAAGATCTAATTTCATCTCCTTTGAAAAAATAATAAAATTTATTAAATTATCCCTAAATTAATATTTTTAATAAATTTATTATCATAAATTACGTTAAGTATTTTATTAATTATACTCATTCTTTTGAGTATATTTTATCTAGCAAAATGAAAATATTAACATTTTATTATTTGTTGATTTTGCAGAGAGCCCATAATTTATAACTAGTCATAATAATTATTATATTGTAAAGAAAAATATAGAATTTTCTATCATATCTTTTTGATATTATAGATATTTATAGAGTTTAAGTTTTTAATTTTGATAATCTATAGAATAATAATTTTAAAAAATTTGGAATTATAAAAAAAATTAAAATATTAAAAATTATTTAGTTATTACTATATAATACATTATTATCGTCATTGCTAACAAATAGTGAATATTTGCATTATATGGATATTATCTAATAATTTGTTTAAATAAATACTTTACGATTTAAAATAATATATTATTAATTATAGAAATAATATGGATTATCAAATAAATGTTAACAGAAATTTTCTTTTATGAAATGAAAAAGATTGGAAATTAATACTTTATATTATAATTCTTATGTTTAAATTTATTTATGTTGTTATTTAATGTAATTAAGGAGGATATAAGAAGTTTAGTTGAATAGAAAAAGTACATTGTAAATGGAAATTAAAGATATGTACAAAAATTAAATGAGAGAAATTGAGTGATATTTATACATAATGAATGATTAGAACATTAAATAATAAATATATCTTGATAAATGAAACCATAGGCTGTTCCTTAATCAGTAGCATAAAGTGATCAAGAATTGGATAAAAATCATCATGAAAGTTAAGCAGATGATCATGGTGATGAGCATCACTTTAAAGAGTATTCAGCTAAGGAGCTTAAGACCATTAAAATTTAAGGGTTTGTTTGTATACTTGGTGGTATTGCTCTTCATTTTGTACTTGGTACATTTTATCTATGGGGAGGCATAAGTAAGATAAATCTACTAATATTAGGTCCTTATGTTGGTGCTTACATGAAGAATAGGGATCAAAATGTCACATAATCAACACTTTAGATTGTGTTTCCAATTTTAGGAATAGCTACAAATTCTGTTCTTTCTTTTGGAGTTAAGTTAGCACAAAGAATAGGTTTTAAAACTATGATAGCTGGAGCTGGATTCTTGATTTCCCTTGCATTTCTAATACTGTCCTTTATTAACAATATTTACGGCTTTATCTTTATATATTGTTTTATGATAGGCATTCCCTCAGGATTAGTTTATATGTTGCCAATTAGTAAATTATTTTATATTATTTTTTAGTTTGTGGATGGAAATACTTCCCATTTAATAGAGGAATGGTTTCAGGTTTAATTATTGCTGGTTATGGATTTGGAGCATTTACATTCAACTTTATATGCAAAGCTATTTGCAATCCCAATANATACATTATTATCGTCATTGCTAACAAATAGTGAATATTTGCATTATATGGATATTATCTAATAATTTGTTTAAATAAATACTTTACGATTTAAAATAATATATTATTAATTATAGAAATAATATGGATTATCAAATAAATGTTAACAGAAATTTTCTTTTATGAAATGAAAAAGATTGGAAATTAATACTTTATATTATAATTCTTATGTTTAAATTTATTTATGTTGTTATTTAATGTAATTAAGGAGGATATAAGAAGTTTAGTTGAATAGAAAAAGTACATTGTAAATGGAAATTAAAGATATGTACAAAAATTAAATGAGAGAAATTGAGTGATATTTATACATAATGAATGATTAGAACATTAAATAATAAATATATCTTGATAAATGAAACCATAGGCTGTTCCTTAATCAGTAGCATAAAGTGATCAAGAATTGGATAAAAATCATCATGAAAGTTAAGCAGATGATCATGGTGATGAGCATCACTTTAAAGAGTATTCAGCTAAGGAGCTTAAGACCATTAAAATTTAAGGGTTTGTTTGTATACTTGGTGGTATTGCTCTTCATTTTGTACTTGGTACATTTTATCTATGGGGAGGCATAAGTAAGATAAATCTACTAATATTAGGTCCTTATGTTGGTGCTTACATGAAGAATAGGGATCAAAATGTCACATAATCAACACTTTAGATTGTGTTTCCAATTTTAGGAATAGCTACAAATTCTGTTCTTTCTTTTGGAGTTAAGTTAGCACAAAGAATAGGTTTTAAAACTATGATAGCTGGAGCTGGATTCTTGATTTCCCTTGCATTTCTAATACTGTCCTTTATTAACAATATTTACGGCTTTATCTTTATATATTGTTTTATGATAGGCATTCCCTCAGGATTAGTTTATATGTTGCCAATTAGTAAATTATTTTATATTATTTTTTAGTTTGTGGATGGAAATACTTCCCATTTAATAGAGGAATGGTTTCAGGTTTAATTATTGCTGGTTATGGATTTGGAGCATTTACATTCAACTTTATATGCAAAGCTATTTGCAATCCCAATAATGAAGAACCTGAGATTCCTTTTGAAGAGGATGGTAAAATAAAAAAATATTTTTCAAAGGATGTTTTTGATAATGTTCCTTTTATGTTCTAGATGTTAGCTTTGTAAATAAATAATTCATATTATTTTAGATCATATTTTTTATTAACCATAATTGCAACTCTATTAGTAAAATACCCTAGAGATTTAAATTTAGAGTATTAATAGGTTTTAGGAGAAGGAAATAAGAAACCAAGTGGGATTAATCATGAAAAATCTGTTGATTATCATCCAACTGTTATGCATGCTGAATGTGATACTCTTGGATAAGGTATGAAATCAAAACCATTTTGGTTTTTGATATTTATGGTTTTATGTTCGATTTTATTTGGTATGCTTTTGGCTAATTGCTATAAAGTATTTGGATAAACTGTAATAATCTATTAAATTTAATTAGTTAGGTATTGATGATGCAAAATTAACTGTTCTTGGTTCAGTTTAAGCAGTATGTAATGGAGGTTCAAGATTTGGATGGGCAGTATTATTTGATAAGATTGGTTTTAAAAAAGTTTATTTAATAATAGCAGTTATAAACTTAATTTGTACTGCTGCTATTGGTTATATAAATGATAGTTATGCTGGTTATTTCATTATTTTATGTATTACAATGTGTTGTGAAGGAGGTTTATTCTCTTGTTATCCAGCAGTAAGTGCAAAGATCTTTGGTCATAAGGTAAGATGATTAATTATATTATAATAGGTAGGACCTATCATATATGGTGGATTATTCTTTGTTATTGGTTTATCCAATATGTTAGGATATTTATTGTACAAATTTGGAGAACCAAAGATAGGTTATGGTGGAGTCTTTTGGATTGTATTTGGATTTTGTTGTGTTGCTTTCATATTGGGAATATTCTTTAAAGAGGAGCATGATTGGAAAAAAAAATGAATATATTTATTTCCATATGTGTAATTATATTAATTTTGTAATCTATTTTCTTATTAATATAATTAATGTAAATGTATATTATTGATGTTGATCAATATTTAACTGAAATAAATAGGAAAACTAAACAAATAGATTTATCATAAATTTAATATTATATTATAAACTTTCGATTTATTACTTAATTTAAATAATTATTATATTGAGAATGACTGATACTAAAGGATCAATGGTGGCTCCATTATCTAAATATAAATTAGTATTCCTAGGAGATTAGTCTGTAGGGAAAACTTCAATAATAAATCGTTTTATGTTTGATACATTTGATGGTAAAGATCATGTAATACAGTTTGAATATTCAAGCCTACAGTTGGCATTGATTTTATATCTAAGACCCTCTACTATGAGGATAGAACCATTCGTCTTTAATTATGGGATACTGCAGGATAAGAGAGATTTAGATCCCTTATACCAAGTTATATTAGAGATAGTGCTGTTGCTGTAGTTTGTTATGATGTTGAGGGTAAATTATGATAATAGAAAGTGAAATAATCATTTGATAGTGTTGCAAAATGGATTGAAGATGTACGACTAGAAAGAGGGAATGATGTAATAATCTTTTTAGTGGCCAATAAGATTGATCTTGAAAATAGGTAATGATTTGCATAATAATGGTAAGAGTTGTATCCACAGAGCAAGGATCTACTTTAGCTAAGGAACAAGATGCCCATTTTATCGAAGTTAGTGCAAAATCTGGAAGCAATGTTGAGTTACTATTTAAATAAATTGCAGCCACACTTCCAGGTACTGAAACATCTTAAATGGTTAATTCTGTTGTTAATAATCCAACACAAAGTATTACTATTTGTATATTCATAAGCAAATAATATAAAAATAGAGAACACAAAAAATTAAGATTAGGAAACGAATGATAAAAAGTCATGTTGTTGAATTCCTTAAAATATCATATATATATATATATTTATATATATTTATTCATAACTTTTGTTAGTAAAAATAATCATCTTCTGATCTAAATTCATGATATTTTTGATGAGTTTGTTGACTTCTCTTTTTTACTCCTTAAAACATACATACTTTCTAATCTCTTAGACAAGCTTCAGTCAATTTATTTTCAGATGCTTATTTAAAATATTCATTTAATCCTATAAAGATTGGTCTATTTGGTACTTTATTCCTACAAAGATAGGTTGTTTCTTGTAATTCTAATTTACCCCAATCAATTTATTAAGGAATCATTGTTATAGATTATCTCTACTCTTTATCTCTCTTAAACATTGTTACATAACATCCTTTTGATTTCAACAAAAAGTACTTTGTAATCCAATGTGATTTTAATACTTTTTTTGCTTAAGCCATTTTTTTTTATTATTCAACAAAGAATTTTTACATTAATAATTCTTTAAATAATTCCATCAATTAAAGTCCTTTAAAAAATTCTACTGTAATCATTGAATTTGAATTATTTATTCTATCTCTTGAATCTATAATATAATTTATTTATAATATGAACTATTCCAAAATTGATTAATATTGATTTAATTTTGAATTAAAACTTATAGATTAATACTTAAGTGTCCTTTTTATATATATTTCAATCAAACTCTCAAATTATTATCTAATTTACATTAATACTTATATTGATTATTATTATTAATCTTATTCTTCATTTCTTTAATTATTTTATACATTTAAGAAATCTAAAGTAGTTAAGAATTTATAAAAATCATCTAAATCATAATCTTCTTTTAAAATGTCTATATTTTATACATTTATCATTGTTATTTTTTAATCATCATCAAAAGGTATCGATGGAGAAAATAGTGACATTTTCTTTGTGCATTTTGAACTTTTCCTCATCTATATTTCTTCTTCTTCTTCTATTTCAAAATCTAAATTTGCTAACAAATTAAATTTCGAATAATTAGATATATTTTCTGAATCCTGATCGTAATAAATATGTTCAGCCTTATCACCCTAATCTAATTTTGTCATTAACATCTCGTACTCTCAAATTCTATCTGAGGTGTTCTAAAATATGGACCAGGTATTCCTTTAATCTTTTATTTTATGCAATCTTCATTAATTTCCTCTCCCATTTCATCATTCTCATTAACAAAGACCTCAGCCATCATATTATGAAAATTTGAAAAATCAAAATTTAAATACCCATCAAAAGTCTCTTTTAAGTCATCTGTCATTATTATTATTTATTTTTATATCTATAATTTTATTTTCTTAATTTATATTAAAATGAAATCAATTCATCAAATTTATTATTATTCTCACATATTTCTATTTCTTTATCAATTTACAATAATATTTTAAATTTATAATTGTACAGAAATTATACAATCATTTAAAATTATTAATTTTAAATAGAGTTTATGGATATAGAAATTAAATAAAAAATCAACTTAATCTTCATAATTATCTAAAAATATAAATAAATTATAATGAAAAGTAACTTAAAAATATAATAAAAAGATAGAAGATAAACTAAATCCATTTAGTATATTAAATAAATAAATTATTAATTATTTAATCCTAAATAATATAAAGCTTAATTTCAGTATTCTTTGATATCATAAACTCAACTAGATTATGCACAATATTATGTTTCATTAGCAAAAAAGTTTCTTTTGATTTAAGAAATGAATCTCAAGATTTTTAATATTAATAATAAAATATCTAAATATATAAACAATAAAAATTGATAATTAAGATAATTAATCTAAGTTCAAATCATACAAAATTTCAATTTAAAATTTAATGATATATATATTTTAATAAAATAAAAATATTATATTTTATAATAGAATAAATATAACAAGAGTTTGGATTATTAATAATCAAAGAGTTTTATATTTTTTTATAATTTTTGAGATAATAATAATAAGTAATATCCTTTTATAATTAGTAAATTTAAAATGTATATATTTAATCAAAATTATCCAGATAATAAGTCAATAAATGTATTAATATTAATAATTTAATTATAAAATAGTTATTTTAATTTTGTAATATCAATTAGAATATTTAAATTTCCTTATTATAAAACATGTTCTATAATTTTATATTCTAAATCTTAAACAGTTTAATTTAATATATGCATATCTCTTGTTAATTTTTATTTACCATTATATTTATAAGGTTATATTTAAGGAATTAAATGAATAATATTAAGTAAATCACCTCCAGAAGCATTCTCAAAAATTGATGAAATTTTATCTACTAAATCAATAATGGATAAATCTTTCCAAATTATAACTTATTTAAAGAGTTTATATTATTTATAAGTTATTACTTCATAAATATTAGTACAATCTATTTAAAATGTCATCAATAATATTATTAATATCTATTAATGTATTAAAGTTAAAAACTTATGCTCTAATAGAAATTCAGATAAAGGTATTCCATATATATTCTAATATTATTTTTAAGTTTTAATAAAATTAAGATGTAGCATCTAATATCTTTATTTTTGGCTATCATTTTATTCTTCAACAACTCTTGAAATGTTTGTGTTTCTCCTTCCTTTTATCATAACATTAAATTAATAGAATCTGTTATTAGTAGTAGTATTACATCTTTTTTCTAACTGTTCTTTTTTGAAAGATGATTATTTATCAACATTGGATTTGGTTGAATAATCTCTTTTTAACATTTCTACAACTTATTTATTATTCTCATTGACTTATGTTATTTCTAACTATTTCAAATTAAATTTTTTCCTATTTCTCTATTAAATTTAGCATTTTTAATATCCATAGACTCTTAACAAACTTCTATTAAAGACTAACTATTCAATAGGTTAAGTATTAGATTTTGATTTACTTTATGATGGTCTATTAATTTAAGAAGTTGGATTATTTAAAATTTCCATAAGTTTTCTCTTTTCCTATAATTTAAGCATATAATAATAATATTTTTAATTAAATTTATTTTAAAAATGGCTGGAATATTATAAATTTCAATATTCTCCAATCAAATCTCTATAATTGATTTTTTAATTAATTCTTCTTCTTAAATTTCTATTAACGAATGAGGAGTCTTAAGTCTTAAAAAGTAAGATTATATATATTTTACTTCTTATTAAATTTATTATTATTAAGACTAAGTATTTTATTAAGTAGATATGACTTATTAGATTTTTGGAGGAGAGGATTATTAATTTTTTTATTTTTTTTTAGTTGAGTTTCTTAATGAATCTAAATCTTGTTTAATTTCATCATCCATTAAATTAAATCGAAATGCTATATATTTAAATTCTCTTATAATACTGTATTAAATTTTATTATCTTTTGTTGCTACAAATGTAATGTTTTTTTCTCTGTTTCTTAAATCCTCTTATTCTATTATTGGACGTGATTTCAAGATTGGAGGTTCTTCAATTTTTTTAGGAACTTTAGGTTTCTTAATATTTTTGGAACAAGTTAAACAATGATATTAACTAGTTTCAAATTCTATTTGAATATTTTAATTTCTGTTTTTTTATTCACATACAATATGATTCTAATATAATATTAATAATTACCCATTTTTTACAAGAATCACATTATATCCAACCAGCTTCATCATCATAGGATCCATAGACCTAATATGATAATTGAAATTTAAGGTACTTATTCACAAAAATCACAATAATTTCCTTTATTATATAATTTGGAACATTTATCACAAAAGAATAATATATCATTCTTTTTGGATTTGATTTTTTTGTCTCCTACATTTTTACATTGATTATTATGACATTTTTTTTGTTGTTATACAGGTTCATCATCCTCAACTGTAATTGGATTATCAGCGCTATTTTTTTATTTTTAATTGAAATTTGTCTATTATAGAGGATATGGATTTAAGAAATTGGCTTATTATAACAAATGAGTTGGATTAGAAAAACATTACATCAGTTCCATAGTTTTGGTAAAAGACATATCTATATTATATATGGCAAAGATATCAGTATATATGTTATATAAATGAGAGTGACAGGGATATAAATAATAGCTTACTCAGCATATTAGGAGTAGGGAAGGCATCTTTTTATGAATTGTTTAAGTTCAAACTTTAAGTTAGATTAGGCAAGAGTGATGTTTAACATAGTTATTATAAATCTGAATTTTAAAATGCTTTAACCAATTGATGTTGCTATAAGCTAAAATAATGATAAGTAAATATAAATATATATAGGGATATCAGTAAAAAATAGTATGTTATAAATAGGATAAATGTCATACCTGAAAAGCATTTAGTATAATTCTAAATCTTAAGCATTGCCTATTAGTGGAATTAGAGAATTATTATTTATTCCTTAACTCATTTTTTATATTGTTTAAATTAAAAAGAACCTGAATTTATATAATTACATCTTTTGAATTAAAAACAAAAATATTTTCAAAGAATTTTATTTAAAATTGTTATATAAATCTATTTTATATTTTATCTATTAAATTTCATGAAATTATCTATAAAACAGAGCATTCATCATCTCCATCAATATCTTAAATTTCATGAATCTCTTATTTATTTTAAGTCAATTCTTCAGTTATTCCTGAAATATCTTATAGAACATCAGGTCGATTCAATGCTTCCAATAAAAATTATTATGGATTCTTCTCTAAAGCATCTAAAATTTATTAAGAACATGCTACACAACTAAATTTTAATTTTATTAATACTGTTTAAATGCTCTTCCATAAAATAATCTAACTTCAAAATCTGATAATTAACCTCTTAAAAAATGTGGTAATATTCCTAAATCTGTTTATTATAATTATTCTGTATTATCAGATGCTGGAGTACCATCTAATAATGGACTATGAATCAAACTAACAAATAATTCTGATGAATAAGCTGAAGCCAAAAATGATAAACCAGGACGAGTAACTGTACATTATTAATCTAAAGTTCTATCCTTCATTGAATTACCAGGAGATGAAATATCATTACAAAAATAACAAGCTAATCTTTCACCATGAATTTCAGGATTATATTTTTTTAATGAAATACCATGTCTTATTATCAAAAATGAATCAAATCCTAAAGCAACAGAAAAACACATCTTTCCATAAGCATTACTTAATACAGTTGGTAACCATCTAGATTCCCTTGAATCTGTTAATAAAAATACAGCATCATGAGTACTTACTAATTCACTTAATTTATAAAATGATTCTAATGTTTATTAAACTTATAATTCTGTTACAAAATGACCAGGCATAGGAATTTAAAGTTAATATCCTTCACTTTCAATATCAGGAAAGATTTTCTTTAATTTTTCAGCAGCCACTTCAGCTTTTGGTCTTCCTCCTTTTGTTGAATCTTCAAAATCATATAAACTTTATCTAACAGGATTACTATAAGATATCTTCCCATAATCTACAAATGTTATTTTTCTTATTCCCCATCCAATAAGATTTCTTGCTAATTAACATCCTAATGTCCCTGCTCCAATTAATAGAACTTTCTATGTTTAAACTTTTTCTAAATCTAATTCAGGCAATAATCTCCACTTCATTAATTTAATATTCAAATCTACAGCTTCTCTAGCTAAACTAAATAATAATAATAAATATTTTAATACGATTATTCATCCATAAATGATTTCAAATCTATTTTCTTTTCTTAAAGATAACCTTCAATATTGAAAGCTTTATATTATCCATTTTATTCAACTATTTTAGATTCAGATAGATTTAACTCTAAATAAATAGAATTTTTCAAAGAAAATTGATTCTTATTAATTGTCAATGCATCTTTTATTACTATTATATTAATATTATTAAGTTAATCTTTTATAGAATTATTTGTTATCAAATAAGCTATAAAATTATTAAATTAACCATTCAATTATGATTAATTATATGAATCGAAATACAAGAATATTACATCTTATTTATTTTTTTAATATTCATCAAATTGTACATATTATAAATTCTCTTTTCTTAATATGACAAATGAAGTATTAGATATCTCTTTTTATTATTATTGAATTATAAGAGATAATTACTATTAAAATAATTACATTTGATCACCTAAATAATCTGTAAGACTTTTTTAAATGATATTCTATATGTTTTCAATTTAAAATTAGGGAACAACTAACTTATAGTAAAATAAATATTTCTTTAAATCTGCAAAGATGCTCATTCTTCCTTGAAATAGATTTGGCTTCTCATCTTTAGAAAATGATTCAATCATTTTTTTAAAAGTTAATTGCACATAATTCAAATGATCAAATTCTTAATAGGTCTCTATTGTGTTGTAGTTTTAGAATTAAATTCTTGAATAAATTTCAAAAGGACCAGATTTGTTTAATGTTATCTCATCTTGGAAAGCATATATATCCAAATATAATTATGAAGTTTTCTCTTGATATGGATTTATCTTTGTTTTTACTAGCAAAGATCTTTCACCATCATCTAATTTGTAAATCTCAATCTTATTTTTTGATAATTATGACCAAAATCCAATATCGATCAAAGGTGAGAATGGAATAAATTACATTTTTTAATAATAATTAAAGTCAACAAGGCGTATCAAAGAAATCTTAAACTGTAATTTATCTCTTAAATTTTCTCTCTCTTTATTAGAACCAATCTTTCCCATAAAGGTTTTCTACATAATCAGTGAAGGTCACTAATTGATATGGATTTTATTTTTAAGTTTATTAACTTATTCTTGGTATTTCAACTCCAGTAAAAAAGTCATCCACATCATTCTTATCATTTAAATCTATTTTTGGTTAGACTTCTTTTCTTCTAAAACGAAATGGTCTAACTTCTCTTACTTCCTTCTATTATACATCACTTTCTGTCTTTATATATCGTGTACTCTCTTCACTATCAATTTTTTGACTAAAAAAGAAGCGAGATTTCTTTGAAGACTGTTAATCTAGCAAGTTGTCTAGACTATCTAGATTACCCTAAGGGGAGTTATAATTTGTTGTTATAGTTTAATTGGATTTCTAAAGAGTTTTGGCAGATGAATAATCTTAATCATTGTCTAGCTTCAAGACATTAGTAGAGTATTAAGAGAAAGTTGTTTTTCTAAAAGACATCAATTCCTTTAAAGTTTTTCAATATTAAATAATTTATTCTTTATTGGTGATTTAGCATAAATTATTATTACAGCTATTTAAAAAAAAAATAGAAACCAATTATAAATTCAGCACTGATCTTAATATTTATATTTTGTAATGAAAATATTTCATTGCCAAAAGAAAAATTAACAAAAATAATTAGAATACTCCAATTAATAAAATTTATCATATTGAACTATCAAATATTTACTTTCATATTTATCAAGCATCAAAAGTAATACTTGAATATATAAATAGAATACCTATGAATTATGATTAAAAAATGGCAAAATTCATTTAGATTATTCTTAAACAAACATAAATTTAATATTTAAAATAAATAAATAATTGAAATCTTTAAACAAATTTAAGTATTTTAGTGTTTTAAAAATTGAATGAATTCTAATTTTCATCATAATAAATTTAAATTATTAAGTATCCTTAAATCATAATCTAAAAAGATAATTAACAAAATATTTAGTAAAAAAATGATATTAACTCTAAGATATATTTATCTTTTAAGATTATAGATTATATTATAAAGTAAGTTAATTTCATTTAGTTATTAAGTATTAATGATTTAAACATCTATATAGTCTTGTTAAATGGTATAATATAATATTAATATTTTCATAATTTGAATTATGTCATATATTATTCTATATTATAGAAGGTTTTAGAATCTTTATTATGTAAAATTATAGATTTTTGGAGTAGCATTGAAGAATTTAATGTATTATCATAATTTATTTAGGAATTAAATTCTTTATTCTAATTTTAATACCAATAAAAAGAATTTTACAAGTGTATGAATACAATGATTTGAGCAAAATTTTAAATAAATTAAATTAATTATGCAATAAGGATAGAGATTGAAAGAAGCTACTGAAGGATAGATTGTTTAAGCTGGTAATAAGATTGGAGGACCTTTTAAAATTGGAAAGCCTGTTTATTAAGAAAAGAGATTGAAATTGTTTACAGAAATATATCAACGATAAAAAGCAGAACTAGAAGCTAAAGAGAAGACCCCAATCACTATAACTCTAAAAGATGGAAAGAAATTAGAAGGTTTGTTATATCATTTAAGATTTTAGGTAAAAAGTGGGTTACTACTCCATTGATGATTGCTGTTGGAATTAGTAAAAAGTTGGCTGAAAACATGGTGGCTGCTAAAGTGGTGTATGATAGTTTATTTGAGAAAAGTATAAATTCATATTAACAACTAGATTTTGTTGATGTAGATCATGAGGATTAATAATAATAAGCATCCTCATTAAATTTAAAGCCAGATTATTTGATTTGGGATTTGAGTAGACCATTGGAAGGGGATTGCTAATTGGAATTGTTAAGTTTTGATGATAATAATGGAAAGGAAGTATTTTGGCATTCATCTTCTCACATTTTGGGATCTGCTTTGGAAGAAGTATATGGATGTCATTTATGTATTGGTCCTGCAATAGATGGTGGATTCTTTTATGATTGTTACATAGGAGATTACAAAGTTACTTAGAATGATTATGTGAAAATAGAGAAGGCAGCTTAGGATCTAGTAACATCCAAATAAGAATTTTAAAGAGTAGTCTTAACCAAAGATGAATGGTATAATTTATTATTATTATATTCTAGCTTGGAATTGTTTGGTACTAATCCTTTTAAAAGATAGTTGATAACAAATAAGATTCCAGAAGGAGCTATGACTACTGCTTATAGATGTGGTAATTTGATTGACTTATGTACTGGTCCACATTTACCTAATACTAGTTATGTTAAGGCATTTTAAGTTACAAAGAATTCAGCCGCTTATTGGTTGGGTAAGAACACCAATGATGATTTGTAAAGAGTTTATGGTGTTTCATTCCCCAGTAAGAGATTATTGGATGAATATGTCAAAATATAAAAAGAATTAGCTCTAAGAGATCATAGAAATGTAGGTAAGAAACAGAATTTGTATCTCTTCCATCAATTATCTCCTGGATCAGCCTTCTTCTATCCAAGTGGTGCTCATATTTACAATACTTTAATGAACTTTTTAAGAAGATAATATTATATTAGAGGATATTAAGAAGTTATTTCACCAAATATATTCAATGCTTAACTATGGAAGATAAGTGGACATTATGATAAGTATAAGGAAAACTTATTCTTTATTAATATGGGTGAAGAGGGAGAATATGGATTAAAACCTATGAATTGTCCTGGACATTGTTTAATGTTTGATATGATTCAACATAGTTACAGAGATTTACCTGTTAGATTTGCTGATTTTGGTGTTTTACACAGAAATGAAGTACATGGTGCTTTGAGTGGATTAACTAGAGTTCGTCGTTTTCAATAGGATGATGCACATATTTTCTGTAGAATGGATTAAATTTAAGAAGAAATCAAGAGTTGTCTTGAATTCTTAAGTTATATTTATTCACTCTTTGGATTTGAATTTAAATTGTATCTCAGTACTCGTCCTGAGAAATTCTTGGGAACTAAGGAAGTTTGGGATAATGCTGAATATCAATTAGAATAAGGATTAAAGAAATTTGGAAAACATTATGAAGTAAATCCTGGAGATGGTGCTTTCTATGGGCCTAAAATTGATGTCAAATTATATGATGCCTATAAAAGAGAACATTAATGTGGTACCATTTAATTAGATTTCAATTTACCAGAAAGATTTAATTTATAATATAGAGCTAGTGAAGATGTTTAAGAAGTATAGAAGGATAAAGAATAAGTTCATAATGAATAAGTTTAAGTTGCTTAAGAAATCATTGATGTTGTTCGAAAAGCTTCTCATCATTCAGACACTGACAATATTTCTACTCCTCCTTAACATCCTTAATAATAACCTGCTGAAATTCCTGTTGCAGAAAAAGGTACTTAAGAATAAAATGTTAAACAATAAAAAAAATAAAAATAATAAAAAGAACCATAATAATAATAATAATAATAATAAAAATAAAAATTACCAGAAGAAATAATTGAATCTGGTTCAAGTCAAGGATTATCATAACATGAATTACACAAAGTCTTACATGGTATTTCTTCATTTATTATATTTTCTAGAAAAGAAATATGAATTGGGATATCATCATTTAAAGGCAGGATTTGCAAGACCAGTCATTGTCCATAGAGCTATTTTGGGATCATTAGAAAGAATGATTGCTGTTTTAACTGAATAATGTGGAGGCAAATGGCCATTTTGGTTATCTCCTAAATAATTAGTCTTATGTCCAGTTTCTGCTTACTATAAGGATGTTGCTGAAAAAATAGCTGCAAGACTGAGATTAGAAGGATATACTGTCAGTACTGATGAATCTGATTAAACTCTTGCTAAGAAGGTTCGTAATGCTCAAATCTAATACTATAATTTTGTTGGAGTTATTGGTGAAGAAGAAGTAAGAGCTGGTGTTATTGATGTTAGGGATTGTGAAAAAAATACTAGAATTGTAATTTTATCTATTTATATTATTTTAGGGTAAATTAACTATTCCTTAATTGTGTAAATTCTTTGAATCCCTTAAACCACCTAAATCTAATGTAGAAGTTGAAATTCATGAACATGATGATTCACATTTTAAATTAAATGATGAATTATAAGAAAAGATGTTCTTAGAAGGAGATGGATATTCTGTTGGAAAAAGAGACTTTGATGAATTTGCTAAAATCAAAGATATTGATCCTGCTCTATAAAATTTGATCAGATGGCACAAATACATGACTCATTTGACAAAAAAAGATGAAGCACCAGAAAAAGTCTAATAAGTAGAATAACAACAAGAATGAAATAAATTATAAAGAATATAATAATTTAAATATTTTCCCTTGTTATAATTCTCTTAAAGGAATGATATGTCTAAATCTAATTATAGAGAATTAAGAATATTTCACTAAAATATGATAAATTAATTGATCAGCTGATTTGCTTAGATATAAATACTTATTAATTAAGGAATTATAACATTAATGTATTTAAATTAATTTAAGAGGATATATATAAAATATTTTAATTAATGAAAAATTTGTAGCAATAGAAACAATTCTGACTTTAAGTTGGGCTCTAAAGTAATTCTAAAATAGAAATTAATCTTATATATTTAAACTATATGGTGTAATATAATTATTTAATATTTTTTAATTAAGATACTTTTTAAAGATATAGTTTTCAAAATTATTCAATTAAAAAATATTATTCTTTCTAAATAGAAAGTAAAAATTTATATCTTAATTTTTTCTTTAAAATTATAAATAATAGATTATTTTTAAGGATATTTTAATAAATATTACAGTAAAATTAATTCTCTTCTCTAAATTCTCAAAAATGAAAGTTCATAAATTTCTAGACCAATTTTTATATTTTCAGAATTGATGACCTTTTTTTATGTCTATTAAATTAAGTGGAAATAATAATAATTCTATATTTTGGTTATTAATTCTTAAAATGGAATACTCTTTTTGATTTTTAATATATGACATAAAGTTGATAAAAAATCAAATTAGATATAGTAATTAAAAAAAATTTGAGAATTATTCAATAAAAGATATTTATTATTTTTTGCAATTATTTCACTCCAGTTTTTATTTAAATTATTATTTTAAGTTATTGGAGTGATAATGATTTTTTTGTTAAAATATGAGTGATTTCTATTCCCAGTTAATAAATATAATAATAAGAATAAAAATACTATATTAAAGAATTAACATGTTTATAAAATGTTCATATTAGTGAGAAATTAATATTAATTGATTTTTATTTTATTAACATTCGATATAAAACCCTGATTTAATTATGGGAAATTTTAAATCTTTTTTTTAAAAAGTTAAAAACACATGGTAAATTTTTCAGTGGATCAAATCAGAGAGATTATGGACAAATAAGACAATATTAGAAACATGTCTGTCATTGCCCATGTTGATCATGGTAAATCAACACTCACAGACTCATTGTTATGCAAAGCTGGTATTATTGCCTCCAAAGTTGCTGGTGATGCAAGAGCAACAGATACCAGAGAAGATGAAAAGGAAAGAGGTATTACAATCAAGTCAACTGGTGTTTCTCTTTATTATGAATATGATATTTATGACAATAAGACCTTAGAAAGATTTTTGATCAACTTGATAGATTCACCAGGACATGTTGATTTCAGTTCAGAAGTCACAGCTGCCTTAAGAGTTACTGATGGTGCATTAGTCGTTGTTGATTGTGTTGAAGGTGTTTGCGTCTAAACAGAAACAGTGTTGAGATAAGCTATGCAAGAGAAAATCAAACCAGTTGTCATGGTTAACAAAATTGATAGAGCTATTTTGGAATTAAAACATGATGGTGAAACTATGTATTAAAATTTCGTCAAAGTTGTTGATATGGTTAATGTTATCATCAACACTTATTAATAAGAAGACATGGGTGATCTTCTTGTTCATCCAGAACTTGGATCTGTTTCATTTGGTTCAGGAAAAGAATGCTGGGCTTTCTCATGCACAAGATTTGCCAGAATCTATGCTAATAAATTCAAGGTTGAACCACTCAAATTATAAGAAAGATTGTGGGGAGACAATTACTTTGATGCTGAAGGAAAATGTTGGAGAAAAGACAGTGTTAGTGGATCAGGAAAACCAATGAAGAGAGCCTTTGTTGCTTTTATCATGGACCCAATCTGTAAATTAGCTAATGCCGTTATGGAAGGTAATATGGATATGGCTAATAAAATGTTTGAAACATTGGGATTGAAACTCACATAAGAAGAAGCCAAATTAGGAGGAAAGCATTTACTTAAGGCTGTTATGTCTAAATGGATTAATGCTGCTGATACATTACTTGAAATGATTGTTTGCCATTTACCATCACCAAGAAAGGCTTAAAAATACAGAACTTCATATTTATATGAAGGACCATAAGATGATGCTATTGCTTAATCAATGAGAGAATGCAATCCAAAGGGACCATTAATTATGTATGTGTCCAAGATGGTACCAACAACAGATAGAGGAAGATTCTTTGCTTTCGGTAGAGTTTTTTCTGGTACCATTGCTACAGGATAAAAGGTTAGAATCATGGGAGCCAATTATAAAGTAGGAAAGAAGGATGATTTATTTGAAAAACCCATCTAAAGAACTGTTCTTATGATGGCCAGTAGAGTTGAATACATTCCAGATGTTCCATGTGGTAACACAGTCGGATTAGTCGGTGTTGATCAATATTTGATGAAGACTGGTACAATTTCAGACCATCCAGATTGCCATTTGATCAGATCAATGAAATACTCTGTGTCTCCAGTCGTCAGAGTTGCTGTTTAACCAAAAAATCCAGGAGATTTACCAAAATTAGTGGATGGATTAAAGAAATTATCAAAATCAGATCCATTAGTCTTATGCACAACAGAAGAATCTGGATAAAATGTTGTTGCAGGATGTGGTGAATTACACGTTGAAATCTGTTTGAATGATTTAGAAAAAGATTTTGCAGGAGTTGAACTCATCAAATCTGACCCAATTGTCTCATATAAAGAAACTGTGGCTGCTACTTCAAACATTGTTTGTATGTCTAAATCACCAAATAAACATAATAGAATTTATGCTTAAGCTACTCCATTACATTAAAATTTACCAGATGCTATTGAAAAAGGATAAATTACACCAAAAGATGATCCAAAAACTAGAGCTAAATCTCTTAATGAAGAATATGAATGGGATAAGGAAGATGCACTAAGAATTTGGACCTTTGGACCAGATAACACTGGTGCTAACATTTTGATGGACAAAACATCAGGTGTTTAATATATGAATGAATTAAGAGAATCAATGGAATCTGCTTGGTAATGGTCAACAAAAGAAGGACCACTTTGCGAAGAAAATCAAAGAGGTGTTAGAGTAAACATTTTGGATTGTGTTTTACATGCTGATGCTATTCACAGAGGAGGTGGTTAAATCATTCCAACTGCCAGAAGATTATATTATGCATGCGAATTGACAGCATAACCAAGATTATAAGAACCAGTCTTTTTGGCTGAAATTACTGCACCAAATGATGCTACTGGTGGTGTATATAATTGTCTCAACACCAGAAGAGGAACAGTAATTGAAGAAGAATAAGTTGCAGGAACCCCACTTTCAGTGGTATCAATAATATTCTATTTTAATAGGTTAGAGCTCATTTACCAGTCGCTGAATCATTCGGTTTTACTGCTCATTTAAGAGGTATGACATAAGGACAAGCCTTCCCTCAATGTGTCTTTGATCACTGGGCTGTTGTTAATGGTAACCCACTTGAAGCAGGAAGCAAAGTATTATTCTTAATTAATAATTTTAGGTTAATGAATTAGTCTTATCCATTAGAAAGAGAAAGGGAATCAAAGTTCAATTGCCAGACCTTAATGAATATTTGGATAAACTCTGATCAAAATTATGTATTTTAAAACAACAACATTATTTAATCTTAAAAATATAATATAATCTTTAAGAAAAATCTTAAAAAATAAATATTCATTATGGATCTACAGTTCCAAAGTATCGATCTCCAAAATCACCTACTCCTGGGAAACGTAGATCTTGAATAGTATTTAATGCATGATCCACTCCTGCAGTAATTACTTTCACTTTAGGAAATTAATGAAGCACTTTTGATAGACCTTTTTCACATGAAACTATGTTAACTGCTGTAATATTATCTTAATTAACTCCATTTGATAACAATGCCTTTATTGCAGTAGTGATTCTACCTCCAGTTGTAATCATAGCATCTGTAAGAATTACCTAATTTTAATTTTATATATATACCTATTTTTGATCTATGTCATCTGGTAATTTACAATAAATTAATTATGCATCTTTAGTCTAAGGATGTTCCTAAACTAAGATGAATCCAATTGATGTACCTGGTAGCACTTTTAGAGCCTCACCCATAAATGCATTTCCAGATCTTATCATTACTACTACACAAAATTAATTATGTTCAAAGTTTATCACTTATGCTTTTTATTATTAAGTCTGTTATCCTTCTTAAGGCAACATTTTTTTATTGTGCTCTGACACAGCTTTCTCAAGTAGTAATCTAATTAATCGATCAGAATATAATCTAAAATCCTAAAATGACTTATTATTCTACTTTAGTTTGGGTAGTTTTATTGCGTATTACACTTAGTATATGTTCAACTTGAAATTTATCTAATACATAGAGACTGGGGAACCTCAGACGAAATTATTATAATTCTGTATGAGAAATGAATGAAAAATAGGGAGCAGCACATTTAAATCGATTGTATTATTATTATTAGGCTATTAAGGTGAAGCCAATTAAACCAATCAATCCTGCCTTAACTATTTTTTAATTTATCAAATTCATATTTAGTATTTTTATTTTTATAATTATTACAAATGTGAATCTTAACAAAATATATATATCATTGTCAGAAGTAAATTTATTATAAGCAAAATTTGTACTTTTATTATTATTTAATATATTAAAAATAAATATGGTTGATTTTAGAAAATTCATGCAAATTGTAATGCGTAAATTTAATGATAAATTGAATGTTTCAGCATCTGCTGCTATGTTAATTGCTGCTTTTTATTTATATAAAGCCAAAACAAAACCAACATTACCACTTGTGAAAATCAGTAATTTTATATTAGTGTTACAAAAGAAATTGGTTGAAGAAGTCATTTATGATGGAACTCACATTTTATTCAGATGCGTCAATTAAGCCTAATGGCTATCGACTTAAGCTGAACCTATGATAAAGGGAAAGGAATTATTGAAGGCATTAATGTAAGAATCACTCTTATAAATTTAAGGGAATATGGTGTTCCAAGATTTTAAAATTCCACTTAAATTTATTACTCTGAGAAACAAATGATGTATTTAATAATGAGTATTGCAGCCATATCATATACCTTTGGCATTATTGCAACTAATTTCATCAATTCTAACAAAATTTCTAATACATCTTTGCTTGCTTAATCAACAGGAGTTAAATTTGCAAATATTTATGGATTAGATCATGCTAAAAAATAACTTTAATAAATCATTGAATATTTATAAGATCCATTGAAATATAGAAATGTTGGTGCTAGATTAAGAAGAGGAGTTATGATTTATGGTCCTCCAGGTACAGGTAAAACAATGTTAGCTAAGGCTACTGCAACTGAAAGCAATGTTTAATTTTTATATTGTTCAGCAACAGAATTTATAGAGATCTATGTAGGAACTGGTCCTAAAAGAGTAAGAGAATTGTTTAAAAAAGCAAGAGAATTAGCTCCAGCAATTATTTTTATTGATGAAATTGATAGTATTGCATATAAAAGGAAAAACCAAAATTTTGGAGCAGAAACTGGAGGTGATAATGAAAGGGTAAGTACTTTAAATTAATTACTTACAGAATTGGATGGTTTTAAAGAGAATGAAAATATTGTTGTTATTGCAGCAACCAACAGAATTTAAATCTTAGATGAAGCTCTTCTGAGAAGTGGTAGATTCGATATCAAAATAGAGATAAAATTACCATCAGAAAAGGACAGGAAAGGTATCATTGGTGTTCATTTACATAATGTAACCTATTTATTAATGATTTCATAGAAAAAACATTAAATTTCTTCTGGAATGATTGAATTAGTAGCCAAAAATGCAAATGGATTTTCAGGAGCTGATATGGAAAATATTACAAATGAAAGTGCATATATAGCCATAGAAAAACAATAAGAGTATATTATAGATGCAGATATCTAAGAAGCCTTAAAAAAGATCACATTAGAGAAATAACATATGAGAGATTAATGATTATATTTTGATATGTGTAGAAATATATATTAATTATTCATAAGTATCTTTCGATCAATGTCTAAATGTTATCTGGTACTTAATATGTAGTTCTGAAAAACTCTTTGAAATGACAACCTAAATCAGATTTAAACTATTATTTTAATATATCCAAAGTATTAATTTAGACTACATGATTCAATTATTATTGTAATAAGATTAAGAAAATATTCTAAAACCATATGCCTTCTTTAATATTTTAATTTAACAATTCACTCTTACTGCTACACATCCAATATACAATTCTTTATAAATTTTAGATTCCCTAAAATAAAGAAATTTATATACATCAACAGTGAAATCCTTTATTGATTAAGCTGATATTACAAGAGCCAAACCTGAAGTAATTACTTTCTCAAATAATTCAAATTTAAGCTTAGAAAATATATTATAATTCTTACACAACAAATACTAAGTATACAATCTATGACTTCATTTAAAAAGTATTGTTTATCATCTGCTTATTATAATACTTGAGTAAATAAATAAAATATATTAGCTTGAATATATTTTATTTAGTATTCCTCTTAACATAGTGTCTTTCTTAAGAGAAGGAAGGCATTTTTGTTAGTGATATTTTTGAGAATGGTTGAAAATATCAAATTATCATAAGGAACAATTTTCAATTAGGATAGAATTACCCAAACTATTTAATTATCAATGTGTTTGAGTAGATATTCAAATAGTTTCTTATTGACTGAAAAGAATTCTTAAAAAAGTACTGCTTCAAACCATAATGAATTATTTTAATATAGTTTGATTAGGAAATGTTATGCATGTCTATGCTTCTCTTTTTTAAGCAATTCAAGAGTTTTTGAGTAGTATTCACTCATTACTGATTATTCTTAAGGAAAGAGCGACATATTTATTGAATCGAAGGATATAGTCAAAAGGAAGAATTCTAATTAATTATTGGCTGACAATTGAGCCACTAATTAATTTAACACATTGGTAAATGAACTAACACAGAATTGTTCTGGTATATCTGTAATATTTTCAAGTTTAGATTCCAAATTGACCATTATTTCTAAAGCATCTGTCACTTCATTCAAATAATAGTGATCATTAACTTATTCAATTGATTTATTGAATATTAAGGCAAGTTCCTAAAAATATAATATAAACACACCTCTTTTTTAAGTTCCTATTGTTTCAAATACAACTATTCATATTAATAAATGTATTGTTGTCTTTTTTATAGCAATTTATTTTAGATGTCTTCTTTTCTCTATGAATTTCTAACTTATTCTCTTTTTAATTGAATCAACCCATCTGTTGAAATGTTAGAGGGAAAATCTACATTTGAATTCAAATCCATTAATATTATTAAAAATAAATTAATTATAAATTAAACCATTAAATTATATAATTCTTCATACTTTTCTTTTGATCAAATCTTTACCAGAACCTCTGAGAATGAAATCTACACTAGGGCCTTCTTAAACTTTTATTCTATATTTTGACTTATATAATAATTCAGCAGTAGGCTTTAAATTTATATAAATAATTTACTTTGAATCTAATAAGTATCTTAAATGGTTATACACCTAATTCTCTTATATCATCAATTGTTATTTGATAAGGTAAACATGTAGCATGTGGTAAAGTGTGTACCATTGTTGATGGTCCATCTAATTTACCTTCTGTAATTTAAAATTCAAACACAGATGGATCATCAGTTTTTTTCATTTCTTCTTTGTCTTCTAAAGTCATTGTTCTATCAACTATATTTTTCCTTAATGGATTTTTTTAATGTTATAATTTCCATTAAGCAGGAACTAATGATAAATTTGATAAATAAATAGCAATAGTCTTATCTTCTTATACATCTCCAAAATCCAATACTTCAGGTCCTTCTACTTGATCAATCCCAGAAGTATTTAAATGAACAAAAGGTCTTAATAGAATCCCTTCCAATTAAATTTATTATTTGTCTCCATTAGCATAAAAAATATTAATTGATCCATGATGATACACTTTATAAGTAAGTGGCCAATTAACTGGATCATTAGGTTAATAACCTTCAAATTTTACTAGTAATTCTACATGTGAATCAGTTACTAAATTAAATGTTTTTGCTATTTCAGTTTTCATACCAAGTTCATATTTTTAAGGTGAATTTGTTGATGTCTACATTATTTTAAATGGTCCTTCAATTTCAAAAGTACATACAAAACTTGATTTTTATCTATTGACTAAAACTAATTTCTTTTCTTATTTTTAATTATAACCACTAGACCATTTCTAAAATTTAACCTAAAATCCTCCTTCCAATTTTTCAAGCTTATCAAATGTCAAATAAGGTGTAATAGTTTCACTTTTCACATAAAAAGCTACTTCTCCTATTGTTTTATCTTAATTAATAAGTCTTGGTCTTGCAACTAAACAAGCACTATAATTTCCAGTATCTTATGTAGTAAAATGTAAAGTAAAATGTTTCTCCTTCCTTTATTTGATTCTCTCTTTATTTGGTACTACTTAAAATGGACCATCCTTTGATTCTGGTGGTTCATTTGCTATAAATTAAACATCACACAATTAATCTGATCCTAATTATGGTTCTGTTATTTTAATTTCAAAATAATCAGACATAGTACTATTTCCTAAATTGTAAATTTTCCATTCCAATTCAACATCTTAAGGACCAGTATTCATAACTCTAAAATCTCTACTGATTGTTCCAAAATTTCTCATATAGGTACCTAAATCAAATGTAGGAAAATCTGTTTTATAATTAAATCCTAATTGACTAGGACTAATTACAATAGGAGAACCTTTAATATCTATTGCAATTGGAAATTCTTTTGTAGGAAGTCCTCTAATATCACAACACATTAAATCTTCAAATAATCCACAAATATCATTAAATACTGTTACTTAAACAACAACAGATCCATATGCATTTAATGTACCAGAGGATGGTTCAAATACAACTGCAATACCCAAATTATTAGATAGATAAACTCTTTAATCATGTTCCATTTTCTTTTATTTATTTAATTTAAGACCTGCTTCAGAAGTAAAATTATGTGTTTTCTCAATCTTATTTGTTAATAATACTACAGGTCTACCTCCTTAAGTAATTTTTCCTTTTTTAGATACAGATTTAGAAATAGAAGATTCAGCAAATTTAATTGTTCTTGCTGCTTATGATTTAGCATCAAAATCATCAAAAAGAGTTGATTACTCTTCTAATGCATGTGGTTAATATTTTCTCATAAACAAAGTAAATTATGTATGAATACCAGATGTATTTTTTATTAAAAACTTAGCTTGTTTTGGTTAATTTATTGTACAATTATAAAATTCTAATTTATCCATTTATTAATTTTTTATTTCAGTATCTGCTTTCAAAAGTGATTTCCTTGAATCTTTGAGACTTTTAGATTTTGAACTAACTGATGTTTTAGAAGATATATGTGCACTATCATCAACTAATTCATATTCTACAGATAAACCATAAATCATAGTATTCATTTCAAATCCTAATGGATATTGTAAACCTTGAACTTCACAAACAAAGAGTTCATTTAATTTTCCACCTTCTTTTGGTTTAATAGAGAATTTAATTATTTAATTTGTTTTAGGTTTAAGAACTCCTTTTTTAGGTTCAAATTATACTAAGTATTTATCTTATTTTTCATTATCAACTACCCATTCAAAAGGAGTACTAATATTACCTAAATTTTATAATTAAATATATTATTATGCTCTTTAATCAAATGTGTATGTATTACCACAATACAAAGTATCAATATTAAGAGATAATCTATTTAAAGAAACACTTGGATTTTATACTTCTGCAAATACATCTAAAACAACACAATCTCCATTTTCTACCTAAAAATATAAGAAATCATTATAGGTTTCAGCCTCTCTAGATTAAAATTCAACTTTATATTAAATTGAACTATTTGGTTTGATTTCAAATTAATCTTTATTAAATAATAACCTTTAATCTGATCCAGATTATGCTTTAATTAATGCAGGTACTGGTGATAAATTATTAATAGTTAATTCTTATGATTCCAAAGAATAAGTTTAAATCAATCCATAATTCAACCAACTTTATTTTACTGATATGATAGGAGCTATAACTTCAGCAAATACTGTAATTAGTATAGAATTAGCATAATCAAAGTCTATTCTGTATTCTAATTTCATATGACCAACTTCAGAACTTTAAACCCCTAAGACAATTTCAGCTTCATTATTAATAACTCCTTATTTATCTTAAATATAAAAATAATCTAATTGAAGTGGATTAATTTAATATTTCATTTAATTTTTTGATGTTGTTTATAATTTAAATTTATAAGTAGCTAAAGTATTTACACATAAAGGAACAGGAAATTTATAGAATTAAGGTGTAACACTCACTTCTCCAAGTGCAGACTTACTAATTAATTCAAATTCAAAGTATGTAATTGATGGTTTAATACTATTAGATCCAATAGCAACAGATTATGTATTATTTTCAAATTGTTATCTTAAATTAGGAGGTGGATTTCTAATACTTTCAAATGGAATATCATCAATAATTAAATAGGCTGTTTAAAATAGTGGATAATATTCTTCACTCTATAAAAATATCTTAAAATCTATAACTTCATTAGGTTAAAAATATCCTTCTTAAGGTTAAATAGAATAATAATTTTATTCATCTTCTAATTTTAATTCCTTATCATCATTTTATAGATACCAATGATATTTAACTTTAACAGATGTTTTATTTCTTATTTTTAATTGTCTACTAGTTTCAACTTTTGGAATAGGATCATTAAAAAATATCTTTTATAATTGTTCTTAATTTTCTAAATTAATATTATCAATTCCTAATATTCCTAATTCTACCATATTTCCTCTACCAATCAATTTTAATGTAGCCTAAGTTAAATTATCACATCCTAATATAATGTTTTCAATAACTTCACCTTCAACATCTGGTTTAAATATTGCTTAAATGATTTAAGTTTCACCTTTATGTAAGAAGAATTCAGCAGGTGATAAATAGAAATTACCAATTTATATATAATTCTCTTCTTCTTATTAATCTTATTGATTATTAATAAAAAAACGATAACCTGCTTCTCCTCCAGAATTTTTAACTACAAATCTTGTTTCTACTTAATCACCTATCCAACAACTCTAACAATCTAATTATGATGGTAAATCTAATTAAGGTGGTTCCTTTCTTGCTAATAATGGAACTTTTAAAATATGATCTTCTGTTATTACGGCTATTGTATCATCAAACTCTGCCAATGAAGATGGATTAAATCTAACCTTTAATACTGCACTCATCCCTGGAGCTATAAATCCATCCTCTTTTGTTGGATATTTAATTGCTGCTATCTGAAACTCCTTTCTAAAATAATGTTAAATCACNTCATTTAAGTTTTTGATGTTGTTGATAATTTAAATTTATATTAAGCCAAAGTATTCACACAAATAGGAATAGGAAATTTATAAAATTGAGGTGTAACACTCACTTCTCCAAGTGCAGACTTGCTAATTAATTCAAATTCAAAGTATGTTATTGATGGTTTAATACTATTAGATCCAATAGCAACTGATTATGAATTATTTTCAAATTATTATTTTAAATTAGGAGGTGGATTTCTAATACTTTCAAATGGAATATCATCAATAATTAAATAGGCTGTTTAAAATAGTGGATAATATTCTTCACTCTATAAAAATATCTTAAAATCTATAACTTCATTAGGTTAAAAATATCCTTCTTAAGGTTAAATAGAATAATAATTTTATTCATCTTCTAATTTTAATTCCTTATCATCATTTTATAGATACCAATGATATTTAACTTTAACAGATGTTTTATTTCTTATTTTTAATTGTCTACTAGTTTCAACTTTTGGAATAGGATCATTAAAAAATATCTTTTATAATTGTTCTTAATTTTCTAAATTAATATTATCAATTCCTAATATTCCTAATTCTACCATATTTCCTCTACCAATCAATTTTAATGTAGCCTAAGTTAAATTATCACATCCTAATATAATGTTTTCAATAACTTCACCTTCAACATCTGGTTTAAATATTGCTTAAATGATTTAAGTTTCACCTTTATGTAAGAAGAATTCAGCAGGTGATAAATAGAAATTACCAACCTATATATAATTCTCTTCTTCTTATTAATCTTATTGATTATTAATAAAAAAACGATAACCTGCTTCTCCTCCAGAATTCTTAACTACAAATCTTGTTTCTACTTAATCACCTATCCAACAACTCTAACAATCTAATTATGATGGCAAATCTAATTAAGGTGGTTCCTTTCTTGCTAATAATGGAACTTTTAAAATATGATCTTCTGTTATTACGGCTATTGTGTCATCAAACTCTGCCAATGAAGATGGATTAAATCTAACCTTTAATACTGCACTCATCCCTGGAGCTATAAATCCATCCTCTTTTGTTGGATATTTAATTGCTGCTATCTGAAACTCCTTTCTAAAATAATGTTAAATCACTCACTTTTCAGGTGGTAACACTTTGATTCTTTACAAAGTCCCAGTAGCATTGGTAACATACAAATCTATTTCATACATACCATTCAACATGTACTCTCTAAATATCAATTATTTTGGAAAAACTCTAAAAGATGTAATTTAATCTTTCTCTACAACAATATCCTAAGTTAATTCAAACTAATCTTACTTGCTTTGTATTGATATATGAAAATAGAACCGGTGCTTTATTAATTTTGAATCGAGGATTCTTTAGATAATTAACTCTCTTATTCATGTTCTTAATAATTTGATTATTGATTTCTTTATCTTTCTCATTCATTTCCAATAAAAAATTGCTTTTATTTTTTTTCTATGTCACCGGTTTCAATGAAGTTGTTTCTTTCATTAGAAGTTATTTAATTATATATATATTTATATTTAACTTTATTATATATTTTAAATTCAAGGTACCATTATAATATTTGCCTTTGCCTTTTTTAATAATTCATCAGCTGTTGAACCAAAAAATGTCTTATTTTCTAATTATGCTCTATATCCATTTGAACCAAATACAACAAAATCAAGATCATCTGAATTATTTATCATTTCAATCACATTTTCTATTGCTCTATAAGATGCATCCAATTATTTATATTACCATTTTCTTTAATATTTTCCCATAAACTCCTCAACTTTAGTCTTAATAGTAGTTCCAAATGCCTCTCTATCTGGAGTAGGAGCAAAACATATCAATAAACTATCACGTTCATCAAAGGACAATGCAATTGCATTTTCTAAGGATTTATAAGATTTCTTAGATCCATCTATACAAACCACAAATTTAAATCCATTTGTTTCATCCCTCTTATAGAGTTTCTTAACTGCTATCAAAGGTACTTTACTATTGTATACTGAATTTCTCACTGTCTATCCTAAAATTGTGACATCTTATTTCACTCCCTTTCTTCCATTAAATCCAACTATCAAATAACTCACATTCAAATCTCCAGCAATACTCAAAATTTAATTTCTAACATTTTCTTAGCCTTAAGCTTTCTCCTAAAAAACCAATTAGTAATTTGCTTCTGGATACTAAAAATTAAAAATATGTTAATCAATTACTCTTGATAATAATTCAGTTTTATAATCCTCATAAATTGTTGTGCTTTGGAATTCAAAAGGCAAATAGGTTTTTGATTCATTTGATACATGGGTTACAATAATTTAATTGAAAATATTCTTATATTCAAAGAACTCAACTGCTTACTAATCAATATCTTAAAATAAGGTACAAAGAAAGCTTATTTGGATGCTTAGGATCCATCAGTTGCAACCATTATATTCGATTTATTTAATTCCATAAAATTATTAAAATAAAATATTTTATAATTAAAATTTATATAAATACCATTTATAATTCATAAATCTGTAGGTTATACCTTAAATTCAGGAATACTATCCATATTTAAAAGAAATAAAGGTTTTCTACAATCCTATAAACTTTCTCCTCTTAATCTATAATAGCTTTAATCAATCAAAAAATCACCAAAATAAAAAGAATGTAATTCTGCTCTACTTAAAGAATTTATAGTTAAAGTTCCTAATAAAAATGGATGTGTAAATAATGACTAGGGTATAGAATGTTTCACTGATACTGTAGCCAATACCCAAAAACCCTCCGATATTATTAAAGATAAAAACCCAGACAAACCATATGTAAAGGTTCTTTTACTTTTGTCAATTCTATAGGCTAGGCTTAGAAATAAACCTGGAATAGCTTGACTAAATAGTGAAATCCAAGCACAATTCTTACCATATTGCATTCTTATTAAAGGTAATTGCAATTCTAAAGGACAGTTCAAATATTGTAATACAGTAGTATTATAAGATTCAGGTTATGTATAATGAATAATAAGGGCAAATGTTGAGTCTAATATAACGTTAGCAATCATTAAAGCAGCTGCTGTTTTTAAGTTCTTTAATCTAAAGAATTTAACAATAAGGAAAATAAAGGCTAATGATATTATGTCACTCAAGTACCATGGTTTCAAAAAATAATAAGGCAAGCCAATCAATAAAGAAATAATTGAAGCAATTATTAGATTATATTTTCTGACGAAAGAATTTGCTTTCAATAGACAGGCCATCTATAATATAATTAATTTTAATACTTCTGCTGAAACAAAGAAAATTGCTAATGTACCAATAGTGCATGCAATAACAATAAAAAAATATCGAATAAAATTAGAAAAACCTGTTGCTAAAACAATAGTTGCTCCACTTGCATATAATAATATATAGATCCCAATAACTAAAAAGGTAATTTCAAATCCTTGGAAATCTTATCCATTTCTTCTCCATCTAAATGAAAGGATTCTAGTATATTTTGCTAAAAATGCAATTAATATAGTTGAAATGATTAATAAAATTGGCAAACTCCAATCAAATGTTAGATCTCTGAATGATTTATCACATGTAAATATCATTACAAATTCTATTAATTTTGAAGTCTCTTTACTCACTTCATTAAAACCAATATTCACATATATAGGAGTCCAATAATTATCAGATGTTAGATCAACTTTTTATGGACACTTCTAAATTAACTTGAATAAGATTTCACTTTAAGGTCTTAAAATTGTGTCATCTGAAAGTACTTCTGTTGAAAGAGTTCTCTTAATAATGTTATAAAATACATAGTTGTACTTTTTTCTGATGTTTGCAAAGCATAAACATTGTAAGAAACTTTATCATCGTTATAAATTCTTAATGTTTGATTTGAATATCCAATAACATCACCTGTACTTGAAACACCAAATGATTTTGGAGGCTTACATGTTACTCCTTTATCTAAATTCTTTCTTAGAAATTCAAATTAAACTTCGTTGTCCTCATAAACTAAATATTCATCATAGTCTTCTTTAATAAATATCTTCACATTCTAACCTAATATCAATAAGGGTAAATATAATAATAAAATTTACATTTATTTATCTTATAATTAAATATAAATTTTTTCTAACAAAATATATTCAAATTAATATTTTACTAAAGAAAACTATTCAAATTAAATCAAATATGTTCTTAATAGAATTTAATATGTTTTTTAATTGATTTTGTTATTATATTTATATGATTGATCAATAATTAAAATGACTAACGATCAATTTAAATTATTAAATATTTTTAATATTCAAAAATGAGTAATCATCCTGCCTCTACAAGACCTCCCTAAAAAGCTTAACCAGTTGCTCCATAACATCCTATTGCTCCATCACATCCTATTGCTTACTCACCTCCTAGAACTTATGCTCAACCAGTTGGATTTGCAAGTCCTTCATATTTACCTGTCTAATAATCTTTTGTTGGTTCTCCTGTTCAATACGTCCCATAATAAGTAGCTGTTCAACCTGTTGCTGTTTAACCTGTTTCTGTTCAACCAGTTTAATAGGTCATTAAAGGTGAAAGCAGAATTGAGTAGAAATCTAAATTCAATTTATTTTTAGATATATCCCTTATGAAAAATCAGTTATTGAATATGAAGAAGTCAGATAAAGAATCTAAGTTCCAAGGGAAAAATATGTAACAGAATATTAAGCCATCGAATATTAAACTGAATATATCCCATAAGTTTTCTATGATAAAGTTACAGGTTGTTAATTAATTATAATAATTAGAATACGTTCCTGTAGATAGATTTTAAGATAGAGTTGAATATTATCCAGTTGAAAGACAAGTTGTTCATCAACCAGTTTAATAAGTAGTAGCATAACCTGTTGTTTAATCTGTGGTTTAATAAGTTCCTTAATATGTTGCTCCAATCTAATCAGTTGTTTAACCAGTTTATTAACAACCTCAAATTTAATATGCTTCTTATGTTTAACCTAATTTTGCACCTTCCAGAATTGCTCCTGTCTCCTATGCTCCTCCATAATAATATGGCCCTCCAGTATCTCAACCAAGACGAAATGTAAAATTCATATTTAAAATCATTAGTCCCCTCCAGCAAAACCATTACCAGCCTAAAAGCCACAACCATAAAAAGAAAAAAAATCCTTTTTAGACAATATCTTTAGTTGATATTAATGTTATGTGCACAAAATATTATAACTAAACCTTATATAAATTATTATATTATTTCTATAAATTATGCTTTTTTAATTTATAAATCTAGATGATTTTAATTTTCTTAAATACATAGATTTATATAAAATATACATATGTTTCATTTGAATAATGTAATTTTATATTAAGGAGATTAAATAAAATTATTTTTATTTGATAAGTAATGATATATTTTTTAAAATAATCTTTGAAAGCTTTTTTCAATTTATTAATATTTATCAAAAAATACTCATAATTTCTTGAATAGAGACGATGAAGATTTAAATATATAAATAAATAATTTATTTACAAAGTTGAATAATATTTTCTTCTTTTTTAAGCAATTCTGAATTTAAATTATTTATATTTTTTACTGCAATTTCAAATTAATAATTTATTGCTCATAACAATAACTGATTAATAAAACACTCTATATATGTTACAATCGAAATTTATTTGATAGAAATAGAAATATAATATTAATAAGAAATTTCATCTCAAAAGAACTTAATTATTATATATATATCCGAGTTATACCATCTTATTATCACAAAATCATATAAATATAATTATTAAATAATTATCTTATCCAATGAGAAATGATAATGTAATTTCTACAAAAACAGAACCAATTTTTAATAACTATGATCTTTTTAAAGGTATTATAAATTTCTTAAATAGGCCCCTTTTAGTATTCACCTTTCACAATAGGTCATCCAGACTAGCCTGATGATGATCATTCAGTTCGAGATCCAACTGTGAAAACCATAGAAAAATCAAAATTCACTCTATCTCCTATGCATACTAATTAAGAGGTGCTATTTTTCAAGGTATTTAAGATTTCTAATGATAAATTGTCTTGTAACATTGAAGAAAGTAGCTTCTAATTATTTTCAAGTCCTACTCATAATAATTTAAAAAGGTTGTAAACTTAAACTAAACCAATAAAATTGAAACAAAAATTCATAGATGTATTAAGTAAAACAATTAAAAAAAATTACAAAATTATGAAGTTCATGTACTTATTTGATTTAGATTAATTGGGTTTATAAAGATAATGTAAATTTATATATAAAAATATAAAGATGTTCTACTACCAAACTCTGTAATCCTGAAAATTTGGAATATATTTTATTATCTCTTACTTTTTGTATATTTGCTTATAATTCCTATCAGCGAGAAATCTCATTAAGTGGCATTTCTAATATTGAAAATAGTAGATTGTAGTTTAAAAGCTTGTAGCGCTGTGGCTATTAATGGAGAAATTGAGAGTAATATAAATATAATTTTGAAAAAGTATTACAAAAAATATTTGATCTTTGATATAGTAAGTATTTAAATAACATATAGATATTTTTAATTAGTTTGATTTTAATAATAAGAGTAGAGAAAATTGATTGGATTATTCTCTTAATAAATATTTTAAGTATTTTACCAAGATTTATAGATTTGCATAATAATATTTAATTGTATTTATTAATATTTTTAGTTAGTGAATTTGATATTTTTAAAGTATATTAATAAGTAATATTGTTAATTATATAACAATGTATATTAATTCACATTATAACATGTTTTTGGATTTATAATATAGAAAATGATAATGAAGATAATTTTTCATAAAGATATTTGAAAACAATATAACTAATTGTAAGTATTATTACCTTTAATTCAAATTAAACTAATTTAAATGATAATAATTAAATAATAGCATATTGTTGTATATCTATTTTATCATTTTATTACTTTGCATATTAATTTTCTATTTTAATTGAACTTTTTAAACCAGAACAAAGATCTTCTCAATTAAGTCATTTTTTTACTTAAAATAAATTAGATACAATATTAAAATAAAAAATAAGAAGTCATTTAGAAAATCAATCATAGTTTTCTCATAAAGAATTTACTGATAAACTTTCAAATAAATTGCTTAAAGAATATAATATAGTTTAAAGATAAAAGTTATTAAGTTAACATTTCAAATATTTAAATAATGTTACATTAAAGTAAATTATTGATAATTGCATTGAGATAGTCTATTAACCTAATGAAAATATATTTTAAGAAGGAAAAACTGATGATTGTTCTTTATATGTTATATTAGAAGGATCTGTACATTTGAAATCAAAAACAAATATCATATTATTAACTTTAAAATAATTTGCTACATTTGGAGAATTATCTTTTTATACAGAGAATCCAAGAGATTTAACAGCAATAACAGATGGAATTACAAGATTAATAAAAATTTAGAGATCAATATTTTTATCTCTATTAAATTTCAATGAAAAAGTAACTTAGAAGAATTTAATCTTAGCAATTCTTTTATGAACAACGTGATTTGATACTTTTTAATGAGAAATTACCATCAGAATGTATTTGTTGTAATTCCCAATAACATATAATAACTGGTTGTCCTTATTTAACTTATTAACCTGATTTAAGTTTCATATTAAAAAAATATATTTATCCTCATAAATAAAATAGAAAAGAATGTATAATATTATATTAAAATATTTTTAAGATAAAAGAAAAAAGAGTAAGGATGCCAGAGCTTATAGTTTTTATAAATAAGCTTTAGATTTTGAAACAGCATTTTAAAATTTGGTTGAAGATTATTTATAGAATTTTTAATAAAGTTAAACATAAATTTAAATTGAAGAAAATCATATTAAAGATTCATGTGTTAGTAGTTTTAGTAAAATAAGTAAAGAAAGATCATTTATAAAATCTACATCATTTTTAAAATAATAATCTGGTTTTGATTAATAATCTGTATTTAATAATGATAATCTAATGTAATATATATAATTAATATATAAATTTAGATTAAATGGAGATTAAAATAATGAATTTTAATTTATACATAGCAGTTAAGAATATGATTTGTCATCAAAATTTAGAACAGATTAATAAAAAAGAACTTTTAATACAGCAGGTTTTGGATCTTAAGGAGGAGTTGCTTCTAATAAAGAGATGACTTAAAATTTGACTGAAAAATCATTAAATATTATTATGGAGAATGATGATTCAGATTCACATCATGATTAAGAATAAAGATAATAGTAAGTTTAAAATGATATAAATGAAGAAAATATTATAGAAGATAAATTCATAAGAAAAAATAATGATCCAAAATTAACATTTAATAATAATTTTGAATCTTAAATGCATGATTAAAATTAAAATAGACTTTAACGTTTAGGTTCTGGATCATATAGATAATAAAGTTCAATGAATAGTACATATCTACATCCTGAAGTTGTTAGTTAAAGATTAAATTCATCAAGATCTCTAACTAATAATTAATATAAACCAAATCTCAATTAATCATAATATATAAAAAAATCTAGTTTTTCAATTCCTTAAAAATTAATTTAATAATCTCGTTAATTAGATAATTTTAATTAAGATGAAAATAAGAATTCAAATTTAATGAATCCATTTAGAAAATCTATGACAAGAATGGGATCCAAAGTTTCTAATATTGCTTCTAGTTTTTCACCATTCAGTGCTTAAGAAGTATAATATATTTTAAATAGATACCTGTTTATGCAAATAAATCTTTTGGTTTAGATGATTTTGATGTTATGTATGCTTTTGAAAATTATTTCACTCATAATAATTATGAAATAACAATTTTTTAGTAAATATTATTAATTAATATATTTAAGGGCAAATAAAATTAAAAATGTTGCAAAAATACGATTTTCTAAATATTTAACAGATTATAAATTAGTAAAGATGGTTGATAAATTAAAATAATAAAGAATAACAAAATGAAAATCATTTTTTATAGATGTAAATTGATAATATTATTAATAATAATATTTTAATATAATATTTTCTTAATATTCTATATAAATATCTCTAATTTATTTAAATCTATAAAAATATAATTTATTTTTTAAATTAGATATACAATATTTAAATTGTGAATGTTATTAAAATAATAGATGTATTAAACTTTAAAATAAATAGTATTTCATTGAAATGAAATCTAAATCAAAAGAATAAATAAGAGAGTCTAATCAAATATAATATAAGAATCAGATGATAAATTATTACTAATATATATTATATACATGTAAAAATAAATTATGATTTGATTTCTTCAAATAATTTGAATAAATAAGAAATTTATTTTAGATTAATAACCTCTAATTGTGATTTATTTTTATATTCCATTGTATTAGAATGGATTTCTTATTACATCAGTATAACTTATTAAATTAATTTTATTTTTTAATTATAGAAATATATATGAAAATTATTTTTGAATTTAATAATAATTCGTTCATACAATATTGAGAAATAAGTTATCTTCTATTTTTCAATGATTATTCAAATAATAATAATAATAAAGAGAGGATAAATTCAATTAATATAATTTTATACTCAAGTAATTGAGAATATATTTAAAACTATTTTGAAATAATTTATTAAAATATACTATTTTCACTCTATTTCCTAAGAGTGGTGAATTTCAGTAGTTGATAATTAATAAGAAATATTACATCAAGAAGAAAATTAATAGTGCAATATATTAAAATGTGTAATCATATAATTGGTATTATTAATTAATGAGGGATTATTAAGTATAGAAAGAGGCTGAAGTTATAATTTATAGACAATATTATTATTTATTTGTATATATAAAAAATGGGCTGTGCTGGTTAAAAACAGAATCAAAAACAATCATAAAATATGCTTCATTTACAAAGTCAGTCAATCTCAATTTATCATTCAAAAAGAAAAATGTGTATAGAATCTTTACCAATGAATGATCCTAAACAATAAATTTAATTATATAGATCAATCGATATATCAAAAGATTAAGAATTTGTTTTAAAGAGTGTTAAAAAGTTCATTCCTAAAAATTCAGAATCTCCAAACTCAACTCCAAAATTTAATTAAAGTCTTTAGTTCGGTATAGGAATTGGAAATCATAGAAATAAAGTTATTTTATGAATAAAATAAAGGATATTGGAGAAATTCAGTCATTTAATGATTATTAATATTTTTATATTCTTTTTTTATATTAATATTAGTAATTCTTAGGAAAATCTAAAAATTGATTAGCACTCATAATAATAATTAAAAAATATTACAAGAATATTTGATTTATTTACATTGAAATCTGATAAAATTATTGTGTATATACTTAATTCAAAGATTTGCATTAAGTATTCAATTATTAATTAACTGATTCAATTTTTATAATTAATATATATTTAACTTCGAGATTTTTATAGAACTGATACTTTTTATATCTTACTCATTTTCTTATATAAATAAATATTATCTTTATTTATTGCTGAATTTTAATCAAATTCTATATGTAAATAAGATTTTTAAGTATTGTCAAATTATTGATATATTCTAAATAATAAAGCATTTTATTTAAAATAGATTACATTTGTTTTGATTAATAAATATCTCTAAATTCATATATATATAGTATTAATTCATATTCCAATTAAATCACTGAAAATATAGGTTGATTTAAATTAGATCTTCATTTATTAATTAATATAACAAAAATAGTTATAAGTAATAAAATTTTGAATTGTTTAAAAGTATATAAAACTTGTATTGTGATTGCTATGAAAATAATACAAAATATTACATTTGTTAATTAATTAAATTTATCTGACTTTGAATATATGAGAACAACTCCTAATAGTTTCAAAGAAACAGCTTCCAAGACTTCAACTCAAGATTATAAAAAATAATAATCTCAACCTGTATGTTAAATTCATTTATTATTAAGACTGTTAGTATACCAGAATCTAGTTAATTATTTCACATTCCTTAAAAATATTGTCCTTAACGCTTCAAACCATAACCAACAATATCTAAATCTATTGAAGATAAGAGATGTAGAGTCAATAAAAATAATCTATCAGAATTAAATAATCGAACAAATAGTAGTTCAAAAAGTCGTATTTCAGGCTTTACAAATAATTAATTAGAAGATGATTCAATGTATAGTTCATAGAATGCATTAAAATTAAAGAAAATAATAGGTGATTCATAAGCATATACTACTAATTTATTTGTGTAAATATTTTATTCTTATCTTTTTATAGTTCTAAATCTAACTTAACTTGTGATTCATCAAGTCCAGGAGGAAGATAAAATAAATCAGCTTATAAAAAATCAATAGATTTTGATATTAATCAATTTAATATGTTAAAAGAAAAAACATTAATGCAAAAAAAAGCATAATCATAATAATAAGCTAATAAATCAAAAGAATTGATAGATTAATTTTTAAATCTAGATAAATAGATTCAAGGTTCCACATTAGAATAACAAAAAAAATAGTAGTATTTAAAGTAAAGAGGATTATGGGATCCATTCAAAGATTTATTTATTAAACAATTTGCCAGAACTCCAATTTAATTTAAGAGTGTTTTTAATTAATTATAAATCTAAGTCAGAGAAATAGAATAATAATGGTCAGAGATAATTATGTAAATAGCAAATAATTTATTTGAATTATTATAAAATTCTGCAATTCTAATGGTGTATGAATAAGATTTAAAATTAAATGAATTGATTGAATAAATAAAAAGAGAAAGAGATATTTGGTAAAATAATTTTAAATCTCTTGAATAAGAAAGAGATATTCTTTTAGAAACTGTTTCTTAATTAAAATAAACTTTAGAAAAAGAGAGACCTCTTTAATTTAATAAAACAGATAAAAAATAAATGGATCTTGATTCTGTTAATACTTCTTAATTAAAAGAAATTACTATATTAATGTAATAAAAAATTTAAGAAATGTCTGAGAAAGAATAAAAATTAATTAAGTTAGTATTAGCAATTCGTAGAACAGGGATTGATATAGAAAAAATATATAATGAAGAAGTTTTAAATGATGATTCTTTATCAGAATAACAAAATTAATCTAATAGAGAGAATAAGTAATTTATATATATAATATTTAGATGGTTGATTCCAAAGATTGAAAGAAGTTTTCATGATGCTGATAATTCTGTTGTAAATGATTCAGATGAATCTAGTTTTTAATATAATGGAAGATTGGAAGATGAAAGTATTATTGAAAGTATTAGAAGATTTGAAAACAGAAATTAAAATAATATTTATGCTACAGAAAGTAAGAGTTCTGTTAAAATGAAGATAGATTTATCAAAATGTAATTAATAATAACAAAAAATATAATAATTATAATAGTTATAGTAATAATAACAATTAAAAAAAATTTAACAATAAATATAATAATAATAAAATATAAATAAATTGAAAATTCCAGATTAAGAAGGGATAGGATTTCATTAAGAATTTATGATGAAATTTAATGAATTTTCTGAAAGTTGGAGAGTATAAGTATTAAAAGATGAAAAGAAAAATAAATCATGATTTTTTCTATAATTTTAACTAAATTTTGATATCTATTAATTTACTTACCTTTAAGATATTAAAAATTATAAATTATCTTTATTTAGATTGTAATTATTTATTAATATTTTCTATATTATTTTTTATAAAATAAGAATTTTTTAGATAATTTCATATTGTATAACTAAGATACTATAATATTTTATTATTATTGCAGAATTATATTCCTATATTTTTATTAAAATTAGAAATCTTAAATATACTGCTAATTAAGTTGAACTATATGGTTTTTTAAAAACACATTTTTACCTTGTTTATAAATTTTTACAGATAATTATTAAAAATTTGAATTTGATTACAATTAGTTCATATGAACGAAGCAATCAAAATTTTTGTAAGAATGAGACCTCCTCTTTAAAATGAAGATGAAGAAGCATGGAAGATCTAAAAAGAATCAAACACTATTATATCATTACCTAGAGATCCTTAAACAACTAGAAGATATGCTGATGCTTTCTATAATTACCAATTCACTTTTGGTATAAATCTTTGTTTAATATAGACAAGATCTTTTCAAATGAGGATAAGAATGAAGATATTTATAAACATTGCAAATAACTTTTGAATTATACTCTTTAAGGATTCAATTCCAGTCTATTTCTTTATGGATAAACTACTTCTGGTAAAACCTACACTATGCTTGGAGATTAAGAAAACCCTGGATTATTACCATATACATTACTTGACTTATTTAAGGAATGTTAATTACCTATTGCTATTAGTTATATTGAAATATATAATGAATAGGTTTAAACTTATATATAATTTATAGATTAATGATCTTTTATAATAAGGTGCCACAAACCTAAAAATGTAGGATATAAATGGATAAGCCTTTGTTAATTAATTAAGAATTTAGTAAGTAGAGAATTTTGATGATGCTTTGTCTTTGTTATGTGATGGAGAAGAATAACGTATGTATAGAGAAAGATAAATTCATGAACATTCTTCTAGATCACATACGATATTTCAAATATTAGTATAACATGAATCACATACTTCAACTTTAAGTCTAATAGATTTAGCTGGTAGTGAAAGATTAAATGAAGAAGATGCTTCAGATGAAACAGCATATATCAATAAAAGTTTATTTGTTTTAAGTAATGTTATAAATAAGTTGGCTGAAGGAAAAAAATCACATATTCCTTATAGGGATTCAAAACTCACTAGATATTTATAAAATTCTTTAGGTGGTAATTCATATACAACTATTATTTGTACTTTATCTCCTGCTTCAATGAATTTTTATTAAACTCTATCAACATTAAGGTTTGCATAAAGAGCAAAGAAGGTTGAAAATAAAATATATAAATAAGAATCTTTAAGTAAATCTGGTTTAATAGAGGCATTATAAAAGGAATTGAATGATATAAAAATAGAAAGAGATTAATTAAAAATATAATTGTAACAATAATAATCAAATAACAACTTTGATTAAATAATAGATGTTTTTATATAATACATTGCTTTATAAGTACATGATAAATAAAAGTTTATTGAAGATACAAATATTTTAAAGGATGTTTATAATCAATAACATAAATAATTAATTCAATCTTTATATAATTAGATTATGTAAATATGTTAAGATTGTAATTTACCTAAAGGATTAAATAATCCTATGAGTAATTAAACATAAAAAGTATTTGTATAATAATTCAAAGAATTAATTAATAAATAATTATAAGAAGAATCAATTTTTAATAATGTCTATGTTTAATCCATATTAAATCCATAATCAGATTTTTAATCATATTAAACTTAATAATTAATGCCAATTTTAGAATCTGCATTTTAAGAAGCTATGAATGCTTTATAAAATAAATTAAATGAAATAACATCAGTTGTTTAGAATATAGGTGAATTATCATATTAAAATTAAAAGATTTTTGATGATAAAAGTTTAAAAAAGTATTTTGAAATAGTAAATAATGAATATAATTGGATGAAATAATGTAAATTATAATTAAATGAACAATTTAATAAAAAAACTTAAGTATTATAATAAGCATTTAATAATGTTTCAAAAAATCTTAATGATTCTCGTTTAAATTCTTAAAATAATAATAATAATAAATAATAATAATAATAATAATAATAATTATAGAATATTACTAATATAATTAATCCTAATATAAGATAATCTACAAATACACCTAAATTTACAGAAAGAGATAAAACAGCATTATTTGTTTGGGGATCTGGTAAAGATGGTAGACTTGGAACTGGTTCATTAGCTAGTTAACCAATACCATATAAAGTATAAATTTAAAATCTATAATATATTTCATGTGGATATTATCATTCTGCTGCAATTAATATTGAATAATAATTATTTATTTGGGGTAAAAATTATGATTTAACACCTTAAAAATAACCTTAATTTAATAATATTATTTAAGTAGCATGTGGATGTCAACATACATTAATTTTAGATTCATTAGGATAAGTATTTTCTTGGGGAATTGGAGATGAAGGATAATTAGGAAATGAATCATACTTTAATTCTGATGAACCTGTCAAAATATTAGATAATATCATATATATAGAGGCAAGTAGATCTCATTCTGCAGCAATAAATAAAGATAATTTATTTTATAGTTGGGGTTCTAATATAGATTATAGACTTGGATTAGAAGAGAAAAAAAACTACAATATTCCTACTAGTACAGGAATATAAGTAAATAAAATATCATTAGGAACAAATCATTCAGCATTTATTAGATAAGATGGTATAGTATTTACAACAGGGAATGGATAATAAGGATAATTAGGAAATAAGATAAATTCTGAATGTTACTTAAATTTATAATTAGATATAAAAGCTGTTGATTTAGTATGTGGAGAGGATATCACATTATTTATTAATAATAATGGTGATGTTTTTAGTTGTGGAAAGAAAAGTAATGGAAATTTAGGACATTTGATGTCTACAATTCCAGCATTTTTATAATAACCAAAATAAATTGAAGGATTATAAAAAATTAAATAGATAAGTGTTGGTAAAAGACATTGTTTAGCAATATCTTCTAATAAATAAGTTTGGGGATGGGGATTTAACTTTTTTGATCAATTAGGTTTAGGAGATAAAAATAGATTCATTGAATAGTAATTAATTATTTTATATATAAAAATAGGCCAATTAAACTCGATCTTTAAGATGTAATTTAAGTATCTTGTGGAGAATATCATTCTTTGGCTTTATGCTAAAATTGAAATTGAATAGTTTATTTATTATTATTATTATTATTATTATATAAAGAGAAATAGTCTATAATATTTTTGATTATATTGAAAAATTTAGTGGATTAGTAAATTTAAATCTTATATTATAATATTCTTTGATTAAAAATACAAATTTAGATAGCTAAATATGAGATTTGAAAAAGTACTTTGAAATTTATTCTAAATAATAGATTAGGGTTCTAAATTGAGTAATTTGAAATGAATTAATGTTAAGTAATTTAAAATTATATATGTAAATATTCTTAAGGAATATATTTAGAGATTTTATGTTAATTATTATTTATAAATGAGAAGAAACAACAATAGAACATAAAATAATATGAGAGTGGTCTCATTTTAGAGTGTGTTCTCTGAAACTCTTCCTAGCACATCAGTATTTTGGTAACCAGATACTAGTCCTAGAGAATCATAATTAACTATATTATAAGGTTAACTTTTATTTAAAAATGAAAATGACTCTTGGGAGAATTATTTATTCGAACTCTAACCTGATCGAATGTTTCGTTTTATTGGAGATCAGACTGATTGTTGTTATTTAAGGGGTTGTTTTTTGAAAAAGTTTAATCATTATGATGCATAATATCCTTCTTATAAATATGGATTTAGATTATAAATGGGATAATATTTAGCATTTTTTGTGACCGATATATTAGATTAATTTAAAAAATGGTTTATGATGTTAAAGAGATTTTGTATACTAGAAAAATTTACAAGGAAATATAGAGTGATAGCATAATTAAGATATAATGATCCTATATTTTAATAAGTTTGCTTTAATTGTGTTAGATTATCTGATGCATAATATTATTTAGTTAAAATTATAAACAAAGAAATGTCACAATAATAGAAGAATATGATGTTCAAAGAATTAATGCATTTAAGAAGATTGAAGTACCAATAATCTGTAATGCTAGCCATCCTTAATTGATGAGGCTGATTGAAATATATGAAGATGAAATGAATATATACTAAGTATTCGATCCATATATGGGTGGAGATTTAAGATAGCATTTGAGAGAAACCCAATTAGCATAAGAAGTAGGTGGTTAAGTGGAAGAAAAAGTATTAGCAGATATGATGTATGGATTGATAGGAGCAATAACACATATGCATTAAAGAGGAGTATTTCATAGAGATATAAAATTGGAGAATTTATTTGTACCAGAAAATAAAAGATTACCATTTGTTTTATTATCAAATTTTTGTTATTCAGAATCATTTAAATTAATGGGTTAAAATTAAGGAAGTTATAAAAAATGTGGTACACCAGGTTATGTTGCTCCTGAAATTTTTAGATCTAGAAATTATGATTAAAAAATAGATGTATTTAGTCTTGGAATAGTATTTTACATTTTAGTATTTGGAAAGATGCCATTTGAAGGATAAGATTAAGATGAAATTTTAAGAGCAAATGAAAAATGTGAAATAGATTTTAAAGCTGAAAAAAGATTATGTAAGAATTTATCATAATCTGGAATGGATATGATGAAAAAAATGTTAAATAAAGAACCTACTTAAAGATTTACATCTGCTTAATGTTTAAATCATCATTGGTTCATAAAAATGAAATGCAAAGATGAAACTAAACCAAGGAATTAATTTTAATAATAAAGAAGTCTCTCAACAATTATTGAAAATTCTGAAATGGAATTAACATAAAGGTATTTATTTTATTTATTTAATATAGTTTCATTCGTCCTTTTAAAGAATCAAGTTAATATATGCAATCTAAAAAGAATCTTCCAACTTAAGTTGTAAGAAAAAACTAATAAAAATAAGACACAATTGAAAAAATAGATAAAGAATTTATTTATGATACTTTAGAAGGAAAAATGAATTATATTAATTAAGAGACTTTTGTGAAAGCACCATCAAAGATTAATCATCATTGATATGAATATTATAAATAATAAAATAAAATTATTCATTTTTTTATGTATTCTAACTTCCATAATAAGTGATCAGTTATTGTTATTCTAGTATTATTCTCTATTAAAATATCCCAATCTTATTTTTTTTCATTTATATATGAATATATGGAATCCATATTTTATCTTTCATAGGTTTATTTGGATTATCTATTTCTATACCTAATATTTTTCATATACATCAAAATACCATCAAGTTTCTAGAAATAAAAATGAAATCTATCATCTACTTAATCATAATGAGATATGAAATTCCCATCACATTTATCTGATACTTTCTCACTGAAACAAATTCCATTTATGACATTCAATAACAAATCACTCTCCTATTTTTCATCAAAATATATAAATTGTTTTTCCGTTTTATTGTCAGGATGCTAAATTCTTATCATAAAACCTTATTTCATATCTTCTAACTATTTATAATCAAATTATATATTTTTTTATTTCCAATCGATGTTACGCATCCCATTTATTTTTTATGTAATAAATCGAAGTTATTTGCTTTGGATTGGCTGTTGAAGTAGAACGATTATAGTCTCTCAATAAACAACTTAATCAAGATATCGATCAAGCAAATCTTCAAAATAAAAACTCACAAACTCTCATTGACCAATAAACTATAGAAATCTAATTACTTCAGACAAAATTAGATGACATCAATACAGACTAAATCAAACTATTAAATCAATACAAATCTTTATAATAATAACATCTTCATATAACTGATCTAATTAATTAAATTACAGCTGGCCAAATAACCTTAGAATAGTTAAAGGAATTGATAGATGAGCTCAAAAACAGATCCATTTTATATGATGAAATTTAAGAATTACTATAAGGATAGGATCTATAAGATGTGATCTCTAAAGCTGAATAGTTTTAATTGTAATGCAATATAAATTAAGAGTTGAGAGATTAATTAGAATAGTATCCTGAAATTGTCATCAAACTCAATTAAGATTTGGATAAACATAAATAGGATTTATTCAATAATAAGTAATGTATTACCAATATGGAATAAACTATTCTAAATCTTAATTAAGAAATACATATCTTGAAATAATTAATAGAATAAGAGTAATATAAGAACTCTTCAAATCAATCCTAAATGTCCCTATCATTAGAAACTTAATTAAATGAACTCAGACTTAAATTATCTTAAAATGAATAAAAAACTGAAGAATTAGAAGATGAAGTTGAATAAGTCAATTTTTTTAAAGCTTAAATGGAATCATAACTTTAAGAAATTCTTAAAGAAAACAATAAAATTCTTATTGATAAAGAAAAGTTAACATCTGATAATTTAAGTCTTAATACACTTAATGAGAATCTTTAATATTAATTGAATATATAGATAAGTACAAATTAAGATTTAAATACTTAAATAATTAGATTGGAAGATTAAGTTAGATTGTTTAAGAATTAATTAGCAGAAGAGAATGATCTAAAAATTTAAATTATACGATTAGATGCTTAAATATAATCTTAATATGAAAGAATATAAATGTAAGATAATGAAATATAAGATTTAAATCTTAAAAATTAAGAATATAAATAAAACAATTAATAATCTTTAAATAAATATTAGGATCTCTTTAATTAAAAAGATAATGAAATTTATAATCTCAAATAGATACATATAGAACTTTAAGATCAAATATCTGAACTATAAAATTAAATCAAAAATCTAAAACTTTAATTATAAGTTGATGCTGATGAAATAAATTAACTTAGAATTTTACATTCATAATTTTAAGGATAGAATGATTCTTCTAATTCTATAATTATTAATTTCTAAACTTAAATTTAATAATTTAATTAAGAAATTTAGAATCATATCCTTAAAATATCATAATAAGAAACTATAATATTAAATTAATAATAATAATTTATTAATGAAAAATTAGAGCTTTAAAAACATTACTAATAAATTATTGAAAAACTCTAAGATGAGAATAAATCATTATTGGATTAAAATGATTAATAATTTCAAAGTTTGGAAGATTAAGGTAATCAAATTTTATCACTTTCCTCTGAAAATTAAGATCTATAAGAGATAATTGATTAAAAAGAGCAAGAAATAGATAAATTAAATCTTTATGTTAAGAAATAATAAGAAATTCATGAAGGTAATATCAAAAAGAATGAAGCATTTGAAGAATAAAATAGAGAATTATTATTTAAATAGAGTTCATTTTAAAAGACTATTAAGGATTTATAAACATAATTAGAGGGTTTTAAATTGGAAATAATTGAAAAAGATTAACTAAAATAAAAGAAATTATAATTGGAATAAGATATAAACAAACTAAATTAATTAAATGCAGAATTAAATTAATAAATTTCAACTATGAAAGTTGAAATAAATAATTATTAAATTTAAATAAATAATTTAAATTTATAAATAAACAATAATGAAATTGAATTAAGAAGCTCATTTTAAGAAAATAATTCATCTGAGAATTAAATTAAAGAATTATTTATAAAAATTTAATAACAAGAAATTATAATTAATTAATAAGATTCATAAATTAAAGAAGATGAATTTAGAATTTAGTAACTTATGGATGAATTACAAAAACTTAATTAAAAAAGTAAAGATTATTATAAAAAATTTGAAGAATAAGAGATTTTTATTAAATAATTATAGGTAGAATTAAATGAATTAAGTAATGATATAAAGAAATTAGAAAATGAATTAGATCTTAAAGAATAAGAATATAATGAATTAGATGATGAATATAATCAAATTTGGAATTAATTAAATGCTTTTAAAAATGATTAATCAAAGTAATATTCAGATACTTAGATTCAAGAATTAAAATAATAACTAACAAATTCAAAATTTGAATAAGTCAAATTGCTTGAGGATTTAGAAAAATTAAAGTAATAATTAGTAGATAAAGACTCATAACTTAATTAAAAGGCTATGGTTATTGATAAATTTAATGTTAAATCAATGAATTAAATAAATGAAATACGTTTATTAAAATAAGAAATTGAAAATAATCAGATTGTAATAGAAAATTACATATAGAAAATTTCTAAACAGGAATAATATATTTAAGATCTTTTGAAATCTTTAGAAAGTGAGAAATAATGTTAAAAATCTCAAGTAAAAGATAATACAGATAATTAAAGAGTTTTTGAATTACAATAATTAAATATGAATTTAAGCAAAGTTATAGATGAAAAGACATAAAAAATATAATAATAAGAATAAGAAATCATAATACTCAATGAAAAAATAAGAGAAACATAGATTTATATTAGAAGTATGGAAATTTAATTCAATGAATTGAAATTAAAATATGAATAATAAATATAATTGCAGACAACTTATTAGAAATCTAGCTTCATTTAAAATTCAGAAGATAATTTTGATGAACTTTAATAAAAGTATCAATAACTTTAATAGAAATATGTTTAATTATAAAGAGATTACTAATCATTATTAAATAATTAAACAAAACTTGAAGAATATGAAAACAAAATTGCATTGCTTTCTCTAGAAATTTCAAGATATAGAAATTCATCTAAGAAAAGTACACCATTGATTAATAGAGAAGGTTCTTCAAGTGTTAAAACTAGTAAATTTAACCTTGGAGAATTATAAAGTCCTATTCATGAAGAATTGAAAATAGAGTAATCTAACAGTAGTCAAATATTAATTCAACCTTTTAATAATCCTAAAATAGAAGAACAATATGGACTTATGGTATTATTATTTGCTGAAATTGAAGCACTAAGAATGTAAGATAGCAATAGATAAACAATTTAAGATGATAAAAGTAAGGTTTCATGTCTTATGGATTATTACAGAACTAAAAAGCCTGCATGATTAAAATAAATTATAACAATAAATTAAATAATATATTTATACAATTGTATACTTACTTATAATAATATATTCCAATTATTTATCTAAGTAAGGTAATAATTAATATATATATATATTTAATTAAACTAAATAAAAATTTAATATATCTAATAATTGACATTATTATTTTTTAGAATAATTAATGAAAGCTTTAATCTTTGGTGGATCAGGAGCATTAGGTCGTTCAATGATTAAAGTATTTAAAGGATGGAAAGTGACAAATGTTGATTTCAACAAGAATTAAGAGTGTGATGACAATATTATTATTAAGAATTCAAGCGATATCCATTTTTTGAAATCTGAATTAAATACATTTGGTTTTTATATATAAATATATACTTATAGAAAAATTTAATTGCATAATTTGTGTAGCTGGAGGATGGATAGGAGGATCAATAAAAGATGAAAATGTTCTTTAAGTTTATGAAGATATGAATCAAAAGAATGTTCTACCTGCTTTAGTCTGTAGTCATTTAGCTACAACATAATTATCTAGATAAGGATTATTAATCTTTACAGGTGCTTATTCTGTATTTAATGCACCTACACCAAGTATGATTGGATATGCTTTGGCAAAGACAGCTGTTCATACTCTAGCAATTTAGACTGCTGTAAGTACTCATTTACCAGAGGATTCTGCTGTGATAACTCTATTACCGTATACTTTTATCATAATTTTTAGAGAAACTATTGATACTCCTGTTAATAGATAAGCAATGCCAAAAGAAGATTTTACTAAATGGGCTAATCCTGATTAGATTGCAGGTTTAGTTAGATCATGGGCTGAAGGTTTAAATAGACCTAAGAATGGAGCATTTGTTCATTTAAGAGTAAAAAATGGTTCAATTGCACCTGATTTTCTTTGATCATTTTATAAATGTCACATCAGAAAAATCACTATTCTATAAAATATACTCAGCATTGACTTTGTCATTCTCTATTGCTCTCTATATACCCTTTTCTAAACTGTCCTCTATACCACATACATAATGGCGTTATCCAATCAATTATGCATTAAATTCTTTATCTATAAAGAATTTCTGATCAAAAAGATGCTTTAAATCCCATTCTTTTAAAAATAAATACAATCCTTCTACTACAATTATTTTATCATCTTTAGTAATTTGAATTGAATTTTCTACAGGGTCCTTTACAGAATGTTAGAAATCTGGAAATGATCCAGTACCAGTTTCTCGTAAATTTGTTAACTCTGTTTTGAATCTTTAATGGTCAAATGTAAATGCTGCTCCTCTCCTTTTCATTCCCTCTTCATTTAAATCTTTACGATATATGTGGTAACCATCCATTGGAATTACTTTTACATCTGGGTATTATTAACATATCACATTTTTGCAGAAATAAGTTTTTCCAGAACCAGGAACACCTGCTATAGCAATGATAATTTATTTATCTTCTTTTTGATTTAGAATCATAAAAAATTAAATATTAAAATAAAACTAATCACAGAAGTATGGAAATATGAATCTATCAATTATTCTCTTTATTTCTGAACTCTTAATCATGATTCTTTAATAGTTTTCAACCATTATTTATTTCATAAATGCCTTGGCTATACTTTTTAACAATATCTTATACTTCAGAGAAAGATAAAATTTTGATATTTTCAACTTTAAATTATATTTATATTATCATTTATTTCAAATGAAAAAATATCTAATTTATATGTAATATTTTGCAAAGATACTTTTGTTACTGCATACTCCATTATTTTTTAATAATATAGTTAGAATCATTCAAAATTACTCTGATAATACTCTGTTTTCAAGAATGTCTCTCTTTGAGTCTTTGAGGTTAAATAAATCATTAAAATCTAATCATATCATATCTCATTTAATCTAATATTCTATGTTTAAAAATTAGTTATTTATTTAACTTAATCAAATAAATCAAATTATTTTAGAAAAATATATCACTTATAATTTAAGTAAAGTTTGTTTTTGAATAAAATCTTTTTATTAAAATTATCTATCATTTTAATAAAATCTATATTAGCTATATTATACTTTTGTTTTTTTTTTTATAATTTAAATAATAATAATAAATCCTTTATAAAATATATCATTTCAGATTTTACATTTAGAAGTAGGCCCTTTTCTAAATAACCTAAAAATAATAATGCTTTAAGTGAAATTGCCATTTTATATATGGTTTGAAATTTATAACTTTATTTTTTAAATAATGGAGAATTTTTATAAAAATAATAAGACAATTTAGTTCTTGTTTAACAAAGACTCATTATGATTTCTAGTACATCTAAAATTTTTCAGTTTAACTGATAGTACTTTTTTTTGTAAATTAGATTTTTGCAAAGAATTTTAATGTTATAATTAATACATTTTATAAAATGCAGTTAAACAATTTGACTCTTTTAGTTATTTATATTTATATAAAATAATCATCATTATATACTTTTGCCATTAATATTTGATATTAACAAATAGATATTATAATTAAAAATAAAAATATAAACTAAAACTCTTAAAAGAATTTTTGATCATTTAAGAATAATATAATTTTTAACAGAATATTCTATCTTGACCAAGATTTGTAGATTGTAATTTATTTAATTTTTAAACAACACAATAATTTTTCACTTATAATATCAAATATAAGTTATGAAAAATAAAATATAATATTTTGAAAGAATCGTAAATGCCAAATGAAATGTTTAGTAAGTATTTTAATGAAATTTATTCAAGTTTTTTATTTAATTACTTTTTTCTAACTTTATTAAATTTAAATCAAAATTATTCAGAATAATACAAATAAAATTATACACCACATGAAATCGTATAATTAATATAAGAAACTCTATTTATAATTTTCTTGAGATCTAATAATTTTAAATTAAATAAATTAAATGAAAATCGATCAATTACAACCTTATAGTCCAATTTATGGTGAGGAGACTGATACTTTGAAAGGAAAGGAAGTATCTTTAATAGTATTTCCTAAAAGGTTTCTAAATCCTATGAGTACCTTCAGAATGAAAGGAGTATCTTAAATTTTTAATAATTTTTAAGGATTTCCATCTATTTGCAGATGCTCGATACATAAAATAGCATGATATGCTAAAAATTGGTATCAGTTGCCAAAATCCTTATAAAAAAATTTCCAAAATATTAGTTGATTAATCTGCTGGGGTAATCAAATTATGCTATACTTAACTTGATTTTTCAGAAACTCCCTGGGAATATGTGGCCAAAAGATTATAAAGTATGGGTGATGTTTAAATGAACTAATTGAGTGAATATATCAAAAAGTACTATGAAGAACTAAAATCTGGTTTACTGTAGGAAAATAAAGACTTTGTAATTGAATACATATTATCAACATAATTATAGATTCCCAAAGAAAATTACAGATCATTTGGAACATACCAATATAAGTATTTGAAGAGCTTAAATCAATTTTTTATCTCAGCTTTAATCTATGATATCAAATTAGTTGAAGATTTAGGTTATTCAGTACAATATTTTGTTGAATCCTGCATGAAGATTGGAATTCCAGAGTACAAAAATTTTATAAATAAATATCAAGAATATCTTTATAACCTGGGTGTACAAATGTCGATTACTACAAAAACGTTATGGAGTTCGCAAAGCCTTTGACGAAACCAACAGAAAAGTAAGATTTTTATTTATATTCCCCCCTCTATCCATAAGTAAGAAATTCTTGTTCATTTCGTTAGGGCCTAAAATGTGATGTAACTTTTTAGGTGACAAAAGATCATTCTGAAGAGGAGGGTGATGTACTCATTAATTTTAATTTTTATTTAAATTATGAGCCTTCATTACGTAATAATTAAGGACTTATGCTTAATAAGAAATTAAAGTCTCAAAATTGCATAGCACATTATTATGAACTGATGGATCATCATTATTTGAGGTGCGGGTTTAAGAAGACTAAGTTGAATACATTGGTCTGATTAAGTGTATATATTGTGAGCCATTATTTGTCACCATTATAATTTCAATACAACTAAATGAAGAAGTCTTTCTGCCCAACTTCATCCAGTCGAGAATTTATTCAAGTTAATCAATTTATTTACACTAATTAATATTAATATTAATAATTAATTATATTAATGATTTTCTCAACTTCTCATTGTAATTAAATTGTTAATACTTAATACAAAATGTTTAATAAATTTTATTATAATTATTTAAAAATTAAGTTCTCCAATCAAAAAAAAAACAGCAGTTTCTTCTTCATTTCCCAATATTTTTTAATTGTTTATTATAAGTCACCTTATGTACATTTCCATTAAATAATAATTATTATTTTAATATAACTTTAACTGGAATTTATAATTTCTAATACATAACAAAATTTGGAATTATAAATACATAAATATAAGTTTTTTTATCTCTTGATTATTATGTAATAAAAAATAAATATATAATTTTTTGATCAATTATATTAAATTAAAATATATATTATTTTCAATATCTTAATGATAAGAAAGCTGCAGCACCTGCTCTAATCCAAACATCTTCATCATCTCTTGAAGGTAATTCAAGTGGCATAACAAAATTAGTAGAATGTCCTGTTGTTGAGAGTGTACCAGCCTAGACTTATTTTTAATCTTTACCCTTGAGACTACTTTATACAATGGACATTGGTATTTGTAAATTTTCTTCTCTTTTGGATCTTTTGGTTATACTTCAACTTATGATGGATCATATGGCAGTAAGTGCATTAAAGGTAAATCTGAATATAATTCCTTTACTTTTGGTTATGATATCAAATGTCTCTTGTAATCCCATCTAATTAATTTAAAATATTAATATACTTAGTTCCTTCAAGAAAGATTCCATAAATATAGACTCCATCTTCTGGTTTTTCAGTTACTCCTGTATGAGTTAGAGTATCCAATACTATATACTCATATTATAATTTATCAATAGCAATGATATGTTTTCTAGCATAATTTTGTACCATTCCTGTTATAAAAGCTTAAGGGAAAAAGAAACCAGAAATCCAGAAAACTTTTGGTGTTCCTTTATCTACCCAATGTTTAAGAAATGCAATTCTATCTAATAAATCTTAAGTCCAAGAAGCTAAGGGTTTCAAACTTAAAAATCCTTTCTCTGCCCATAATTGAGGTACTTAGTTATCATAAAGACTATTTGATAATTTTTCCATTTCTTCAGACATCACAATTAAACCTTTAAGTGCTTTTTTTACATTGGAAAGTGTTGTTTTCATAATAGCAAGCAATCTATTATAACGTATAAGTTCTTGGACTAAAACAGTATTCATAGATTCTTGATAATCAGTAGGATATCTATTTGAAATCTCATCTATATCAAATAAATCAGGAGTCTTAGACTCAACAAAATTAGCTAATTCTTCAATAACATCTTCTCTACACTTTCCTGCTCCTTATTATGTTCTTGGTTGAATAGATTACAGAGTTTCTAAGAGAATTCTAGTTTCATTCTAAGCATTAGTTATTTCAGCATTACTATGTAATCCAAAGGCTTCAGGTTCAGGATTCAATGGTAATTTTTCTATATACTCTATGTAATTCTATCTTTCACCTACATTAGGTTAGTAATAAGTAGGAACTAGAAATTGATAGCCTTCCTTTAATGCTTCTTGGGAGATATATAATTTAAGGATAGTTTTAATTAATCTAACATCCTTATCATCAGTAACTCTTCCACCATAATTAATTTCTGCTCCAAGATAATTGATAACTTTAAATGGTATTAGTACATAATCATCTAATAAACTTTTCAGTTGTCTTCTACATACAGTAAGATCTTCATTAGTGAATTCATAAGGAATGTTCCATCCAATAGCTCCAAATTTTCTTCTTTCCTAAATAATAGCATGGAATAAAGTAAATCCAAATAATAATTTTTTGAATTCTTCTGGTTTCTTACAATCATTTAATGTTTTATCATCTAATTAAGTGTAAGTTCTGAGCATATTATTTCTAAGACCTTTAGGTGGTTCAAGTGTCATTTTTACACCATTCTATAATACAATAGTTGGGAATGACTTTGAAGGCATAGATGTTAACCATAATCTAAAATCTTTTGTTCCTTAATCTTACATTTCTTCATTTAATTTTTCAAGATCATTCATCCAAGATGTTGCTAAATGACAATTCATTAATAATGCCCATCCACCTCTACCTAAAGCATCTTTAACTAATTTTTCAGCCTTTGGACCTTAACCTTATCCCAAAGAAATTGAATCAATTCTTTTAGTCATATTCATTTCTTCTGCAAATTTCATCAGATCTGCAATAGGATCTGAACCAGGAGATAAAACAAATATAAGTGGTGTATTTGGAGTAGAATCCTTGTAACATTTACTCAAATCAAATGTAGGTGGGATTATAAATTTCTCATCCATCTTCTCTATAATCCATTTTTGAATAGCTGGAATTACTTTATCACTTCTAATTGTTTTTAATAATAATATTCTTGAAAAAGAATCTAATTTAACATTCCAAGGTTCAGGGAATTCTATATCTTAAGGATTGGGAGCATCAAAGATTGTTTTAAATTTATCAGAATTACTCATGAAATCAGACAAGATACCATCAAAATTAGTTAATTCTGACATACCATATATATTTCTATATGTTTCTGGCCATGTATTTTCACTAATCCATTCAGTAGGATTAGGTGCCAATTAAACATCTCCTGTAGCACCCTATAATAAATATCTCCATTCTCCTTCATTCATTTTATGAGCAGCACTCAATATTTTATAGGTTAACATAAATGAAAATAGTAATTTATGTTTCTCAAATAATGATCTACAAACATTTTCATATAACATATATGTAAAGAAATTATTAAGATGATTCAATCTCTCTTCTAAAACCTATGATGCTGGAGCATTTTAAACACCCAAAGTAAATAAGTTGATAAACCATTATAATGAATATTAATACATAGGATCAATTGTTGATAAATCTATAATACAAAAGAAAAGTAATGAAGCTCTGAATGCAACTGATCTATATGATTCTCTTGCTTCATCTATTTGAGCTTCAGTTATTTTGGAATCCTTCACTCTTTGATTAATTTCTGCTGCAAATTTCTTTGAATTTTATAACTTATTAATTAGAGTCTCATCCATCAATATTTCTGAAATATCACCTTTTGTTTCAGACAAACTTCTTAAAATACTATCTTCTATATTAACTAATTCTTTTTTATCTTATGCATTTTTTCTAACTATTTCAGTTTTCTTATTTTCTAAATTAGGATTCTCTAATGCTACAATTTATGCTAACATCTACTCTTCTAATCCCAAAGGAGTAATTGCAAAGTTAATTATTGTTACTTTTACAGAAGTTTCAGGTGAATAATGAGGATTTGGTAGAGTAGTTGTCATAAAGAATCTGAAACTAAAATTATATTGTAGATTCTTATCTCCAATTTATATTGTAGCAGATGTTCCAGTCTTATTGATTTATTATAATAGAATAGGTTCCAAAGATGGATCTAAAGATAATCCAACATTTTCTACCAAAACCCATTTACCAAATTGTATTGCTAATTCTAGTGTTCTCATCAAATTTTGATCTGATTATTTTAACACATCTAATCCTTCTGGTAAATCTTTTCCCATAGTCTTTACATATTTATTAGCTTAAGATTATGGATCAATCATTAAAGTCCATCTTCTACTCTTATCTATGATGATACCATTTTCAATAGAAGTGTCATCTTTAGGTAATCCACAAATATTCCATTATTAAATTTTAACTTCATCACCTAAGAATTTTCTCATTGAAATTAAATCAGTGAATGGAATATTATATTCTTTTAATTTAGATCTCCAATCTTATTCCATCTTAATACGATATTAAGATACAAAAGGTCCAGAATATGCAACCATTCCTGCTGCTATAATAGAATTACCAGGTATTAAACCACCACTATTAGTTAGATTTTCAATATCTTTTGCCCATCTTTCCTTTTCATCACTTAATCCTTCTGTTAACTTTTATGCTCTTTCCAACTTTACTTCACACTCTTTAATCTTCTTCTATAAATCTTCTTATTATTTCTTCTTATCATCAAAAACTCTTTATAATTCTCTTATTTTTGCATTAATTTCATCCAATTCTTTTTTCCTTATTGCTAATTCTCTATTTTTCTCCTCAACTATTTTTGTCATAAGTGCTAACTTTTCTCTTAAAGGTTTAGTTTCAGTATATACTTTGTAGAAATCATACATACATTTACACCAACCAAACAAATAACCTGTAGCTTTAGATCCTTAAAATGCATCATTTGAATTAAATTTAGGATGACAAGTAACTTTCTATTCCATCTTAAGAATAGCAGCTGGATTAATACTCTCTTTATCAAACTTCTCTAATAACAATGATAATAAAGAATTCACATCATTAAGTAAATATTTCTTAGCTGTCTCAAAATAATTCTCTTCTTTCTTACCAATTTAATTTGGTACTGGCTATGTGATAATTTCACCTCCAGACTTTTTAATATAATCTGTAGTAAGTATCACAACACCTGCTAAAACAACTTTGACAGCTTCAGGTGGAGATGATAAGGATTTCAATTCAACTAAATGATCCTTTTATAATTCCTTAACTTTCAATAATGTTTAAGCTAACTCTTCATTAGCAACTCTGACTCTCTCACCTGCTTCTTAAGCAATTTAATTAGCTTCTCTAGCTTATTAAGTGGCTTCAGCTTCTTATACAGCAACAACTCTTTAAGTTTAATCAGCTTCTTCTTTTTCCACTTTCAGATGTTCCATCATTTTTGTAGTTTCTATTTATGCTTATTCTAATTCAGGTTACATCTTCTCCAAAACTATTTTCATTTCAGCAACAGCTTTATTAGCATCCTATAATTTATCTAAACCATTTTTAAGTCTAAGAATCTATGCTTTTAAATCATTTCTTTTATCTTGTACAATATTTA